TCAAAAGTACAGGATTTCCTAAAGAACCTTTGCAAGCCTGCCATGCAAAAATAATATCCTCTATTTATTTTAAATCCATTACCGCGTTCAAAATCACGCCAAAAATCCGCTTGGCCCGCACCCAGTGCTCCCACCCCTCGACGTAAAATGTGCAAGATGTGCCCCTTCTCTCAGTAGTACAAGGTCCTTGCGCGCAAAGCTAAGCACAAACAAACCAATCCCTGTATTGACCAAGCCTTTTGCAACGGTGCAGACCGCAAAAACGGGCCACCAGTCCTCGCGTCAAGAGGTGCTGTGCGTTGGTCAGCTAGCAGGCGCGCCCCGTTGGCTTGCTTCCGCAGATGCATTGTTCCACTGTTTCGGCACGTTGCTGTTTGTTGCTAAAAGCGTTAAATTTATTTGAAAATCTTTAAAGAACGATTAAAGGCTAGTTGAGGTCATTCAGACATTAATTAAAGATTTGCGATAACCTGACAATTAATCTATGTTTTTGGTGAGGGTTTAAAGGTATCAGCAGCCTAAACCTAATTGCCAACGCTATGAAAAAATTAAAAATGTTGTATATTGTAGGAGCTTTTCTCTGTCAATCGATAAGTCCACTTTCGCCCGAGATACGTCGCAGTTTTGTTCCAAGTCCCTTCGAAGTTCGAACCAATAAAACTTGAATTCTTGCCAAGTACACATCCTCCCATTGCCCTACTCATGTCCTTTTCCGTCTTCACCAATTTCCCCCTTGCCCCGATCGGCTTCTTCGTGATCTCATTGCCCTCAGCTGAAAAAGAACCGGTCTCGACCATTCACGCTGCAATTCCGCTCTTTCTCGACAGACACGGAATGTATCAACCTATTTTATGCTAACCGTTTTCGATGCGTTAGCAGTTCTCGGGCGGCTTACATATATCCTGAAATTATAGACTTTTTGATAGAATAAGGGTGCCGCTTGACGAATCTAGCCGGCTTTTTAGGCCCCCAGTCATAATCGCTCCGGGAGCGCAGTTCCCGGTCAAATTTGCACGTATTCCGAGCTATTATGAGCGTCTAGACGAGGGACTGTCCCCTTAGGGGGATACCACTGGACAAACTTGTCCTGTTGCATGCACTCGTAGCGGCTATGGGGTACCAATTATCGATTGAAAAAGGGCATTTTGCTTTAGCCTTGGGCCTGGTTGGCTTAGGTGAAAAGCTTGGCAAGCTAACCCGATTTTTAGTTTTTTCGCCTCATCAAATAGCTTTATTTCCCTGCCCTAATTTGTACGTCCAAAACCTTTGCCGAAACCCGATCCATCCAACGAACCATCGAACTTGCCCAATTATTGATCGCGAACGAATCCACACACAGCACGCGCATAGACAGCCCTTCAATGTCCGATCCTCCACCCCTACCCCCCATGGCGAGCACTTTCAGTTTCCGTCTCCGTCCTTCCGCGGGGACGAATTCTCTCCCACGCCGGCTTACCCCTTTTTCAGCGCGATCTTTTCCGTTTGTTTTTCCATTCACTTTGGGATAAAAGACATGCCGACGGCTAATTAATTGCCTCACGTTTTTATTTTCGCGAATTGGCTAGGTAGTGGTATCGATTTTTAATCGGATATTCTCAAAATTTTTTTTGGCTATAATTTTTCACCTCTATCTTGCCCATCCCCCAACCGAGCATTTTTTCTGACTTTTCCGGATGCTTCATTTTCCGGATTCATCCATTCATTTTATTCCGGATTTTTTTACCAGTGTAAATCATAAGCGCTCGCCAGCGCCAAATAAACGCATCCCCTTTCCAGCCGAGTTCCAAAAAGGATGCTTATTTTTCATGGTTTATCTGCTTCCCCTACAGTATCCATCACCTCCTTATTCTTAACATCGTCTCGCAGTGTGGCCAATTGTGGATAATCCTAGCCACCTCTCATTGAAGGGATAAGCCCAGCGTCTTCAAGATGGCTCCACGTGACAATCTTTCGATCCTTTTCGATTTATTTTGAAGGCTAATACCGGATTTCCTTTTGATTGCAATACAGCCGGATATAACCAGCATGGCCGGGTATTTTTTAGGGGATTTGATGAATAATTTGCGGTATGAAGAACGTGTTTTTAAGCCGCGCACCATACTTTTGGGCCCAGGCCCATGCACTTATCGTGTGCTGAAGCTAGCCCAGCATACTGATTCGGTGATACCTTTTTAGTTGAACCGCTCATCTACTAGCGAGCTGTATGAGCTGTAAATGTTATCACAAAGATTCAATTAAAAATTAAATGGAAAATGGAATGGATATAATAGAGCTAAAGAGCGACTTCCTTGCCCTTTCCGACAGCAGTGGGCTCAGAATTTTGCCATTCCCCTTTTAATCCCCTTGCACGACGGAATTGTGCCAATCAGCCCTCCATGTGGCCGGGGTGCCGAAAGCAATCAAGACGAGGAACTCCCCTTTTTCCTTTTCTTCCTATGCCTGGCCCCTCTATGTGTGTGCTCCTCGCGAGTCCCACTCCTCCCCAAAAAAGGAGGAAGCCGCAGAAGGCCCCCTCGGGCCACGCGGGAAGAGGAAGAAGTGGAGGAGGCGGAGCACGAAAAGCAAAAAAGGCCGGAATCGCTCGCTTCCGCCACATCGATTTGTCCTTTTCGTCGGGCATGTTCTCTCTGCCTTTGACAGACCGAGAGAGAGAGAGACACACGCTGAGGACGTCGAGACCAGAATGTGGGTCCCAGGCGAGGCTGTCGACATCCACTTCCTTCTTGTCTTTAGAAGTTTCATTTTAACGCTAAATTTTTAGAGTATAAGTCGTATTCCTTTCAAAACCCATTTTCAATGGTCGCTCTTTTTTAAAACTTTATCCTCAAATTCTGGAAAATTTTAAAGCTTCCTTGAAGAGTACCTCCCGAGAATTTTAAGGATTCTTTTATTTTTAAGGATTACTTTTTTTGATTTAAAAACCGTAAAAGTTGAACCCATGGTCTCCCGAATGTCCACCCTTCCCCTCGAACGACCCAAATTTTGTTTGCCAAGCTGTTTCGGTACGTCTTTTCAACGACCTCTACAATGCGCTCGCTAACATTTCTGTCTTTATTTTTTTGACGGTAGAAATCATAGATAATTTCAATTCTGTCCATTTTAAATGAATTTAAACGCTTTGTTAGCTTCTTTATCGCAGGGGTTTTCTCTTTCCAACGCTATAGTTTATCTCTTTTTCAAGTCTCACCGATTTAATTTATTCAAATTTGCAAAGCTAGAAAATCTCCCCTTTATCTATCAATTTTCGATCGGTTGCCCAGCCTTTATTTGCCCACCTGGCCAATGTTTCGGCCGCAAACTGTTGCAGGGCTCGGAAAACTACACCACGTAATCCTCTCAAAACGAAACCATAAAGTCTCTGCCCTCGCAACTTATGCAAAATGCCCTCTAATTGAATTTATGACTATGAGAAACCTTGCAACTCGGTGGCATTTCCGAAAGGACAAATACATTACCGTAGTAAGGCCAAAAAATGGTGAAGGGATTTGAGTGCCGAGGTCGTGAGCCGATTAGTCCCATAAATCCCTCCCCCACCCATTTGCTGACGCATAATGCCCTTTAACGTCTCCATTTTTGCATGTCTATTTCGGGATTTCCTCCTCCAGACCCCCGTCCCACGCCTCAGGGTAAGCTGCAGGATTTGGGGGGCCGACAGGGGTTTTTTGAAACAGGATGGTCACGATATCCCGTATTACTCCTACGGGATCGCTGGATGGGTGAGGGTGTTCTATGGAATTTTTGCTTTTGCAATGTTTAAAATTTACTAGGTCTTAAAATAATATTATTATTCTTTTTTAGGTGTCCCATACACTTCGTCTATAATTTTGATTTAATTCCCATTAAAAAACATCAAACCTTACTCGAACCTTCAGGCTATGATTATTATCTATTCACGACGTTGGCATGCATTCCCGAGCTTATAATTATTTTTGAAACACTTGCACCGCCCCAGGCGTTTGCTCCAACCCAGACTTGTACCCAAAAGTCGAAGATCTCCCTACACTTGCACGATTCCCGGGAGATTCCATGTTTAGACTAAACTTTGCCATAAACACCTTTGGAAATCCAAGTATCTTTTCGCAAACGGATATCCCTTCCAATCATAATTCATGTCCTAAGAGTGTGGGTGGGGTTGGAGACATTTTTGCAATTTCTGCTGGAAGCTGGTAGATAAACGGAGAGACCAAAAAGAGCCTGGGGGCCGCCCATCCCAATGAATTATTCCCATTTTGGGTCCCTCCCCCGGGAAGGGCCCAGCCCCCTCCCGGAGCCAAACCGGGAACTCGGAAGCGGATCTTCAGTTTTATGCGCGAGGCGTGAGAGAAGGCATGAGAGTTTGTCTCCTGAACTTGGCGGTGAGCCCCGGCTTTGCGGAGATCACTTGCCACCCCCCTGCAACCCGTAATCCGGCACAATTTTGGGAATTTTGTATCCGGCTGGGATCGAAATCCTGGCAGAGCGTGGTGGTCTGTCTGGGACGTTTTTTTCTGTCTTGTTCCGCCGGGATTCAGGTGTTTTATGGGGGGACGCATCACAAACTATGAATTTTTGGTGTTTTAAAGGGATTGTGCCGGAAAGACGCTATTTTAAGTTATACCTGAACATCTATGCTTAAAAACGCACGTTGCTCTTCAGTATTTAGGTTATAAAGTAAAGGTACCGCCCAAGTTCGAATGATTTATGAAAATGCGCATTTTTTGCCGTGGACTTTAGAATAGTGAATCTGCGCCATCCTGATTATTTGGAAAATCATCATCTTTCTTTCCCTCTCTCTTTTTTCTTTAATCTTTTTCTCTCTGTCCATGTTTGCAAAAATGAAATCAAATTCGTTTTTTGCTTAAATATGGTATTTTCCAAGGTATCCATTTTTTCGTTTTCACGATCTGCCGTTAAAATCTATCGAATACCGCTAAACCGATAAAATTTGCAGGCGACCCTCGCCCCACTTTGGCCACTCGTCGGGGCCCCAACAAGCCCGTAAAAGTGGATGGATGGTGACCATGCCGAGTAATAAGCGTGAAAAAATCCCGGAGGGTACGCTCTGCGTGGTGTGCCAGGATTTGGCGAGCGGGATTCACTACAGCGTGGCTAGTTGTAAGTTTTTCGATAAAGATTCCGGTCGGAAATGCTTGAAAAATCGTCTAAAAGATTATATCTCTCTCCCTTGAGTGTCTTTCTTGCACTCTCTCTCTCTCTCTCTCTCTCTCTCTCTCTCTCTCTCTCTCTCTCTTAAGCTCCCTCTCTAACTCCCACAAAATTAACGGAATTCCTGTGCCTTTTTGAACCCGCTCACCCAGTTCTCGGCGGGACCCTCAGTGTCACCCCATAGAAGAGATGAGAAACGAGGGCTCCATCTGGTTCCTGGCTGAATCCAATTATAAGCCCCGATGGCTGGGTGGGAGGCCAAGGGGGTTGGTCTGTGTTTGAAGGGACCCAAATTAGGGCCCATCTCTACGGTTGCCACATCCACACGATGCGGACATTTACAATGAGAAACGGGGGAGCAACACGTGCCATCTTATTTGGGCGCTTCCTCCTTGACTCTAGGTTGCGAAATGGGTTGGCAATAGTGAAAAAATCCGAAATCAAATCAGAATTGGGCTAAATTAATGAAAAACGGTGCTAGATAAGCAGAATACCCCACGAAAAAGTTATAATAAGATCAGTGGCCGAGAAAACAATTACCTTTCCCGGGAGCACCCAAAAAAACCCTGCAATTTTGCAGGCAACGGCTGCAAAACGTTCTTCCGCCGCGCCCTCGTCAATAAGCAGACCTTTCAGTGCCAATTCAAAGGGGAATGCGAAGTTGGAAAAGGTAACGAATGTCCTTGAATTTTTCACACCTAAATTTTAGCTGTTCGCTGTGTATGCAGGAGTTGTCGGCTGAAGAAATGCTTCGAGACGGGAATGGATCCGAAGGGTATATATTCATTAATGACTATCTAACTGTTCGGTTTAGCCATTCAAAACGACCGGGACAAGATCCGGTACACCAAACAGTTGCGAAAACAGAGGGAAGCCGAGTTGGAGCGAAGGAGGCAGGAAGCCGCCATGGTCAAAGCCGAGCCGGACAGCCCGGGGAGTAATGCGTATGTTTTAGTACTTTTTGATACCGTAACCAAATCCAAATTGGGAATTCTATGGTAAGTACTCATGGTTTTAGATCGGAAATCTACCATACTTCCACCCCCTCATCGTCTACGCAAGCCAACCTCGACAATGAATTGAGAGAATTCGAGCAGGAGGCTACGGTAGTTTTTGATGTCCATTTGGTGACTCTTAATAGCAGAACACCTTTCGAGATAATGATCAAATTTCGATGTTCAGGGCCAAATGCGACACGTCATCCAAGAACTCCTGCGTACCGAACTCCGAATGCTAGCCGTCCGGAAAGCAGCCCGTTTTGAGCCAAATTCTTCAGCAACATCTTCGATACACAATCGGTTAGTATTTTTGCTTTTAATATGCCCTATTTTTCACCTAGGGCTTTCATAAAGCCATTAAGAGAATTAGGCTAAATATCCAGGGAGAGGGGCGGAAAAAAAAAAAAAATCTGGGGGGGCCCCCAAAAAAAAAACAAAAAATAATTAAAAACCACCGCGCCGCAAGGAAAAAAAATAAAAAAAAAATTTTTAAAAAAAAAAAAATGAAAAAAAAAAAAAAAAAAAGAGCGGGAAAAAAAAAAAAATTAAAAAAAAAAAGGAAAGCGTGTCCCTCCTTAATTTTTTGTTTTTTCGCTGGTTTTGGCCGGCCCCCCCCCGCCCTTTGGACCAGGTAGGTTGATTTTAACGTGTGAGACCATAAATAACAAATCCGGGTCCGCCGTTCTCGTACTTATCGTGGTTACATACTACCAAAAATCTTTTTACAAAATCCGGACCTCGAGTGGATAATCATCCCCGGCTGAACGCCTCAATTTTCAGGTGCCTACTCGACGAAGATCATTGGGTGGCCCTGAATTCGATACCTATGGTGAGTGCAAAGGGTTAGAAGGGCAAGCAAGGGATGGGAAACAAAAAGATTATTATTTTGGCCTAATCATGATCAACTTAAAAGTATGAGAAAATATGTAATAAAGCAAGTGGCACATTATAGATGGGCCCTTTTGCGAAGCCGTGCAGTTTGGACTCGTTGAGATCGTGGTTCGTCCGGGATCTGTCGCTGATGATCGAATGGGGGAAGTCAATACGGATGTTGAGAGAAAAGCTGTTGATTAGTGATAAGGTAAGAGATGCAGTAAGGGCGAGAGAGAGCGAGAGAGAGAGAGAAGAGAGAGAGAGAGAGAGAGAGAGAGAGAGAGAGCGAGAGAGAGAATATCCTCGAAAATTCGTTATTTCAGCTAGCCCTGATGAAGTCCGCAGCCCCAATATGGCCCCTCCTCCACCTTGCCTATTACACAGCAGAAGACGAGTTGGCGCTTTTCCCGTGTGTTAGTAAGTTTTAAGGGTATTTTCTAAACTCCAAGCTTAAATGCACGACTTTAAGACTTTCGGAGGTATTTTATTTACAACCCACTTTCCAGAACAAGAGCCCGGCCTCGAAATCGGCGTCCGATTGAACTACCCCGATGGCTGCTACATCGATAGTACTTCAACGGAACTTTTGAATGCGTACGTTTTTACGACAAAAAGCTTTTACGGTCCTCATCGTAGTTATAAACATACAATTTACAGAAGCGATATGTTCCACCTGCTATACAATGGTGTGCACAAATTGCTGCGAGATCTGCGAGTCGAAAAAGAGCTCTTCGTACTCTACAAACTGCTGTTGTTGCACAATCCAGGTCGGTAAACTAAACATAGAAGATATCGGATTGCAAACCGCTAAAATAAATTTCTAATATCCGTTTCAGATGCGGAAGGGTTGAGCATGCCGGGCAAGCAGATCATCGAAGAAGAGCGTGGCCGGATACTCTCTCATCTTTATCTGTATATTCATCAAGAAAAGGGGAGAGCTTCCGCCGGGTTGTTCAGCAACTTGTTGATGATGACGGCGACGTTATCGGTAGGTAATTTGCGATATTAAATGCTGACTATCAAAAAAAAGAGAAAAATTGCTAATCTACGCCCTACTTCAGAAAATTAAGGGCGAAAAGTGATGTATTAAATTAAAATTGCCGAGTTATATCTTTAAAATTGTAGCAGAATTTTTCATTAATACATTTTCATATACTCTAATTCCAGAAATGCGCCTCCTTCATCCGCCGCCTCTTCGACGTGACCCATATTTTTGGCCACACCAACGATCTCATCGACCAGTTGATCATTGTCGGTTTGTAGTCTGTAGTCTCTTAATTTCCTTTGCAAATCAAAACATGTACAAAGCTTATTTCTGCCAAAATTCTATACCCTAAATATCTATCGCCCAACCCCCCACTCGATTCGACGACTTCTAGGAACGATTTCCCCTTACCTTTGGCTCGATCGATAGACCCTTACCGGTACCTTTTTCATAATGTTTCGGCTTTCCTAAATCTGAAATGTATTTAGTACAATTGTGAGATTATAATAGCCCAAATTTACCCAGATTTTGTCTCACCTCCCATTGTATCTCCCATTAATTAACTGCAGTTAATATTTTGCCCTCTCCACCCCCCAGAAATCTCCCTCAGGTTTGCGAGAATTTCATTGAATGTACGTTCGTGTTTTAGTCGCCCACTTTGCTTGTTGCATTTTGTTAACCGGTTATGAAGGAGAAGAATTAATAAAAAATTATTTTAAAAGCGGTATGGGCGCACCACAAGATACATCAAGTAACACGGCGCCTCAACTTACACCTTACCGTAACGTTATAAAACCAGATAATTTCAATCCTTGCTTAAATATTGGGAATAATTTCCGAGTTTTAGCTGACGCTAAAGATGCTGGGAAGGGCTAGAAGAATTCTTTTGGGGAGTTTACGGCTACGCGAAAAGTCACTAGCCTCTTCCGATCCCTTGAAGGAAATCCTAACAATTATTGCTGGCATGCACTACTTTGAATGTGTCGCAAACGAGCCAGAACCTGCCAAAACCTCTTAAAGGACTTCTGCTAGTAAGCCTTGCTTTCATTTTCTGGAAAAACGAACCAGTCGAGTCAAAACCTCCTAGAAGGTTTCTCTTAGAACACCCTGTTTTGTTTTCAAGTGAAAAAGACGAGGCAAAACCTCCTAAAAGGTTTCTGCTAGTTTGCCACAATACCACGGCGAGCATAAACTTCGCAACCTATCGTGGCCGTTCCTGGCCCCGTAGCCCCCAGGTCATTAACCACGGATTAGCGCCCCCGTTTATGGTCAGGTATTTGGGGCGCGGATACGATCGCAGCCAGTGCCAGCTGTAAAATTTTTGATGGCCCCACTATTCCTCTTTTTACCGCAAAAATAAGCATTATTAAATGCCCTTTGAAGAGTTCTTAAACATATCTGACGCCCCTCGATTTTCACGTCTCAATTTCGTTGCCCATCACAAAAAAATAAGGCTTATTAAATCTCTTTATAAATATTTTTATGGATATCTTAGTCCTCGCAATTTTCACGTCTCAATTTTACCTCAAATTTGTTACACACCTCAAATTTGGCCCGCTTCCAAGTTCGCTCAATTCCTGATCCCCGCCTATTTACAACAAGCCAGCCACGCGTATACCATAAGTTCTTGTTTTGTTGTGCCCTAAAGTTCTTCCCCGTTTCGCGTATTTCCCTCCAAACTCATCCATGCATGGCAATTTGTCCCCCTCGTTTTCCATACCGGCATCCCCTTATCGAGTAAACGATCTGCAACAACCATCCACCGCCCTCTCGGCTGCTCCTCCTTTTTAGGGTGGGTGCCAAATATTTTGGCGCCCAGATGCAATTTTTGGAGGTGAATTTGAAAGTGGCCAAACACCGATGCGCGGCTGATCTGGGAGCAGTGGCAAGTTGGAAGGGGGCTCACTTTGTTAGAACAACAAAAGATAGGATCTGGGTTCTGGCGCGGGCAAGGCCAGGCTGCTCGACCCTTAAATACCGGTGTTATGTCGTGAAACGGGCCGGATTTTCGGATCAGATTTTCCTTCTAAACTTTGCGCAGCTTTAGGTGTGGCAGTGGATTTAGATACGTTAATCCATGAATCTTACGACTCAGGTTCAATTTTTCGTTAAAAATAGCTTTTCGGAATTGTTTCGTTAATGGAATTTAATTTATAGTCCGGTAAATCAAATCGAAGTTTAATTATTTTTGAGCCTTTTTAGTGCGTTTAAAAAGGTTAGGCAAGGCTAAGATCTACCCTTTCGGCCCCGGGTGCCGACAGCTACGCGTGGCGTCAAATTACGTTCCCCACTATTTGAAATTTTTGCACAAGGGAACGAACTAGACGTTATTTTCTTGCTTCCCAGTCCCTTTAATTCACCTCTACGTCGACTTCCAAGATCCGTTTCCGTCCATTCTCTCTTTCTTCCCTGGATGACGCACCTACCTCCGGGTACCCCGGAGATCAAAGCCTCCCCCCTTCTACCCACACACGGTTCCACGAGGACACAAACAACACACAACGATAGGATCGACGATACGGACAAGGTCAAGCCATCGCCATCCGCCGGGTGTGGGTGACGCTCGTCCGGACACCGTATCCCCCCTTCCTCTCCCTCCGGGATCCCACCACTTTTTCCGGGCCGCCCAAAGAAATGGCAAAATTTTTGGCCCTGATGGATGTGGGGGGATAGGAAGGGGCCCGCCTGACTCGGGGAGAAGATCATTATCTATCTAAAGATGCGCAAGTGGGGCCAGTGACTCGCTTCCAAAGAACGATTGCCCGGCAACTTCCAGACTGAAAATGCCACGCCTGAATGAACTCGGAGGGCAGAGTACGAGTTCGTTTTTGGTACACTGCAGGCTTGGACCCGGGCGATAATATTAAATTTTGGGAAAAGAAGTATCCAAAACTGGAACTTGAGGAGCTGCTGCGGGCTCTTTCTCTAGTTGACGTATACCACAGCGCGTTTCGCGTGATTTCTCTAGCTTGTGCTCTCGGAAGCCGAGGGTTGCTTGGTATAAAATCGAGGAAATCTTTGCTAATCAGGCCGTCATCGGGTGTCCTTCGTAGTCACTAGATCGATCTCGGATTGTCTAAAGTTTCCGCTTGAAAGGAGCAATTTTTCCGTATGATCAACAGCCGGCAAGTTCATAACCGTTTACGCGATGTAAAAACATGTGCGGTTCGCTTCTACGAGTATGCGCCAGGTGACGGTAAAGGTCGCCTTGTGCCGAGTTTCATCGCGTAACCGGTTGGCGATTTGCCAATCGATCGATCTGTGTCGATCTTTTCGACTTATCGACTCCGGCCAACCCATTTGGAGAGCTTTCGAGCCCCTTTAAAACTTGGTCAGAAGAAACATTTTAAGTCATCGTAATCAACGCGTGAGCGTGCGTTGCGGTCAGCTGGTAAGGCAGAATCACGCGACGCACCCGCGCGCTTCAGCGTTGGTGTTACCATTGTCCCTTTAAGACGCTTTGTCCAGTGTAGCTCGATCGGTGTGATTGAACTTTGGGCACTCCAAGCCGTTTTTCACTATTTCTTGCTCCTCCTTTTTCTTTCTTGCTTTCATTCTCCCCTACCCCTCTCTGACTTTTTGCATAATTATGGCGGCGTCCCGGCGCGAGAGCAGGAGGTGTCCGGCTGTGAGGCGGTCATGATGGGCGAGTCAGGGGGAAGAATCGGGGCCTCGCATCGCCGGGAAGAATATTTCGCCGTTGTGACCTCATTTTTCTCTCTCGGCCTCCGTCCGTCCGGTCGGACCCTCGGGGCGATTGGTGTGGTGGTGGTGACCCGGTCCGATTGTCCCTCCAGATCCCTCACTTCTTCGAGTCACCCGGGATTTTCGGGCGGGCTTCTTCGGCTTTTTCCAGTTTTTTTCGGGGCGGATTGTAGCCTTGGGATTTTTTGACAAAATGTAGCATTTTCCCACCAAGAAAGATGGTCCTAGAAATCTCAGCCGATTATCTTCGGCGTTTCTTGTGTCGTTTTCTTGAATTTTATTTTGAATTTTAATACACTTGTTCGGGTGGCGGGTTCTGCTGGCTTGGAATTTGATATGATAATCGCATACACCCCCTAGTCAGCGCTGGGCAATGGGATTTTTGATTTTTCGTGCGCTTTGGAATTTGATGTGCTAATTGGATAAACCACTCTAACTCTCGGAACGGACAGCTTCTTCTTCTTTGGCTACGCCTTTACGCCGTGAGTCGTCGTATCTTGCTTCAGAGCCATAATCTTCTGAATCTCCCGACTTCGCCAGACGGCGAAAATTTTTTGCACCCCAACAGGTTCCAGTTTCTTCTTTTCCACCCCACTACAAAATGACGCCCCAAAACCGGAGTGGAGCGGCTTCACGAAGAACAAACGAAAGCTCGCAATCTTCTCGACAGCCGCGGGGATCTACATTTCCTGGTGGAGGGCAGCCAGATTTGGATCGGCCATTCGCCCAGGGGGAGGGCTGTTTTCAGGGGTCCCCGAAGCTGCCCCTCCCCCCTGAATCCACCTGTTGTAGAGGGGGTGAGGCTGAGGGTGAGGGTGAGATTCCAGTTTTGCATAGCCATCCAGCCAGTGCTGTTGAGCCCCGTCCGTCCCTCGTGGTGTGGTGACTGGTTCCCCTTCTTCTTTCCCTCTACACGTTGATGGTGCTCGGGCTGGGTGGAACTCTTCAAATTTCCGCACTTCAAGCTAGCGCCTAGCGGCTTCATGTGTTTGTCAGGGGAATTTGGCCGTTTTCCTTTTTGATTTTCTCAAATGTTGCTAGTGTTCTAGCTTTAGCACAGCGTAGAGTAGTAACGTAGCGTAGAGTAGCGCAGCATAGAGTAGCGTAACGCAGCGTAGCGCAGCCTAGCTCAGCACGGCGTAACGTACCGTGGCGTTGCGTAGCGCAGCGTAAAGTGGCGGAGCATAGCGTAGCTTGGTTTTTTGGCTCGGCAAAACTGTAGGGTTCTTATTTAGTTTATTTTTTTGCGTTTTTGCTCTTTGTTTTCCTTTTATTAAACGCCTGCAAGCGTTGCTAGGATTCGAACGCCAGCGAAGCATAGAGTAGCGTAGCGTCACGTAGCGTGGAGCCGCTCTGCGTTTTTGAGCATGCGTATATCTTACGGCTTTTTTTAATACACAACACACGAAATTACGGTTAAGCAATCATCCTGTTTTTTCGGTGCCTTTTTGCCCAAAAACCGGTTTGTTACGTCTGAACAACAAGCCGAATCCACCCCGCAGCGCGGTGCTTTGAAATTTGCATAAACCACATGGCGCCCGCCAGGCGGCCGACAGCTTTGTTATTTTTCTAGTATTTTTTATACCTGCAAACATGCGCCGAAAATTTTAGAAGATTTTTCTAGCTTAAAACATTTGCGTGAAGCTCATTTGTTGCCCATCCCCCTTAAACGAAGCCGCTTTCTAATCCCATTCCCCCATCTTTGCGCGCGAATTAGGCGAATGCCCATGGGGTAGAACGACGGCACTGGGTTATCGTCGATGGCCATCTACCATTCGCCGAAAATGAGGACAGCCCACTCCACAAGACAGTTATGCCCATTAGTGTTTTTTGGAGGGGAGGTGTTGGGGGAGAGTGTGAGCGACTGATTGATCTTGACGGGCTCGTTCGGGAAAATTGTATTCTTTGGACTTCGTGCGGAGTATCTTATAAATTTTGTTAGTCAGCGTTTCGTTAGATATTTGGATTTTCCCGGGCTATAGAACTTATTTATTTAACGTTAAGTAAGGTCAAAGTTTACTTGATTTTTACGACGTTTTGAATTCGCTAAAAATACCAAAAAAAAAGTTAGAAAAACCACGTCTGCTATTAATATGGCAAATGAATGGCCAGGAATAAATTTTCAGCTTTTCTTAATTTTTGAAATATGTCCATTAGCGTTTTTATAAGTTTTAAGCAGCAACTGAGTCGACTTACAATAAAAAAATTGAAATTGAAAGAACTGTTTTACGCCTTTGGACCGTAGTCGACTTTTCCGGAAGTTCCAACTCACAATACCGCTCGAACGCCCCTGGTCCCGTTACCCCGGGGCCGTCCTTTTGTTGAATAGAGGGAATCGAAAGTCCCCTCATCCTTCTAGTTCTGGGCCATGAGGGCGATCGGATCAACGGGACGACAAGGGGGAGGAGGAGGAGGGCGTCGAGGCGAGGATCTGACCCGGTTTCCCCATTTTCCCTCCTCAACGGCTTCTTCTTCTTCTGCCTCCAGGCTTCACAATGGAAAGTCCCGGCTGTCGCTTTTGGTGTTGTTAGGCTTTCAAGTGCTTGAAGTAGATGTTTGGAGCCCGAATACAGCGTATGGAATGTAAAAAGGCGGAGACAATTCTTTCGGCCGCTTTTTCAGTTTTTTTAACATGTTTTGTTCACATAGACGATTCGACAAATCCATTAGATTGCCCTAAAAAGCCCGGCCCACCTCAATATACAGATTCCCGCCTACACCACCCCCGCCTACCACCTATCCGTGGCACGCCCCATTTCCCCCTTGCTCGTTTGCCTCATTCAGCGAGATCTTCGCGACTTGCCCCCGCTGACGACTTGTACTTTCTGGCTTTCATTTTCGGAAGGGGGTGGGGTCTGATTTCAATCTGGGTGTTCAGAAGGAAAGTCGTGACCCAGCCTGACCGATTTTCGGAAGTTGGAACGCTGGTCCGGACGATCCTTAGATATTTTTGAGCCTCACTGAAGCTCTAGTTTTGTGCCTAATTCTTCCTTAATGCAAAATCTGGGATCGGTGGTACCAAAATTAAATATATTCCAGAATCAGAATGCTCTCCTCCGTCCCGTTGGCTCGCCTAATCGAGGCCACCCCGGCCAACAAAGCCCTCTGCGGCGCGTTCTTGCCTACCAACAACAATCCCTCATTCAGCAGCTTCCAGGTGTGTTAATAACCACCTTATTAACGAGGCTTTTGCTTTCTTCCGCTTTATTTTTACCTTTTTTTTCAGGACGTCTACACCGTTTCCATCGTCGACACCGATGGCACATCCCCAATCGCCTTTGGCGCCATCAACATGTACTCCCAAAAGCAGGTACCACCTTGACACAAACAACTTGACGGTATGCCGCATCGAAAACGAGATTATTTGCCATAAAAATCGAGCCCTTCGGCTGATCCCCTCACCACAATACCACCCCACTTTCCAGGCCTATTGTATGGTTGGGGAGGTTAGCGACAAATACCACAACTCGACCATCTGGTTGGAGGACAAGACTGTCGAGAAGAGCCATGTCGTGCTCAAGGTGAGGGAAATATCGTAGTTGCAGCATCTTACAGGGGAGAATTAGGAATAGATGATACCTTAAAAGTTATGATAATTTGATTTTTGAATAGTTAATCGTTATTTTTGAGTATTAGATTGGTGGTATCTTAATAGAATTATTGCGATTTTACAAAACGTTGGCCCAGGGAAAATTCGAGCTCATTTTTAGATCTCAAAATCCGAAACCGGCAAGCCTGACCACTCCGGCCTCGGCATGTTCCGCGCCGTGTTCGGAGACCACGAAGAGAGGTAATCAATCCAACTTATCGGAAATATGCAAATTAGGCCGATCGAGGAGTACCTGATGCAATGGATGGTCAACAAGACCGTCGGAAATGATTGTCTCGATTTGAACAAGAACGTCACCCTTGATGTTGTTGGAAAGAGGAAGTAAGACTTTTCACTTGGCCTATTCAATCGATTTCTTTGCTATGTCAAAGTTCTAAAATGCGTTTTTTAGCTTGAATGGATGGCGCGACAACGCCGGATTTGTCGTCACTGACAACCAGCATTTCGTCGAGATGACCTGCAAGAAGTTAGTTTTTCGAAATTCATTTTTGCCAGTTTTCTGAAATAATTATGACTTTGGTGACCCACTCCCTTTAAAATCAACAATTCCAGATCCGACCTCGTCTCCCTCGACACGACTTCTTTTGCCAAGATTGTCCCCTTGACCGCCGAGAACAAGGAGATCCTGATCGAGTACGACGCCACTTGCACGATGCTGGACCGATCTGACTACATTGATGCTCTATTAAAGGTATCAAAAACATGTTAAAAACTGATACTGTTTTGTAGACATCCGACATCCGGGGAGCCCTCGCCATCGATGAGCACAACACCCCCTACGGATACGTACTGACGCTTGGATCCCGAATTCTGAGCTGCTATGCCGAGAAGGAGGAGATCTCGCGGTATCCTAATTTTCAGAATCTTTATTACGAGATTATAGGCAACTTTTGAGCTTCGCTGCCAGTCAAATCACCGCACCGGAAGTGTCCCTCTACACTTGCGAGGAGGCATTCGGATTTATGGATGAGCTTGTCAAGAATGCCCTTAAAGTGACACCGGTAGGTTGAAGTAAAAAATAGCTTAAAAACCTTTATAGGTCTATAAGAGATCGTTAGTAAAACTCCGAACTCGAGAAAGAGTTGCACTAGCCAAGGACTAGGAAAGTGTAGGCTAGCAATGATTACTTTGGAATGGAAAGGCTAGCATAGATTCTTGACGAATCAGCAGCTAAGCATGGGTTTTTTAGAAAAAGAACGTCAGCGGAAATTCTTGAGGACCGGCAGGTTAGCAGAGAATCTTAAGGAATGAGTACGCTAGCGTAGATTTTTTCCTAAAGGTACAACAGAAAATTTCATTGATGCAGAGACAGGCTAGCGGATATTATTAAGGAACTAATAAAGAAATAACGCATAGACCCATATTTTTCAGGTCACCCGCCTCCACACCCGAACCCTCATCAAGCAAGTGAAGTGGAACAAGGTCTTCTGTCACAACATCGGGCTCCACCTTTTCTAATCCATAAATCCTATATTGTCGTTTTAAGCAGGCCCTATGAACCCAGATTTAACCCACAACAAAATACAGCTTTCAAAAAGTTTTATACGTTTTTCCGCATTTTTTCTTTGATTTCGCATCTATCATCCACAAACCCATATGCTCCGATTTCCACGCTGTAATTTGTAACGCTATTCGTGTAAATTACTAAATTGTGTACTCTGTCGTTTTGATGGATAAATAATTATAAAATGTAGAGCAGATAGATATGATAGACGAGAAAGCCAGAGAGAGAGAGAGAGAGAGAGAGAGAGAGAGAAGAGAGGGAGAGAGAAGAGAGGGAGAGAGAAGAAAGAGTGAGAGAGTGAGGGAGAAAAAAGGAAACAAAGAAGGAGAGAGAGAGAGAGAGAGGAGAGAGAGAGAGGAGAGAGAGAGAGAGAGAGAGAGAGAGAGAGAGACCAGAGAAGGCATGCGTAGAGAACATTTACGGAATCGTAGTGTTTCTTTAAAATCAACGATCGCTTCCAACGATTTATATGTACACGTAATAGATATTTGGCGGTCAACGAGAGACTCCTGACTGGGTTTTTTTCTACACGCTAATAATCAGCAAATTCCGAATAGAATAAATCTTCTTTACAGAGTTCAAACGTCCTACAAACCGTCCGATCTTCACGACGTTGTTGCTCTATTTCCTAAAAAAATGAAAAGTTACAGGGAATCCGGCTACGACCCACATCTAATGACGCCACGATGCTCATCATTTGCATGAGGCGTGCTGCGTAGTTTGTGCGCTTCATCTAAAAGGGCTGGTTTTCTTGCGCTTTTGGGCTTTATAGTTAATTCATTTGTTTTAATGGAAAAATAATATTTATTATTATATTATATAGGTAGGTATGATCACCACAAACTGCCAATTACCGTACCTGTACCGTATAATAATCGTGTACTTCTTGAGCAAGCCGCCGTTTTACGCTATCTGCCATTGCAGCTGTAGTCTCGCTGATTATCGTGTCCCCTAAACTTTGTATTAATATGAATTAATTATGAAAACCCCCCCTTTTCCCCCCCGGGGGGGGGGAAAAAAAAAGGGGGGGGGGGGGGTGGGGGAAAAAGACAACCCACAACAAAAAAAAAAAAAAAAAAAAGGGAAGGGGGGGGGAAAAAAAAAAAAAAAAAGGGGGCCCCCCCCCCAAAAAAAGGGGGGGGGGGGGGATAAAAAAAAAAAAAAAAAAAAAAAAAAAAAAAAAAAAAAAGGAAAAAAGAGGGGGGGAGGAAAGGGGGGAAGAGAAAGAAAAAGAAGGCGGGGGCCCCCCCCCCCCCCCCCCGCGCGCCCCCCCGCCGGCCGGGGGGGAACCGATGGGAGGGGGGGGGGGGGGGGGGGGGGGCGGGGGGGCAAAAAAAAAAAAAAAAGAGGGGGAGGAAAGCCCAAAAAAAAAAAAAACCAACCAACCGGCGGGGGAAGAAAACCCCCCCCCCCCCCCCGGGAACCAGGGAGAGAAGAAAAAAGAAAAAAAAAAAAAAAAATAATAGTAATTTTCATCAATGACGATCTTGTTAAAATCGCAAAAACCAACTTTTCACACTCCACATCGTCTGCAACATGCAAAATACCAGCTCAAAATCGGTCGGCTCCATTCTTTGAAGTTGATTCCCGAGGAGATGCATTTCTTTCAAACACGACGGAGTAATAAATCTACACAAAGTAACATAATACTTTTATTACTTCTCTAAAACGTACTCGACAAACTTTTTGACTTCCGGCGAGTCGCGAGTCCAGTCCGCATTTTTGTGAAAGTCGTAGTAACTAAATTACAATTCCTTAATTAAAATATTTCATGAACTTACCATCCATTATAATTCAACCACAACCCGAGTGGCGGTTTGCCAAGACATCTGGCCGCTGCTTTGTACCGTTCAAGCGCGACAAAGTTGTTCCAAAATCGTTTGAAAAGAGCCCACTAAAAAGTGGGTTAGTAGGGGCCTAATAGTGTCTTAAAAATATGAAAATATAAGTGATTAAAAAGGGCCCACCTTCTGATCCTTATCCAAATGCGCAAAATCATCAAGGCTCATACAAAACACGGCAATATTTTCAATTTCCTGATCGATATTCATGCTGACCTCCAGGAGGGTGAAGGGTTCGCCTTGTTTTACCTAAATTTTATTGTTAATTTGCGCATTCTTTATAAGTTTATCGCTAAGTAAACAAGCCCAATTGAAAGCGTTAATTTTAGTTGATGAAACCCACATGTTCAGGCGTACAAAGTGGCCATTTTTGTAGATGATCATTGAGTGCTACCAGTCCCTGTTGAATCAATGATAATTTTATGGGCAATATGAAGCTGGACAGGGTGTTGTGCTGAAATTGTGGACATTAAGGATCCGCAAAATTGAATGATTTCCGCAGCTACATTTAGCTTTATTTTTGTGTGAATGTTATACTGAAGGTAGCCTACTCACCGTCTCAAATAGTGTGTCAACCTTGATCCGAAGCGCTTTCTGCTTCTCCAAAATTAGAGACCGCTCTGGTGGGGTGACCCCGCTGACCACCTGGGTCATATCGGGTATACCCGAGCTGGAGGGGCTCGCTTCCTAAACGACTGTTTGTGTTTTTCGTCTTGTAAAAAACGCACGAATCGCCCGGAAGTGGTGGAAGGTGGTGTACTGACCTCGCTCAAAAGGCTCGACGAATGCGCGGTGTCATTTTTATCGGAGGCGTTAGGTTGGACCACTGAAAAGGGTCAATTTCTTGCCATTCGAAATAGTTATACCGGGATAAAGGGGGAGCGAGAGAGAGAGGGAGAGAGAAAGAGAAAGAGAGAGAGAGAGTGAGAGAGAGAGAGAGACATAAATAGAAAGAGTGAACGCAAGGGAACAAAATTATCTGGCTTACTTGACGGCCGCATCCCTCTATCCAGACATTTTTGAAACCGACAGCACCGGCAGCTGAAGCGTTGTTCTAAAAGCTGTTTTTCTAAACTGCAACCCAATACAACGATTAATTTGTATTACTTAATTTAATGCAATGATTTATGAGGGCTAATATTTTGCAGGAAATTAAGCTATTGTAAAAATGGCCTTCCAAGATAACTCTCTTTTTCTGCCGCCTTCCTCCAGCCTTTAAACGTCGGAAATGATGACGGAAACGTGCATGCCGGGGGTATTTCGAGAATTGCGAAACTCGCTGCGGGTCAGCTCTGGCTAGCGATAAGCGGACCCCTTTGCTCCCTTGCTAGCAAATAATACGTGAAAACGGTCAACGATCAGGATTTGTCATCACTGGTTGGGTGTTTCATCACTAGACCCTTCGATGGTCCGTAAAAAAGTTTGCATCACCGGGGAAAGCAAGACCGAGCTGGTTTGTTTCTTTTGTCCTTTTCGACGCTGATCTTTGGGATTTTATTTGCTTGGCTTTTTCAGTTGAAAAGTAACTTACAAAAAATTTAGGCAGGATTTGGAAGAAGAAATTCCCATAATACAGATTCCCTGGAAAAACTCACTTTTAGTCACATCACAATTGTGCTCCTTCTGACATTTATACGCGAGTTTTAGCACGACAGAACGGCGAAAGAAGGCGGCACCTAAAAATAGCAATAAATTCAGATACAAACGACTCATTTTTGGACCCCATTCGAGCCTGCGCGGCCCATTAAAAGCGGATCAATTCCATTTTTCGAGGGGGGTCGAATTACTCACTCCATTCGTACACGGACGGAAATTTATGAAAATGCGCGGCCCGACTCTGCAGATTCTATGGCCAAAACTCTATGACAAGTATCTAGCGATAACGGTGCAAGTCGGCGTTTACTGTATGCAAATACAAAAATATCAAAATCCAGCAAAAACTTACACGCTCGACAGCTGGCCACCCCAAAGTGCAGCCCACCCGCCTCAAGTTGGCAAATTTCACACGAGAGGTTGGCTCTCTAAATTCAGAAGTTTCTGAGTGTATCGTATCGTATCGTAGCGTAACGTAGCGTACGTACCCTTAACTTTTTTTGCCTTTTTTCAATAGCATGTCGACTATTTCAACACACGATCTTTGCTGCGTTTTTGGTCTTTTTCCGCTTCCTTTCCGCCTTTTCCACCGTTGGAAACCAGATCTACACGGAGGCAAACGTGGTTGTGTGGTTTATGGTTGCCAGGCAGTGGGTAGCGCAAAATTTTCAGGTAAACGCATTGGCGCTAACTGTACGTGTGAGGTGGGGGGAGAAATGGGGGCAATGTTTATCTTACGGATCCGGGAATGTTATGGTATTTTGCTCGGAAATAATACGAAAAATGCATGATTTTTCAAGTCAGGGATTTGCAAAAACACGATACGCTTTTTTGCGCTTATTTAATACAAACACTAGGAAAAGTTTTCCGAATTTCTGAAACTAATTTTTAAGCTTTTGAAGCTTGTTAATTAAGGGATTGTTCATGATTTGCTAGGGGCTTTTCCTTTAGGAAAAATGCCTTATGGACCTGTTTTATCGTGAAAGGGCTATTATAATGGTGCATTAATGAAACTGGTACAGTAAACTCCGTTTTTTGCGCAATTTTCAAAGTATTAAATTTCTTTGGAAGGGCCACAAACCAATAAGATACCAAACTCTATGCAAAAAACTACTTACCATCTTCCAAACCCGCTAGCAGTCCGCCAAAAACAGCCGTGTAGAAACCAGAAAACCGTCAATTAGAAATCAGAGGCCTTCAGAATCTTTCGCCCGTCACTACCCCGACTCGACCGCTCGAATTGATAATTGTTCTTGTTCCGCCCAAAGTTGATAACGGCCGATTCGTCCGCCAGGTCGAATCAATAGCCCAGCGTTTTTGAGGAATCACCAGGGGGGTTGTGGTGGAATTGGGGAGTGGTAGAGTGGCGGACTGTTTCAGCACAAAGCACAGAACTTGCCCGCAATTCGCTGGGAGCGAGAGTTCCGCCCGACAACCCTGCCAACAAAAATGGGGGCAGGAGAGAGGAGGGGGTAGTCGGGGCGGCCAGGCTCTGAGAAGGATTGTTTGCACTATGCCTGGATTCTCTTGAAAATCCACACTCTCTAGGTCCTTTACGAGAGGGCTGGCTCGGGATCTGGGGAGAGAGAGCGAGAGAATGCGGGAGAATGAGAGAGGGAAGGTACGAGAAGTGGACTCTGGAGCCCGGCCAGAAAGGTTGCCGTTAACGACCGGAAAGACTGGCTAATAATCGTTCTTTAAACAGCAAGAAATTGTGAAAAAGCATTAAAAATTGTTCTAACGGCTCATGAAGCTCTAAAAGAAGTTCCAGTGCTTTTAAAATTCACAAAATTGCAACCATCAAACACAACAAATTATTTTTATTGTCTAAAACTCGGTAAAGTGGTTGTTCATCAGATCCGGCGGTACCAATTCGAAGGTCCGGAATGCTGTCCGATCTTCGCGGTGTAGACGATCAACTTCCTAAAGCATTTTAGTTTCTTAAGATTTAGTTTTTTACCTCTAAAGCCGATACGATATTCATTATTTGCATCAAACGACCGGCATAACTAGGCTTGTTCATCTGAAGGAAATCGATTATATATCCTACTATATATAAAAAATAGTGTCTGTGTGTCTGTGTGCATTTGGATGCAACTTCCGTCAGGGTTCCAGAGTATCTCAATAAGGGGGAGTTAAGCGCATGTGATACGTCATTAGGTGCGTAATGGCCTGGGGATGACTGCACACCAATAGAATTTTCAAAAATGAGCTGTTTCCGACGTTAAAATTAAGTTTTTGTTGAAAAATGGGCCACCCTCTTTGTTAGGAAACAATTAGCATACGCCGGAGTTGCGGTGCCTATATAGGGAAGAGAGGCAGCGTTTCTGATTTTTTGTCATCGAAAATCGTGAGATTATGCAAAGGAGATATCATCGGATCGGCCAGGGTTGGTGGGCGCTTTTCAACCCTGGTGTTTTGTTAATCTCGTGCACCTCAACTGTATAGTACTCGTGAACTTCTTGAGAAAGTTTGTGCCTAGCCTCGGCGGCCACGGTGGTGGTATGCTCATTTAGGTCAGCTGTATCTGAAAAATACAGAAATGTTCGATATTTAGGGAAGTAGGAGGCTTAATGCAAAAACTACTTACTTTTCGTGCTCCACATAATTTGGAGCATGCAAAACACTAGCTCAAACTCGGTAGGCTCAAGCCGGTGTAGCTGGCCGCCCACCAGAATCATTTCTTTCATGATGGACCGGCCGCCATACCTAAATTTGATGATAAATATGAATTAATAAATTAACAATATTTCGAAACTTACTCAACGATCTGCTTCAAATGCGTCGATCTGGTCGTCCATTCCAGATGTTCTTCAAAGTCGTAATAACTAAAAAAATCAATCAGTAACTTTTAAAGTATTTTTCAAATCACGTCTAGGGGCTCAGGTATTTGTTTTAACTTACGCTCCATTATAAATCAACACCCGAGTAATAGGCGATTTTCCAAAACATCGCAATATCGCTCGATACCTCTCGAGACGTTGGAAATGACTCCAAAATCGTCGGAATAATATCCACTGAAAACTAGAAACTATAATTTTTTTTGGAAATTTACCTTCTGGCCACTCTCCAATCCTGCAAAATTTTCAAAGGACATACAAAATTTTGCGATGTTTTCTATTTCTTGGTGGTAATAAACGACCACCTCGTCGATGGTGAACGGCTTACCGGGATATACCTAAAAACATTTGTACACTAAAAATTATATTGATATTGTACCTTCTCCGGGGTACACATTGGCCACTTTTTCATGTGTTCACTTAAGGATATCATGGCTTGTTGCGTCAACGATAGTTTGATGGGGAATAGGAAGTTGGTAAGCTTTGTATTCTGAATGAAAATACCCATTTTAAGGTGCCTCTTTAGGCCCTACCGACTCAAAAAGTGCTTCAACATTTGCCTTGATCTGGTCTCGTTGTTGGATGAACTCGCCGAGATCGCTGGCCGTTTCTGAGGCTTCGAGTTTAATGTCAGGGGCAATAGGTGCAGAAGAAGAGGCTTCAAAAGCTCGTGGCTCCTAGAGAAATTCGTTAAGTGCGTCACGTTACAATAGGTATTCAGCCTTATTAATGTGTCAAAAAGACGTACCGGATCCCCTGGCGTAGATGGTGGTGTACTCATCTCACTTGGTTGGCTGCTACCAGCCCTCGATTTCGTCTTTAGCTCATTTGAGGTGTATTTTATCACTGAAAAATCGTGATTTTGTGCAAGACGTTTGAGAACTACTTGACGGCTTCATCCCTTTGTTTAAACATTTCTGGTATCGACAACTCCGACAGCTGAACCGCTTTTCTAAACCACAGAAAATACTGATGATACTCCAAAAACGTACTATCCGTCACATCACAACTTTTCGTTTTCTGACAAACATAGGCAATTTTGAGAAAAGCAGTTCTCCGGAAAAATGCGGCGCCTGAAAACCTTCAAAATTTGATATGGAGGATTTTCCTTACAAGCTCGGCAGCTGATGACGCTAAAATGGAAGCCATGCGCTTCAAGATCGCAGATTTGACAGATTTGGGGCTCGATTTTGGACTGAAAGAAAATATAAAAAATAATTTATACTTAGAAAACAATGATCAATTGCTGTAAAAAAACAAGCCAAAAGTATTGATAGACCTGATTGATTTAATATTGAAAACTAAGGAGACAAAATTTTTGCATACTTTTAACCTACCATTTACAGCTAAAAATCCGTTATGAATCACACGAAAACGCGGTTTTTCAATAACCCTTTAGCCAATTTGCGGGGTCAGATAAGAATGAAGCCCGGGTTGGGCGGCTGTAAGGAGGTGGAATGGCGGAATCGGAATCGATGGCCATCGCTCACACTCACAAACCACAAACTCACCCCACGTGTCGGCGGTAGAAAAGGGACAAACAGCACACAAAACGACGGCTAGCGCAATCATTAAAATTGCGGACCGTGGGAGATCGGGATAAAAATGTTAATCCTATTTGATTAAACCAAAATAAGAAGGAGTGCAAAAAAGCTTTGTTTTTATGGAATTTTTGAATTCTAAATTCCGTTTGCCACCATCTTTCGCGATTTTTGTCAAAAATGAGAGAAGAAGATGGAGAGAAGACACTTTACAAGCCTAATTAACATACAATTAATAAATCCCAATTTTTCCGAATTCCGGAAGTGAGTAAAATGTCAGAAATTCCGATAGCTTGGCCACTCGCAAAATCTCCCCCAATCTCTGGCGCCTCTCGGATGCTTGCTCGGCCTGTGGGTTTTTTTAGAATTTTAGGAAAATGCTAATTTTGCTATGCAAATTTGCTCTCCTCAAATTTAGGAACAGCAGCAGAACCCGGGGCTCGACAAGAATGGACGGGTGAGGTTCAGCTCCCCAAAAAGTACTCGGTTTTTAGCCTCTTCGTGGGAAAGCGGCGCCCCCGTACGTTGATGAGGGAGTGATTATTGGTGAGTTTTTATATTTTGGTAAACTTCTAAAAATATTTAATTCAGTTGCGTAAAATTGACAAAATAAATTCTCTTCTTTCAGGCCGCTTCAAGTTCGCGAAGATGATCGGCGGCGGCGGATTTGGGCAAATCTACCGGGTCGTCAACATTGATAACGTAAGAATTCCTGGAATATTCCGATTAAGTGATATTTAGGGGCAACTGGTGGCCGCCGGAAAAGTCGAACCCCAGGGCCAAGACCAGGGCCGAATGATCCTCGAGTGCCAGGTGCTCGTCCTGATGCGCGGCACCCCGCACTTTCCCACTATGGTAGGGCAGAGATTGAGAGAGAGAGAGAGAGAGTGCCAGAGAAAAAGAGAGACCGATCCATAGCAAAAGAACCTGCCCATTTCAGTACTGCTCCGGCGAGTACGGGCGCTACAACTTCATCGTGATGGAGCTGCTCGGGCGCAACCTGGCCGACATCCGCAAGAAGCAGCGCACCCGCCGCATGAGCGTCCCCACCACCTTCAAGCTGGGCATCCAGCTCGCCGATGCGTTCCAGTCGCTCCACCAGAAGGGCTTTGTGCATAGGTGTGTAACGTAGCTTTGCCTTAAGATTGATTTCCTTAGGGATGTGAAGCCGTCGAACATGTGCCTGGGCCACGGCTCCAAGGTCAACACCTGCTTCCTCGTCGACTTTGGCATGGCGCGCAAATTTATTGGACCGGATGGGCGTATCAGGCAATTTTGCTAGCGTTGTTGATCATCTACGCTTTTCAGGCGAGCCCGCAGCTACGCGGCGTTCCGCGGTACGATGCGCTACGTCTCGATCCGGGTGCACGAGCGTCATGAGCAGGTTCTGGAGGCAATCTTGATGACGTTGATGGTCATTTCAGACACCGGCCGACGACTTCATGTCGTTGTACTACACGCTGCTGGAGTTGGGCGAGGGCGCCCTCCCCTGGCGTCTCCTCACCGACCACGACGAGATTTTGGCCCAGAAGCTGCGTTACGACTTTCCCAAGCTTATCGCGTAAGTGACGATCTATCAGGGCTTGACTTAAGAGCTTCCGGTGCCTAAATTTTCATTTTTCAGGTACACCCCTCCGAAAATGGGCGACTTCTACAAGCACATCAATGAGCTCGCCTACGACCAAATGCCCAACTACGACCTCATCAGGCAGATCTTCAAGGTATCGCCCAATTTCTAGAATATATAAAAAAATTTTTTTTTTTTTTTTTTTTTTAAATATAAAAAAAAAAATAGGGAGTTTTTTTATTGCATTTAAATGAACACCTTTAGAACTGCATGCCCCCGGGCACCAACGTCTCCGAGCCGTTCGACTTTGACCAGGAAGCCGTCGCGATGAGCTACTACGGCTAATGCGACGACGCCAACAAGTCCTTATAGCCCTCGTTTTTTGTGTGAACCGATCGTTTTTGCGTCCAAAATCACTTTCCCTTTGCATCGGGATCTTGTTAACCAATGGTGAATGATGGCTGTGATACATTACTTTGCATTGAATAAATAATCGTGAACGAGGATGGCTTCAAAAATAAAGCTTTTTTGATTCTTAACAGTTTTTTATTCATAAAAATCCGTCGTCAAATATTCTTTGGGCAAAAATTCGAATGTCCGAAAAGCGATGCGAGCCTCGGCGTGAGTACGAGCTGCCTCCTAAAATTAGCATAATTTTTATGGTTAGTTTCATTATATTTCATTTTCGATTCTGTTGGAAAAACTTACATCAAAAACAGCCACAATCTTCATCACCTTCATCAGCCGAGCCGCGTAATTTGGGCGATTTAGCTTTAATAAAACAGAACGATTGATGATTTAATGACTTCGATACCTCAGTAGTATAATACTCATGGATTTCTGTTGACAATGTTTTTCTTGCAGCCTCCGCACTTTTTAGCGTCGCTTTTGTCAGATTTGTCGAGTCTGAAACTGCAAGCTTGGGACTGCCCCGTAAAAACTAACCACTGGTGTTCCACAAAATATGCAGGGCGCAAAAAATGAGCTCGAAATCGGTGGGGGCCGTTCGACGAAGCAGTCCGATAATCTCGTACAACTGCTGCTCGATCATTGGAGCGGCGAAACTAGAAATAGTGGCAATTCCATAGCCTCAGCACCTCCTTACTCTATAATTTTCTTCAAATTCGACGACCTCCTCGTCCAAATTCTTTGATCTTCGAAATCATAATACCTGAAAAGCGGTTGGATGCCGCATGACTACAACTTACGTTCCATCGTAGAGCAGCATTCGCGTATCGGGCGGATCGTCAAAACAATGCATCGTTGTCCTGAACCGCTCCAACATCGTGAACAGCTTCCAGAAGCGCTTGAAAAGCACCCACTCAAACAGAGATACCTCAGAAGCTAGTAAGGTACCTTCTGTTCCCTCTCCAACTTTGCAAATTCCTCCATGCTCATGCAGAAAACGGCGACATTTTCGAGCTCTTCCCAAGCGTTGCCCATAATCTCGGCTATAGTGAATGGTTCTCCAGGTTTTACCTGGATATCGATTATACTGATTTTTTTTTCCTAAAGAAGCCTACGTTTTCCGGCGTACACATTGGCCATTTCTTGATATGCTCGTCAAAAGCCAACAGCGCCCGCTGCATTAATGATAGCCGGACAGCTATCGTTCGTCTCGGTAGTGGTACCATCTGTATTAAAAGTTTTGCCTACACAATTTCACAAAAAAAACTTACTGACAAAAACATTTGATCAACCCTATCCTTTAGCTGCTGCTGCTCATCACTCATTTTTTGGACCACAGCTGCCGGCTCCTGGTGACCGTCAATTGATTCTGCCTTTAGCTCAGATTCGGCGGCCGGAGCAGTAGTGGCTGATTCCGAATTTTCGCCGCTCGGCCCTGGGATGCCTGCCTGAAAGCTTGTATACTCGAAAACTCGACGAGATTAGCATCCATCACTCGATTTTGATGCTTACCAAATCCGGCAGGGCATCCTTTGTATTCTTCCGCTTTTTCTTTAACCTTGGCGCTGATTCCTCTTCATCTTCGTCCCCATTTTTCATTTGTTTTATCACTGCGACATTACCCGTTTTTATAAATCTCGATAAAGACCAACTGGAAGGCCGCATCCCCAAATCCCAACATTTCTGATATCGACAACTCCGGCAGCTGAAGCGGTTCTCTAAAGAGATCTGGTCCCTAGTCCAGTACCTTACTTTTGGTGACATCACAAGCCTTTTTCGATTGGCACACATACGTAATTTGTAGAACGGCAGCTCGCCGGAAAAATGCGGCGCCTAAAAATATCAGTGAGTTCGACGGTTGCCCAAATATACAAGCTCGGCAGCTGATCACGCTGAAATGATATCCGGGCGCTGGAAGCAGGCAAACCTGGCAGGTATAACTTGGGGAAACGTCCTGAATACGATTGATTATAAAAAGAAAAACCTAATTAACAAACTTGCATTCCCACAGCTTGGCCAGCCACCAAATTCGAATTTTTTTAATAAATCTAAGTCGGTAGTAAATGAAATCAGCGCACAACTTAATGCAAAAAAATCAACTTTATCAAAAACGGGGTCTGTGACACGCATGGCAAATAGAGAAAACTGGCCGTAGATAAGAAAGGTGACGGGGGCATTGGTATTGATTTTGTGCACTCTTGAGGCTCGAGAAAGGCATGTGATTTTTGAGCATCACCTTGCATATGAACCTTCCTTTGTAAATTTGGCTCTTTAAAAACAATAATATTTATTCGTCGACAAAATCAGTATTCATATATTCGCTGGGCAAAAATTCGAAGGTGCGAAGCGCCGTTCGACACTCACCACGTTGATGTTCGGCTTCCTGAAGTAAAAAATTATCCTGGAAAAATACGGAATTTTACGTTAAACGCTGCCACCAGCTTCATCACCTTCATCAACCGGCCGGCATAATTTGGGTGGTGCATCTGGAGAAAAATCTATATAAAAATGTGGCCTAATCAGGACCTCAGTAGTGTAATACTCATGAATTTCTGTCGACAACCTTTTTCGCACGTCTTCGGCCATTTTGATCGTGGTCTCGGTGAGTTTGGAGACGTCTAAATTGACTTAAGATAGTGCAAAACTTTTTGGAAAATTTTAGAGCTACCTGGTGCTCAAGGCAATCGCCTGATAATTTACTTACTAGCCGTGTTCCACAAAATGTGCAGCATGCAGAAGACGAGCTCAAAATCTGTAGGGGCCGTTCGACGAAGCAACCCGACGACCTGGTTTAATTCCTTTTTGATCATGGGTGAGGCAAAGCTGAATAAAGTGGCTGAATTCGCAATTTCCAGCCGTTTACTCTATAATCTTTTTCAAATTCGACGATCTTCTCGTCCAATGGCGTTGATCTTCAAAGTCGTAGTAGCTAAAAAGCTTTAGATTATTTATTAACGAGCGATACTTGCGTTCCATTATACAACAACATCCTTGTAACAGGCGGATCTTTAAAGCAGTGCACAGCAGTCCGATGCCTCTCCAATGCCGTGAAATGGTTCCAAAAGCGCTTGAATAAGACCCACTAAAATCCAAGTGTCATTCTCCTTTCAAGGACCAACTTTTTGGTCTTGCTCTAGCCTGGCAAAATCCTCAAATCCCATGCAAAACACAGAGACGTTTTCCAGCTCTTGCCGGTGGTTGCCGATAATTTCGGCAATGGTGAACGGTTCGCCGGGTCTTACCTGAAAAAAATCGTTAACCTTTTTCAGGTATAACCAGGGTTGAAAAGCCGCTACGCGGCTTTTCACCCCTGGCTTTTGCGCAGATATCTTTAAAAGTTGGGCTTTGCATAATTTGGGCGAAAAGCTAGAGCGAACCCAAAGATAGCAAGAGCAACCGGCCGCGAGCTTGACGGAATCCGAAATGAGCATCCTAGCGCCTCGTATGCAAATGAGGATATTTACATGTGTTTTTAAATCGCTAAAATCAACTATAATAATTTTGCTGTGGTGTCTGTCCGTCTGTCTGTCTGTGCGTCATGTCCCAGATTCAACTCGAAGGGAAAGGAGCTAGAGCTTAGCTCTCTTCGGATTCGGATAGAGCATGGTCAGAAACCCCCAAACTGATAAAAAAATTATGAAAAAGTTTTAATTTAAATTATTAAAATTAACTTTGAAAGTTTTTTCCTTAGTAAAAGCAGGGGGACGGAGGTTTGCCCGATTTCGGACATACTGAGCCAGGTCGCGCGCGTTTCGGCCAGGAGGGCGCGCAGGGAGTAGCCCGAAGTCCAGCCGCTTGCAGCGGCGAAGCCGCTGGAAGCGGCTGGTAAGGTATAAATCGCCATTTTATTAAAAATCTGATAAGCGTGCAGTAATCTACGCCCTCGAATACCCCTAAACGCTTTTCGACTGGGCCTTAAAATTCTTCTCCTTTTCCGATATCTTGGTAACCCGATTTTTTCGAGCCATTTATGCAAAGTGTCCACACACACACATGAACTATTTTTTTATATAAAGTAGGATTAGATTATCAACGTTAGTTTCTAAGCACCCGCTTTTTCCGGAGTACACAATGGCCATTTCTGAAGGTGCTCATTGAAGAGTAGCAGCCCGCGTTGCATTATTGATAGCCGGATCGGCACTGCCAGCTTTGAGATAGGATTCATCTAAACTGGTATAACGTTTCGAGAAAGAGAAGCTTACTGTAGCAAACATCCCCTCAACCTTGTCTTTGACCTGTTGCTGTTGTTCTAGCATATCTTTTATGACCGAGGCGGGCACTAGACCACCGTCAATAGATGGTCCGGTTGCAGGTTCTGCATCATCAGACTCAGGGATTTGCTCAGGATCCTAAAATCAATATTTTCAGCTAAAAAAAAGTTGATTAAACGTTGCTATTTCAAATTTTAAGCGTCAAACGTAACCAATATGACCACCTACTTACCGTATGCTGTGAACTGCTGGAAGGTGGTGTACTTATTTCACTCCTCAAATTAGTAGTAGGCTTTTGCTCTTGCTCATCTTCGACGAGTTGTTTGATCACTAAACAGCTTTTTAAAACCTGCTTTCTTATATCGCCTACTTGATGGTCTCATCCCGAGATCCCAGCATTTTTGGTATCGACAGCTTCTGCAGCTGAACCGCTTCTCTTCAGATTTACGATTTGAATCAAAGAAAAAGGTCTTACTTTTCGTTACGTCACACTGCTGGGTCCCCTGACAAACGTAGGAGATTTTAAGGAACGCCGTCCTTCGAAAAAATGCGGCACCTAAATATTTTTTTTGTGGAATTTTCAGGATATTTACAAGCTCTGCAGCTGATCACGCTGAAATGCGAGCCAGGGGCCGCCAAACTGCAGATTTGACAAGTATAGCCCTTCTAAATCAAAGGTGGTATAGAAAAAATATGCACCAACCTCCATTCTCACCGCAAATTGACTGCAATATCCCTCAGATGAGCAACCAGAATGTGTTTCTTAAAATGTCGATGAAATATCACACCAGATTCTAGTAAAAAACAACGAAATAATGGAATCGCAGCCGAAAATCGTGTCTTTTTGGGACAGTGATCCCTGGCACACTCTGCAAATAACGACTTTGTGAAATGGCCTTTGATAAGGCTGTTCGCCCAGATCGATTCGTGTCTTCATGAACCCGCATGGAACGGAATTTATTTCAGAGGAGGGACCTTGGAAAACCAAAATAGTCAATACAAAATTGGAGGAAACAAGGATGAGAATGGAAGTTGGTGCAAATAGCTCCCCATACAACCTCAAGACTAAACAACGATGGCGATAGATTACGGAATAAGATCAACTGTTTTTATGTGTAGGTCAATGCATAATATAATATGCGATTTTAATAATATTTCGGCGCCGAAAGAATATTTTTGAACACTTCGATTTAGAGGCCACCACGGGCAGAATCCGACCTCTTTTGCTTGAGATTTTAAAGGTATGATAATATAACCCTTGTTCGTCATTTCAAATTTTTTAACTCGTTTCATCTCTAATCAATAGGCCTGCAACGATTCGAGCAAGCAGGCCACATCTGCGCATCAACGGATATTGATTCCATTAGTGTGTGACCCGATCTGGCGTTCAAGCACTAATGGGCCATGATAATGGAATAGCATTCACGCGCCCATTACTGCATAAAGGTCATAGATCCTTTCCGTTTTTATGTTGTGCCTAAAAATTCTTCTTGCGTTTTGCTGTTTATATCTATTTTTTAATTTAGTCTTCATAATAACCTCTTTTCCCATAAATATTTCCTTTCCAGAACAGCTTCCGGAACAATGTTTGGCGCTTGGGCATCAAAAACTCTGGAAAATTTACGAAAAAGCGTTTGCGGTTGGTTTTTCAATAACATTATAACCTAAACTTTTTTAGAACAACTCGAGCGAGGTATTGAGACGATGGAGGGCCGGGATGCGGAAGCTGCCAATCCGCCGTCAGTGATTTCGGCCGACTCGGGTCTCGATCAATCGGTGTCTGTAAGTTTTTAATGCATTTTTTTCATATGTTTTTACTTTTGCAGGACGCATCGGCGCCGATTTCCCCGGGTGCACAAGCGAGCGTCACGAACACGACCAACAATGATGAAGCCTACATTGAAGATCCGCTTGCTACAAGGGTAAGTGATTATTTTCTAGTATTTTGAAATTCTATTGGCTTTCCACTTGGGTTTTAATAAGGGGGGGGGGGAAAAGGGAAAAGGTTTTTTTAAAAAAAAAAAAAAAAAAAAAAAAAAAGGGAAAGGAGTTAGAAAGAAAAAAAAGAAAAAAAAAAAAAAAAAAAAAAAAAAAAAACGGGGGGGGAAAAGGAAGGGGGGGAAGGGGGGGGGGGGGGGGGGGGGGGGGGGTATACAACCTTGATTTATAGCCGCGAAAGTCTGTTGTCGAACCCCCGGCGGAGAAGGTGCTCAACGAAATCGTTCGCGAGATCCCCATGGATGGGGTCTACATACCAGAAAATTCTTTTGTGGTGAGTCAGAAGTTTAAATACAATCCTAGTCAGAGAGTTTTTGGAATATATACGCTTCTTGCAGGGGGCCACAGAGCCGGATGCGTTTGGTGGAGTAAGCTTTGGCGACGTTGGCTGGGGACTGACCGATGATGGACCGGCCGACAGCGAGGATTGCATCGAACCTCTAGCTTCCGGGGCCAAGGTGGATAGTTTTCGGCATAGAATTTTTCCAAAAAGTTGCCATATTTATTACGCATGATTGTAGGGCAAAAACGACCATACAGCTGTGGGAAACGAGGACGTGCTGAAAGAATTTGAAAAGCCGACTTTGGACGAGGCAAAGTGCACGGTGCGAATATTTCGTAGCTGTCATTACAAAAGTATTTTTTCAGAAATGCGAAAAGCCCCCAGCTAGCAGCATGGCGCGTGACCAGATCGAGCACATCTCTAAGCATATCGTGGGGCTTCAACGGTAAGCTGTAGAAAACTTCGCATTATATTCTATTTTTAGCTATCAATGTGGCGTGTGCCCGGCCAAATTCATCAGTGAGGTCAAATGCGCCAACCATTTCTTGAAGACGCACAACAAGGAGGTTGCGGCTACACCGAAGGATTTAATGTGAGTTCTCATTTTTGCAGCTATTTTTAATATTTAGGAACGATGACCTCAAGAAGGTATATGAACGAGTTACAACTGAGTGTCTTCCAGACGCCGTTCAAGTTGTGCTCGAGTGGTGTGAGACGACACTCGCCTGGGTATTTTTTCTAATATTTTCTTCAATAAAAATTGCTACAGGACAACGAGGAGGCCTTCAATCGCTGCCTCAAGAACCGCTTGGTCTGCAGCCTTTGCAAAATCGAGGTGCAGTCGAACCACAAGAATGTGCTGAAGCATATCAACACCCACATCAACCAGAAGCCGTGGTTTTGCTCGTTATGCAAGGTGGATCTGGCTTTATTTTGTAGATGTCTTTTTTTAGTTTGCAAGCGGCAGCTCTGTCAGTATCCGCCATCACATTGCCGTCAAGCATCTACACGCCGATAAGAGCGCCCCTATAGAAATTAGCAAAAATACGTCAGTCTTTTTTGCTGTGTTAAAAAGTATAGCTTTTTAGTTCGGCCATCTTCTTGAAGGAGCTGAAGGCTGCCTGCGCGATGTGCTTCCCGGCGATCGAGAAGCAGATTCTCGCCAATCTCAGCTATGTCTTTCGCGTCCGTTTTGACCCCACGGAGCGCGCGGCGCAAGAGTGCGAACAGGTTTGCAGTACTTTAAATGCGTATGTTTTTTGTAGGGAAGGATGTTGCACGCCTTGAAGCAGGATAAGAAGGCTACGACTGTCGCTGCTGTGGCGGAGGACCCGATTCAGAATCGACCGAATCGCAAGCGGAAAACGGCCGAAAAAGTGAGGGAACTTTGATTGTAACGAACGTTGATTTGTAGGCCGAGGCCTCATCTTCGCGCGAAATTGATAACGAATCTATCGAAATGGAACCGCGCAGCAGTGATACTTCCGGTCTGCTTGATGAGGTATATTTGGTGCGGGTATATTCATACAATTTTAGTCTGTTGCTTCTCGTCGAGGAAAAGGCAAGAACTCGAAGCGAAAAGCCAGCTTGGATGAGGTAAGATCAAGCCGAATTAATCTGATAAAATAAATCTACTTAGAGTCTGGAGACGCCGCGTGGTGATGGGGGTTCACAGCTTCCTCAAGCCGGCCCGAAGCGCAAGAGAAAGGCGGCTGCTGCGTCGAGTTCAAAGGCTGCTCAGACCGGAAATGTGTCGGTGCTACAAGAAACCGACCAGCTCGTCGATACAGCAATATCACCAATGGTTAGTCGTTTAATATAATCTTCTTAAAGTTTTGTTTTAAAGTAGTATACTTATACGGCTTCCGAATTGCTAGTTGTAAACCCTTTCGGCGGAAATCTCAATTACAAGTATGACTTTTTTCTTTTCCACTGCTTCCGATCTCTCTAAAGTTCCAGGTCCCGTCAGCAGCTGTGCCATTCGTCTGCCCTCCCCCATTGGTCATCTTCGACCCGTTGAGCTTTTCCGACCGGGAGGAGGCGCTGAGACGACTCTAGAATTTCCCGATTTCGCATGTTCTTTTATAATTCCAATTACGTATAATTTCTGTAATTTAGCCATTTTCACGTTGTCAAATCCTAGTCACAATTTTGCCGCTGTGGGAAACGTCACTTTTCTCGCCTCTCATCCTATCCCAAGGAATTATGTTCCCCTCGTACACTACCTATTCTTATCTTGTTATTACATTACTCACAGATAAATGGTTTATAATTAGTCTCGGACGCTTACTGCTTCAAACTTGCAATTTTTGGATATTCTTATGAGTAGTTGATTTACTTCGGGTATATAGCTTTTAATTGGTGAGCTGGTGAGATTCTTGCACATTGGATGATCAAATTAAAAAAAAGCGTACAAGTTATTATCACAACACAAAAGCAAAATCCTAATAAATTAATCTCTAACGCCGTGGAGAACATGGAGCCTGAAATCGGTCAGGGACAAATGAAAATGCTTTGAAGGCTGCTGCACCTTCCTCACGGCCTTTTTCGACTTCCTAAAAAAATGTTATAGCATGAAATCACCAATCAATTCTATTTGTGTAATAACAAAAAAATTATCTGAACTTACAGAAAATGCGGCAACAATTTTCATAACTTGCATCAGACGCCCGGCATAATTCGGACGATTCATCTGAAAAAGTCGGAATTTTTTTCTTCTTTTTTTTTGTGCATTTCCTGACCTCATTTGTATAATAGTCGTGGATTTCTGATGACAATCTCTGTCGTACGTTTCCCGCGAGATCTTTTGTAGCTTGGGTGAGCTCCGGGTTTTCTGAAACCGTAATTAATCCAGTCATTGTTATACCTTTTAAAGTCCACATAATTTGCAGCATAACGAATACCAGCTCAAAATCGGTGAGAGCGGTTCGGTCGAGCTGATCATCCATCAGTTGCGTTTCTTTGTCGATTTGTGGCTTTGCGAAATCGAAAATCATCTTCATACTCTTCGATTTCCTCGTCCAAATATGCCGCTCTTCCAAGTCGTAATAGCTAAAACAGCAAAGTTAATTTATTTTCAAATTTTTAGGTTCCTTGCGACTCACTTGCCATTATAAAGCAGCAAGATAGAAGTTGTCGTGTTTGGCAAGCAATAGTTTGTGGTTCGGTAGCGCTCCAGGACCAGGAAATGCGTCCAGAAGGGAAGGAAAATTGCTCCCTAAATTTACATAACCAATGCGATTTATTTTCCAACCTTTTGCTCCTTGTCCAAGCCTGCAAATTCCTCGAATGCCATGCAAAACTCGGTGATATTGACGAGTTCTTGCTGGAGATCATCTACCCACTCTTCGAGGGTGAATGGTTGACCGGGTCGAACCTTTAATTTTTTTTATGACTGGCCAATGTCGCTTTTTGGTGACTTTTTATTGATTTATTAGTTTATGTTTTCGAATTACTCACCTTTTCCGGGGTACACATCGGCCATTTTTTGAAGTGCTCGTTCAACGCCAACAGCCCGCGTTGAACTAGTGTTAACTTTATTGGAACCAATAGATTTGATATTGCTTTTTTCTAAAAAAACTCGATAATTAAAGTGCTTTTCATCATACCGAACCCAAGACCTCCTGCATTTTGTTCCCAGCCTTTTGCCGCCGATCCATAAAATCTCGGATTTCCGCGGGAGTTGCCGGATGGCCATCGATTGATTGTTCAGTTTTAATGTGTTCATCTAGTCCATTCAGGGAGGTGCTTTCCTGAAATGCGGACTTTTGGCTATTTCATTGAATTCTACCGAGGTTTGTGAACACCCTGAAGGAGATGAGCCAGTCTCAGAGGTTGTAGTTGATGCTGGCCAAGAGTTTTTCGAGTTTTCTAGTCCTTTGATCACTATAAAACGTAATAGAAGTTTCAAAAATCAATAATTGTCCTACTTGACGGCCTCATCCCTTTATCCCAACATTTCTGATATCGGCAACTCCGACAGCTAAATCGTTTCTCTAAAACGACAAGGGTTTTCAACGTTTTCCAGGCATTTACTTTTTGTCACATCGCAAAACCGATCCTTCTGACAAACGTAGACGATGTTTAGAAAAGCTGTCCGACGGAAGAACGCGGCACCTGAATTATTTTGTTTTTGGCACCGCGATATCGATCGAAACTTACAGGCTCGACAGCTAACCACGCTGAAATACGAGCCACTAGCCGTCAAATGACAAATTTCACAGATTTTGTTCTTCATCCGGCCCTAAATACATGATTTTTCAAAAAAGCTATGCGCACAAAATACACAAAATAACTCCTACAAATTCTGTGCCAGGGAGGCTCTGTGTTTTATTGTAACCAAGGTGATTTCTTTTTCTATTTTCGGCGGAAGACTATTTCTCAAGGAAAAGAGAAACGTTTTCTGTTCCACTTGCACCTGGTTGCTTAGCAAAAAAAAAATGATGTTTGGGTTTTTGGGCTGTTCGGCTGGCTGGATAGGGATAATGGAAAATGCTATAGAAAACTAGGTAGAAATTTTTCCCCAGTTATTTTACTCAAGAAAGACGATGCATAGCTTAGCACCGAAAAGCAGCTGCCTTGGGCCGCCTAGCGGATGCGACAAAGGAAAATTCCAAAAATTAGAGGAAGAATGATTAAATCCTGCCACGTTATTGCAGTCAATAAATGCGATGAATAATTTAGCCTTGAAAAATAGCCGTTTAACAACCTAAATTTTCCTTAAATTAGTGACCGGGAACGCGCTAAAACTAAAAATGATCTTATGCCTAAAAATCAAGATAAATTACCATACCATTTCCACCGATCGTCTCCGCGTCACACCAGCAATTTGCCGTTGCAGCAATTCGTTTCCAAAATACCCAGGCCCACGTGAACGCTGCGAATGTCCCATAAAGCCTTCGATAAGAGCAGTTGCGGGAAGCTTTTTTGGAGGCACAGGTGAATCGTAAAATCGATAGAAGTTGCCCAGCTGCCAGAGCTAGCACCCCAAAAAGGGCCCCCACGCACAAAACGGCGAATAATTGCCTTGACGACCAGAAAACGGACCGGGTACACTGGGCGCGTTTGGTGGTGTTTGCTCTCGCCTGGGCTCTACGCTTTTTACGCGATTTTTCCCGGGCTCTCATCATGTCGATTGAATCAGAAAGGCTTCACAGGGATGGGCAAAAATAACGTAATACACCACAAAACTTCCATAATTACACCGTATTTTCAAGTCATACCACGGGTTTGCACACTACTGTTTATGAAAAAGCATTGAATATGATTTGTTATGAGCCAGCCTTCAGCTCAAACCTTTAATTAACGGCCGTTTTTTTGCGAAAATATACCAAGATTACCTACCGTCTATAAAGCAGTCGTTACTCTGATTTTTAACCCGATTTTAGCACAAAAGCGTTTTATGATCTTGACGAACTTATTATCTAGGTTAATTCAAAAATTAATAATCGCCACCAGGTTGTGATCGTGCTACGGGCATTCCCTTATACGCATGCCTGTAATTACGGTCACAAAATGGGAGCGATCATGATGAGGAAGGGGGGGAGAGGGTGGTGTTTCTCCGATCTACGATATCGAGCTATTTAAGCAATTAGCTTGAGAGGAATATTGTTATGAAATATCTGCAGACAAAGGCTTTTCTTGCTGTTGACTCACCAGAACCGGAAAAATCGGGTTAGCCACGATGGGGGCTGATCACCGTAAATAGGGGTGATGTCATGCGGCTGGAGGCTATCGGCTGGGGGCAGGTTCAAGGACGCGAAGTCTGTATAGCTGGTAGCATCTAGAAAGCTCGAAATCTAAGTTTTTTTTAGTCAGCGAGACTTAGAAGCTAAAAGTCGCTAGAAATGGGAACTTTTTATGTATCCATAGAAAATCACGTCCAAAATCTCACGCCCGGCCCGCAGACACACTCGTCACTAATCTGGCCCACTATAGGGAGATACAGCAGGAAGAAAAAAAGCCTGAGCCTAAGCCTAACCTAAACATAATCTTACCTATCTTAGATAAATTCTGAGTAGTAGCTAGCTTTACTGGTTAGTTTTACCCCACCCCCAGCCGGTTCCCCCACCTACTGTACCTCGGCTGCGCAGTGTTCTGACAGGGTGTAAAGCCTCGCCAGGGCTTGACGAACATATCGGTATACTTTATTCAGCCTTGGAGTTACCGGAAGCCAAGGTAAGCTACAAAAATGGGAGCGTACACTGGGCGGGGGAACTCAAAGTCGATCGCAACGCCGGGTATTGATAACTAATAGCGTAGCAAATCAAACGTACCTAAATAACCATATATCGTTAAGGTATATCATTTGTATCGTCAATTCTACCGTATAGAATACACACTCGCACACCAAACACCGGTCCCCGGCTGTCTGATGCCAGCCGATTTCTCAGAAGACAGGAAGTCTGCGCGCCGCTAGCTAGGGGGAAGCAACCACCCCCAAATGGGTGATTTGACAGGGGCAACAGGGCTGGAGGTGTAGGAGCAGGAGGGTGGGGCTGAGATTAGGGGAAGGATCGAAGGAATGGATGGATGGAAGCGGATGGGATTGATCATCTATGGGTTTGGGGAGTTGGGTGGATGCCCCCTGGTTGTGGAGGGGGTGGATGAATGAATGAAGATCCATTCCAATACACACACACATACACACTCACCCACACGATCACAACCGCCCCCTTTCCAATCATTGGCTATCATTTGTTCTGTGAATCGTGGGGTGGATAATGTCGAGGAGCGCAGACATTTAGGGCTGGCAGACAGCCAGGAATGGTTAGCTTATAAGGAGTGCTTTTTTTGAGTCATACGCAAATCATTTCCAAAGATAGTGCATTCGATAGAGAATTTCATTCTGAGTAACGCTATAAGGTTCATTTTTGCAGAATGGCTGTCCCCGATTTTATAAAATTAAAAAACTAAATCGGTGTTTTCCTACATCCCTCGGCGCGCACCGATGGCAGGCATGGCTAGCCACCGGGACAAGGGGGGCCTAGATGGCTTCCCAACCACGATTGACGATAGCGCAGTCGGTGGTGCGGTTGACTGCGAAACTTTTTTTGGACTTCTCTGGGAGGTTCGATTCTTCCAAGTGTAATTTCTTTTGCTTTTTTATGGTCAATTGACATCCGACAACCATTCTGCAAAAATGAACCTTATAGCGTTACTCAGAATGAAATTCTCTATCGAATGCACTATCTTTGGAAATAATTTGCGTATGACTCAAAAAAAGCACTCCTTATTAGATCAAGAGAAGATCAACTAAAACTGGTCAAATTAAACTAAATATATATTTTGTTAAGGAAGCGACCAAACTGAATTACGGCATATAGTTGAATTAGAAGGAAGAGAAGAATTAGAAATTAGAAGCGCACCAGAATTACTTACCGAGTACTGTCACGCTCCCTTTAAAACGTCATAAATCTTAAAAATATACCTGTATCGGGCACGTACAATCAGGCGCTGGGTCAGGCCCGCGACCCGCAACGCGTTAGCCGCTCGGCGGCACGGCGCGGGTCTTGTAATCCGTTACGCCGTACGCGTTCCGTCTCGCGTGCGTTACATGTACATTAGGCGTCACGTTACCTGCACTCTCGGCAAAATCCATTTGCCCGGCCCTTGAAAATATACGATTTTTCGGAAGCGTTGGCAGTATCTCTTCATTAATGCACAGATATATTTTATCTGGAATTTCCTTAGACGCATATCATTAGTCTAGATGCTATCTCCCCCAAGAAACTAGCAGACATCCAAGCCCCCTCCCCCCTTCCTTATACGACCAGCCCCTAATGATATCCCGAACCTAAGGGACTGTCTGACCGGAAGTGGATCTTCCACCCCTCCACCTCGACGCAGACACCCTTCCCTTGCACTTTAGATAGGCGCGCCCCGAGCTGAGAAGGCTGCGAATCCCAGCCACCCATCATCATCCAATTCTTGCGGCTGCTTTGCAACGACAAAAAGCTGACATGGAAGCGGAATATCCGGTGCGAATCGCCGAATCTGACGGGGTGACCTGAAAGGGTGCGGTGGGTGGATCGGATGAATTTGAATCCGGATGCACTTTCTGGGGGGTTGGCGGTGGAGGAAGCGGATTCTTACGAAATATTGTGGGCCTTCAGGGGGGTTGTGTTTTGATCTATGAAGTTAAGCTTTTAGGGATTTGAGGTCTAAATGCATCTTTTTGCATTTGTGAAGGTTGTAGATACTTTTAAATTATGTAATGAAGACTCATAAAACGAAAAACTAAGCACGAAAAGAAAGTCCGAGGAAAAAGAAACTAGCAGGATGGGAATTTATGATATCTATCGCCGAATTCCTTGAAATTGTTAAAATCAAGCGCAAATTACCCGCCAAGAAATTGCAATAAAATCACGCCCTTGATCCTTCCAAATTTGATAAGCTCGGCCCGAAATTAATCATCTCCTAGAATCGTGGTGACGGTTTGACCCATTTAATGAAACACGATCCGCCTCGATGGTCGATAGGCAGGCCTCACTGACGCCAGACAAATTGTTTATTCTTTTCGTTCCGCATCCATTCCCTGACCGCCCCCTAGTGGTACTGTTCGCTCGACTGATATTGAAGATACACGAACCCTGGAGGGGGCAGTTTGACTGGCACGGATAGGAGGGGGAGAGGGATGGCCAAGGGAAACTGAAAAACAATTGAAGAATTGTTTGAGACAAACATAATCGGAGTTGAATGATGGGGGAAGGTACCTGTTAAGGTGGGGGCTGGTTAGTTTGGGGTTTTCTTTGCTCCTTACAGCTCTCAGAAGCTATAAGGTATTTTAAGATACCTTTCTGACTTACGACAATAGTTTATTACAGGACATGCAAGGCTTGACGATGGTACCTTATTGGCTATGGATTATCTACGTAGGATTCCACCAAAGAACGTAAAGTAACTTATCGTAAGCGATTATGACCCCTTCACGGTGGACCAGCGTGGTCGCGTTGCGCCTCGAATTCATGAAAATTCATAGCCAAACAAATCATTAAGAAATGACTTGCACCGCCCTTTAAGTTTAATTTTCTTACCTCCAGGAACAGAGAACCAGCCCCGAAGCTGATCTGCCTAGACCCAGGTTTTCAAGAAGTTCAACGACAACAGCAGGCAGCTCTAGACAATAGCAAAGCATGCGCCCAGCATCACCAGAATGAACGGAAAACGGTTGGTGCTGGTCGGGATGGGAGTGTGTGTCTGTCTATCTGTCTGTATCCCCCGCCCCGAGAGACCTTGTGCAATCAGCAGCGACATTAGCTTCCGTAACGAAGGCGATTAGGCCGTACGGTAGAGTTGCGCGCAGGGGGAGACTGTTGGCACAGGGTATTAGCCACCGCGGGACCCGATTCTGAGGACCCAGAGGGGGCCCGCACTGTTGGCCCCCCTAACATACCGATGTCCGCCCACGGCCCGCATTATGTGGACTAATGAGAGGATGGTATTGGGACTATGATAGGTATGCGGCGGATTCCATTACGCTACGAATTACAATAGTTTTTGCGCTTTTTAGTTGAGCTCTATTTCGCGCCATCTTTATTTCTTCACCATTATGACTGCGATGGTCTTCGGACTGCCTTGTCGTCGAGGATCAAAATTAAACGCGATTATAACAATACTAAATGATTAATTACTTATTTTGTTGTTTCCTAAGATACCTCTTCAAGCAGTGCACAAAATACGGCTCGGCCTCTGAAAATATAAAATCCCAGACGACGTACGGGTGAGCGATAAAGGTATAGTAACAATTTGACACGATAGCAAAGATTATGTCGATCACGTGGTTGGTCATTAACTGAATTTTTGGAGTCATTAAAAAGCCCCTACAATGCTGGAATTTACCATTAATATCAGCTTCTTTTCCGCGTTACTAGTCGATGTCGTATCACGCCGCTAAATTCTTTTTAACCTGATTTTTAATTACAAACCATTTTTCGGATTTTCCATGATGTTGCGGTGTCCATTATGATGCTCGCTCCAATCACGAAGAAAAATGCGTAGAAGAAATAATCGCATAGCCATTCCGTGAAACGATTTAGCGAGAATACCGAAATTAGAGAGTAGGTCAGTGGGCTAAAGAACGCTCCGGTGATACAGTACCAGGTTTTCTCAATTGGAGCGGTCACTAAAAAACTTTTGGAGGCTTATTAGTTTCATACAAGCTCCGATTTCCACGATTTCCACTAATGAAAAGAGAATAGAGACGATTACGGTCGGGATTACAAGCTTTTCGCATTGTCTAAAGAAGCGACCATCGAAAAAGACGGCAAAGAAACTGAAACATATAGGTATTCAGGGTTAAGGCGATTGAATTACCGATTTATTGAGAGCCCAAGTTGTAGCAAAGTGCTAGCGCGCTCAACAGCAATCCAGAGATTCATCAAAACCAAGTTCAGCAAGACCCCGCCAAACTTTGGAAACCCTTCGATACTCACACACTCCCAGCTGGAACCTAACCTTTAAAAGTCCTTTCTGAACCCTTACCTGATTGAACACCATCCCTTATAAAACCACAACAAGGCCTCATAGATACGTCCAGATGAGTCCAAAATAAGATAGATTTTTACAGCCCGAGAAAGTTGAGAACTTCGATGGACGAGATAAATTGAGATAACGGCTAGGATAAGCCCGATTAAACCGTTCTGGAATAGTTATGGCCTTTCGGGAACGTCATAAAATACTTACAATAAAATACGAAGGCGGCACGCAATCGTCAAAAAGGCTGTTGTGGCCCCTTGGCTGTGGAAGTCCATGGAAATCATACGCGCCCTCGGTCTCCGATTCAACCATCAGGGCTCCGGACCTTACAGCAAAACATCGCGTTTCATCTGCGTTTGTGAAGGCCGCTTGATCGTATTCCAAGTCGGCGGAGAGGTTCTTCTTCATTTTTGGGATTTTTTTTATAACGCTAGAAAATATCCGGCGGCTCTTCGAGTTCACTAGTTTCCGCTAGCGAACCCTTGACGCGACACACCACCACGTTGTTTTCCAAGGGTGCGAAAATCCCATTTAGGTATTTTTAGAGCATGAGCGCCCTCTATTTTGCGCCACCCTCGCAATCGGCGCCTAATGGGGTGTATTTCTGGATTTTCGTGATCTTTTTTGGACTTGTTTTCTCCTCTCGCGCAGGCGGATCTCCGACCGGCCAGTAAAATGACATTACTTAACTCTCGAGAAAATACTGTATTCTGGTGCTTTTTATACTTTCAGAACGAAAATATCCGTTTTTAACGGGTTTTATTGAGTTTTTATGCCGCACGTCAGCAAGTTAATTGTTCAGCTGACAAAAACAACCAACGATGGCCTTTTTGCACGCCAATTCCAGTTTGCGTTGAATAAAATCACGACGCAGCTGAAAGGTTCGGGATTTTAAAAGTATCATATCCCATACTTGCTCAAAAAATGGCGACTGAAAGGTTGCAGCTCTTGAAGGATATAAATTAGCATTCGATCTTTCTCTACGAGATAAATCCCATATTCCAAGGCGCGGACTATGAGAAATAACAACTCGATGACGTTGTTCGAGATCATCTACCTTAGATCTTGTTTTTCTTGAATATCGAACTTACCATTAACAACAGCTTGAATTCGGCATTATTTTTGCTGTTCGATTGTCGTTTCTGAAAAACGTTTGAGTTGGATAAAAGCCAAATAATCTACCATTTGCTTAATTTTCCAAATTGTCGCCAAATCCATTAGAATGCTGACGCCGTCACAAGCTTCCAGGGCATACGGTGCGATTTGTTCCCACAGATTTGTGATCGCCGTCCAACGATACGCTACCATGGCCGTATAGTCCAATGGGCTCCAAAAGACGCCGGTGAAGCAAAGCCACGATTGGTCATGTGCTGCTGTTTCTTAATTGATTTCGTTTATACTTTGATGGAGGAAAAACCCACTAGCTCCTAGCGAAAAACACTGTAAAATTAAGGGCGCGCCGAGGGCTAGAAGGGCATGTGGAATCGCCAACTTTTCACAGAACGGAAAGAAGCGACCATCGAAATAGACAGCAAAAAATCTAAAATTGCTTTATTATGGATTCTCTCTTCCCTCTCTCTCTCCCGCTCTCCCGCTCTCTCTCTCGCTCACTGTATTACCGATTTATCGACAACGTCATCTGCAAAAACGTAATAGCCCGCACGCAGCCAAGCCATAGACTCGTCACAATCTGATTCAAGAATATCCCGCCAACCCTTGGATACCCGATGACGTCAACGCATTCCCATCTACGAATTACGCAATTAAAACCCGCTTCTCCTCCTGATTCAAACAGTTTTATTCGATTAACACCCACCCAATCAAACACCACCCCTTGTAGAATTGGGCCAAGGCATCGTAGATCCTGCACGAGCAGTCCGAGCCCACAAAAAGTTTTACGGCTTTGGATAAGTTACGATTTCTCAATGCAAAATATAGACTTGTTGAACCAAGCATAATACCGAGAAAGCCACACTGTAAAAAGATTTTTCTTTTTAAGTAAAGTTTAAGTAAACAAAAGCTACTTTTCTCTTCTAATGTTTTCAATTAATTAAAATGTTAAGTTTCAATAACCTAACTGTTAGGAAAAGCATTAAAATCTACCAAAAAGAAAGCCGGTATAATGTATGGATCAAATTCATCATTGACATCACTCCGCATTGGCATCCCATGAAAATCATATGCAACACCCGGTGAAATATTATAGAACGCCATCTGCTGATTCGCCACTTTATAGCAAACTGAGTGATTTCGCGGTTTTTCATTCCAATCATAATATTCGTAATATTCTGCCGGGGATCTGGTCGAGGTTGTCATTTTTGGTTTCTGGATTGCAAGTGGGCATGGTAGCGGGGAGAAGTGTACTTGTATGGTGTTTGTTGACTCCTCGGAGTCTAGTGGAACCGAATTAGCCGCCGCCCAGCAAAAGCACAAACAATTTTGTATACGGTGTGTCATTTGTAAATATTTTTTTGGGTTAATAAGGTTTGAGTCATGCGATTTGAGTTATGTCGATGAATTTAAAACCAATTTTTGCGGTTGTTTGCGAGGTTTTCCGTCGTAATGTTTATTAATCGGTATTATCATAATAATCAAAGGTATTACATAAGATTTTAATAGTTGAAAGAACTAGCATAAAATAAACCCGCTCGTAATAGATAATATTATAATGAACGTTCTATGGTCGATCAACCACACTAAACGTCTAATGTAAAAAATTTTTAAAAACTTACCGCCGATTTTCCGCGTCAAATATGCACATCAAAAATAGTTGCCTAAAGCCGCTCGAAAAAGCATTGATTAAGTGTCATATATATAACCATGAATTAACGTGTTGTTAATATTCAAGATCAAATTCGGAAATCATGAACCAGCTAAATTGCGTCGTCCACAACACGATGCTGAACCAGGCGATAATCAGACTGAAATCCCAGGCAAACAGCAGACACCGCCACCAGTCCATAATCAATTCTGGCGGCCCGGAAAAATGCAAAATCTCGGACTAGCGGTGGCAAAGAAGCTAACCGATAATTTGGACGATTCCCTCCGGGGGAATCGATGGCCCGGCCTAGGTTTTGAGGGGACCCTAATGGTGCGATGCGGGACATCCGGAAAAACACCTGCAGGTCGCTGCTACTTTATCATTCGTTTTTTTTTGGGTTTGCACCTGTCTTTAATAAGGAGATACCCCCGAAAGGTCATTAAAGGAATTTTCGCCTAAAATCGTAAAATTTGCCTCAATAATTAGTTTTGTAGGGGTTTTATCCCATTAGGACTGTCTAGATTCTTTCCTGGGTTCAGAAAGGCCTAGTGACGTAATTGCAAGCGTCTTAAAGGTGTTTTTAATACCTGTCAAGGCCAAAAACGGTCGTACCCTTCTTAGAAAACATCAATAAAACGTGAAATTTTCGACGACAAATCGATGTTTTTTATCACTTTTAGTAACAATTTTTAAGCTTTCGGCGCGCAACAAACAACAAGCTACAAACCCTTCTTCCCTGTAATGGAAAAATTCGACACAGCAGAAAAAATTTGGTCGCCTATTGCCCCCCCCCCCCACCGATATTGCAAAAGCCCCGATTAAATCAAAGCTGATAATACCAACCTGTTTCGAGAGCGCATAAGCTTAATTAAGAAAATAATAATGATAATAATAAGAAAATTAAGAAAAACCGCTGCAGATAACTTCCGAATCAAGGCAAAACGCCGTTCTTTCGGTTCCCCCCCCACTCAGCCGACTCCCCAATTATAGTGTACTGCCGATACGTTGCCACTTTATTACTAAACCCGTCATTAGTGTTTCTAGCACAATCCGCACGTCGATGCGCAGTCGGCACGGCGTTGCGCGTCCGTGTAAAAGGAGCTGGTGCAGTAGCCGTTTTTGTTCCAGGACTCACAGCTTAAAAATCAGGGATGTAGCAGATTTTAACTAGTCATTAAATTGCCAAAAACGTCTAAAGTTATTCATAAGTGTATTTCCGTACCTCGAGCGAGCATCGCGGCATGCCCTCACTCCGCCAGTACAGTATCCGCATGTCTTCGGGCAGTATCCCCTCTTATACTCAGCCGTGTAGTAGTCGGATGTACACATGCCATTTGTGTTCCAGTTGGCACAGCTGAAATTGGGGAGTTATTGGTATAACGCGTCACTCACTTAATGGAAGCATCGACACAAGTGAAGCACTGATCGGTGCCACCGCTGCTGTAGCAGATTTGGTTGGCCGGGCAAACGCCATTTGTACCGGCGGGACCTGAAGGGAACCGTCTGTTATCGAAAGGTTTCTACTTACCGAAACCGGTCAGCGTGACGAACGTCGGCTTGGCAGGGCAAATAGTAGCTGAGGTTACCTGAAATCAACTACTGTAAGATTTTAGCGTTGGTGAGTATAGCGTTACATAGCCCAAATCTCTTTAAATGGCTAGGCTAACGAATCCCTTAATTTTTACCATTCCAACTACGGCAACGGCGAAGGCAACGACGGAGACCTGCTGCACGGCGGCGGAATTGAATATCTGCACATCCAAAACTCACTCTTTTATACCAAGAAGTCCGGCCAATTACCACCTGAACCAACACCCCATGCCCGCAGTGACATTCAAAACCCGATCCATTCCAAAAATTCCCGGTAAAATCTAGGCAGACGCTAACTGGGAATTCGCGCCATTGGTATTTGGCGTCAAAAATTTTGCGGGACTTCCGCTGTGCAAATGAATTTCTGGTTTTTTCCGGTTAAAAAAGCGCTTAGTGCCGCCCACGGCCTCGGCGTTGTGACTTGAACGCCAATAGCAAGAACCTGCCAAAAAGTTATTTCGGCACGTTTTTCCCTGAAATCACAACGTGACAATACCGATTCCGGAGCTTCAACTAACATAGGCTAGAGGACGGATTCGAAACGGTTGAAGTTGTTGTGTGTTGTAGAGCAGATGTCAGTTGTGATTACTTTATTATTAGACTGGCGATTAGCGTCTCTAGCAGAGCGCGCAGGTTGACGGACAGTCGGCACGGCGCTGGGCCACAGTGTAGAAAGAGTTCGTACAGTATCCGTTCTTGTTGAAGTCCTCGCAGCTAAAAGATACGGGGGTAACCCTATTTCCCGAGAAACGTACTTGGTGCGAACGTCCCTGCACGCCCTCACGCCTCCAGTACAGTATCCGCACGTCTTCGGGCAGTAGCTTCTCTTGTATTCGCCGGTGTAGAAGGTCGACGCGCACATACCGTTTGTGTTCCAGTTGGCGCAGCTGAACAGGGCAAGCGTGATGTCCGACTTGAAAGCGTCACTCACCTTCCAGACGCATCCACGCAAGTGAAGCACTGATCGATGCCACCGCTGCTGTAGCAGATTTGGTTGGCCAGGCAAACGCCATTAACGGGGATGTTCACTAAAGGGCATAGTTTTTTTGCAATATTTGAGCGCTTACCTTGGGCCGGCAAAGTAACAAACGTCGGCTTGGCGGGACATACGACCGCTGATACCTGAGTATGGAAAGGTAAGGTATCTTTGAATACCCTGTAAATTAAGCACTGGACACTTTGTAAATTCCCAGCCATTCAGAATGACGCCGAAATCTCATAAAAATACAGGAAAGACGCTAAACCTAACGGTGGCCACAAGAAGATTCAACTGATAAATCCCTATAAACACTACCATTCCAATGGCGGCAAAGGCGAAGACAGTGATGGTAATCTGCTGCATGACAACTGAATTGAATACCTACATGTCTACCCCTCATCCTTTTATACGAAGAACTTTTACTACTCGCCAGCTAGACATACACTTGTCCACCGAAGTGACATTCAAAATCATGTCCAGCCCCTACAGCCCGGCCAACTCTGGGCAAGACTTTTTTGGGAATGTGATCCCATTGGCATTTAGCATCAAAAAACTCTCGCCGCGCACCCGCTGTGCAAATCAATTTCGAGTTTTTTTTTGCGGGAAAAAGCTCTTTGGTGCCGCCCACGAATTCCGCACTGACAATTCAGCCCCAATTTACAAGGGAACCTCAAGTTGGCACCGTGGAATTTCGAATTACGCTCGCGGCTACCCCTAACCTTTCGACTATGGCGATTACAACTGTTTAGTCAGAATTTCCTTAGTGGGCCTCGGGACAGCGATACAGCACTTCCGGAAAATGATCATTTACATCCCAAAAATTAGCATGAGCGATAGGTTTATGAGGCTCTCCCATCACATACGAATCATACGAATACGAATGACCGAGTGGTAAGCGACTCGCTTGATAGGATGCTGACGACGGTTCGAAACCGCTCAAATTTCACTCGACTGATCCATTCTTCCGCCAACGCAAGTTGTTAAAAAGTTTGTTACTATCAACACAATTTATTTCTGACAACCACCATCATGAAAATAGTTTTTCAATGGCTTCGATTCGCCGAGTATCGTCGCCCCACCTCGCCAATCTGATTGCACCTTCCCTGCGGTGTTGCGGCGTCCTAAACTAAAGATGAGACCAGCTTAGAATCCCTACATATAGCTGCCTCATCCGACTTTTCTTCGAACACTGGAACGCGTTATGGAACGAGTCAAGCAGTGAGAAGGGCCCGTTGGTCCGTAAAAAACCAAGAGAGTGAGGATCCAACCGGAAAAATTATGTTTGCAAACAGACGCTAGTCTCTGTTACCTGTCACTCGAAATGCGCCGTGGTCCCTGAATACACCAGGTTGCCGTCCAGCTGTAGAAGAACAAGCGCTCTCGCGTGATCTTTGGCAGCTCAGGATAGGGTACTTCCTAAATATTATCAAAAAATCGCGACTTTTCAAAGTTATCACCTCCAAACCGCCCTCCTGCTGTAGCAACTTGAACGCCGCTTGAAGCCCCTCATAGTCCGGCAGGTCTTCGCCCGTAGTATTTACGCCCGAGTTCAAATATGTTGTGTTCTAAGCAGTCGCAAACGGGTCAGGAGCAGAACTACCTCTTCAGCCCGATACATATCCTGGGTTCGTATCATATGATCAATGTAGCATTCGCGATTCAGTGCCACCTTCCGGTCCCAAAGTTGGAGTTGCATTTCCGGGAATGTCAAAATCGAATGGTACATCTCGTGGCCCGCGATCGTGTACGTAGTACCAAACTGAACAGTCAAGTATTGAAGTGACACTGAGCCAAATTTTTCAAGCGTAAGGTGCGCTGCGTATTTATCGCATTGCTTTTGTGATTTATCAATTTGATTGCGTGTGCCCACGCCACTTCCTCACTTCTTCCATTTAATCAGTATTTCGGATTTTACTTTTTTTTGGTGCTTTTCCCGATGCAGTCTCGAATCTTCTAATGGGCTTTCAGAAAATTTACTTACCTTTATCCCTCGATCACCGCGCAATCCAAGGATGAGTGCAGTCAGCAACAACAAGTGTTTATTTTCCTCGGGGTTATACATAGAGTTCATGCCTAGACCGCTGTCGAAAAGGTTGAAAACATCGTCCTCTAGTCCCAAAAATCCACTTAGGATCGTAATCATGAGCTTTGCGGCTTCCGTCTCGTTTCTGGAACAATTGAACTATGAACGCCTAGGAAACCAACCTGCCCCCTTCAACAAAAGCATTATAGCCCGTCTCAAACTTTTCATAGGCGTTTATTATATAGTCAACGGTGCTTGTCGGCCACATTACTTTGGCCGTTTGCATGGTTCGCACTCTATCGAGCATTGCCAGTACGGTTTCCTCGGCCAAAACAAGATCGGAGTCCTCAAAGAAACTTTTTTTGGTGCCGTCAAATTATGCCCACCTTTACTTGCTGCTCAATAAGGCGGGAAAGTTTTTCGAGTGGAGTGGCTATATCCTGTAATTCTCGGACTTCTTTTTCGTTCAGTTCCTTGAGGAGATATTTGTACATGCCCGAATTGTACCGTAGCCCTCCGACAAAGTTTGCCATTGCTGTAAAGTTGTTTGTCTTTCACGTTTCCCCCCGTCGGGACATACAGTTTGTTAGTTTGTTGTTTACATCGACGTCGGCAATTTTCCTTAGTGTCAGCTAGAAAAAGCAATGTGTTAATTATAACCACACGCATTATGCCTCGAGTCCACTAGCGTTGCGCAGGCCTTCGATGTATTCAATGACGTCTTGGGGAAATGGCACGGGTGTGACGAATGGTCCGGTCGCCGAAATTGGACATACCTAAAAGATACATTTTTAATAGATGTTCCTCCTAGCTAGTTTTCTAAAAAAAACCGAAGTTGCTGCTGACATGCTGATAGAAATTATCACACGGGTCCCGGTTCCAATCAACATTTCTTTTAAGCATTTCGAGGATGATGTTCGGGAGAGGCGGTTGCTTTCCATAGCATAGATGCTGGAGCAGGACCGCCGAAAGGAAACTAAAAAATCTAAAAACCTAGACGCTCGAAACCTACCAAAGCTGGGGCCACAAGATTCGCATCTTTTTTTGAGAAGCGCTGCATCTTCTACCAGGACCTTTATACTATCGGTTTTGCTTTTTTTGGTTCAAAACTTGGGATGCTGAATAATAGGGCGCGCCGCAATTCCGCCAAAGACCAGCGGTTAATCAGTCGTGAGGCATAATGCATGAAAAGCTGAAAAAAGTCGAATGAAAATTCGTGTGTCTCTTTTAATGATTTGAAATTTTTCGCACGAAGAGTGCATGAAAGACGATATTTTTAACGTTGGAGGAGGATTTCAAGGGCCAATAATTTATTTCAATCGTGCCTAAAAATTTCTTCATTTGTTAGGGTTCCGACATCCCCGATCTGGTTGCACTTGTCGGCAGGGGCAGCGTGCTAAAAAAAAAGAAAAATCTCTCAGATCCGGCAGAACCCCACGTAAAGTTTTGCCATACGACTAGTCGCCGGGCAGTTGAATGCTTTATGGAAGGATCGCATCAGCGACAGTGGAGCATTGGTTCGAAGGTAGCCCAACGAGTGCTCATCAGCCCTAAGAAAAAGCCTGGCCTAAATCCATAAAAATACACTCTATAACGCCATGGCCCCAGATCGCATCTGTAAGCTGCCCAGCTATAGAAAAACAATTGCTCCCTGGTAATTGATGGAAGTTCTGGGTATGGAATTTCCTAAGAAAAAGATTAGCGTTAAAAATACAGGGGGTCCCAAACCCCCCCCCCCCGCCTAGCGCTACGCACTCGATTCCGATTTTTACGATTTAGGTATCTATCGAAAGCTCTCAAAAAGGCGAGAAAACAAGGAAGGCTTCATTTTCTTTATTATGTATTTTTATTCGCTAATTTTAGGTCCAAAACCATGAAAACTGCTGATTTACGCAAGATCCCCATGCAAATTGCGAAATTCCGGTTGAAAAAGTAACAGTTTTTTAGAACAACGCGAAATATCGATGGAATTAGATTAAATCTTAGCAAAAACGAAACCCGCTTGTTTTCTGCCTTTTCAAGAGCTTTTGATTGATAGTTAAATGATAAAAATCGGACACGACTGCGGACCGCTAGGTAAGGGATTTTTTGGAAACCCTGTATATCCAATGATACTTACGCTGAGACCACCAGCCTTTGCCAAAAGTTCATATGCGGCTTGTAGCCCTTCATAATCGGAGAGATCTTCGGCAACGGTCTTATTGCCAGAATTTAATTGGGTGTCATTCTATAGACAATCATTTTTTTGAAGCGGGATTACCTCATCCGCCATATATTCATTCTGTGCTCTTATCATATGGCCAATATAACATTCTCGGTTGGCTTGCACAGCTTGGTCCACAATTCCCAATCCCTCTTTGGCATCTTCAGTTTTTGTCAAAATCGAATGGTATATTTCATGTCCAGCCACGGCCATTGTGGAACCAAACTTAAGAGATTTTTTGGGGGTCTTTCTCCAACTGTGCGAATACCTTTATAGCCCTATCACATCGAAGCCCAACCAGTAATAACGTTGTGTATATCAGCTGCTGATTTGGGAAATATGCCGAATTTGTCTGGAGTCCGGAGGTGAAAATGAAGAACAGGTTGTGGTCGAGTTCAACAAAAGCTTCCATTAGCTTTTTGATGAGGAGGATAGCGTCTTTTGGATCACTAGTACGATTTTCCTAGCTTCTATAATTCTTGACTAAACACCCACATGTTCTTCTCGATCATCTGGCTGTAGACTTCCTCAAAAAGTTCGTAGCTCTTCTTAAACTTTGGCAAATCATCAATCTTCAAGATGAATGTTTGTATCGTCCGTACTCTCGATATCATTGCTTTCAGGGTTTTCGGGTCCAACATTGCAGCGGATTTCTAGGAACCCTCCAAGCTTTACTATCAAAAAACCCTAACCTCGACCTGCCAAAGTATAACCTGAATCATCTCTTCTATCTGGATCTCATAACTGGCGAGTTCGCGTAATTCATCGGTGCTCAATTCCTCGGTGAGGTATTCCATCAGCCCGATATGTAATCGTAGACCGTACACAAACTTTCCAATAGCTAGGAAAATAGTTTAAGCTGAGCCTCGGTAATTCGAAAAATTGCCAACGCACTCCTCATTTGCATCAACACCTCTCGGGAGAAGTTTGTATCATTTCTCATCTCCAAATAAAGATCCTTCAACGCTATCTGAAAAAGATTAATATGCGGTATTTTCTTAATTTGCACCTCAACGTCACTCGAATTTCGTTTAGCGGTTATATGTGCCACAACATCGGGCGAAAATGGAGGAGTAGCGCCGGGTTCCGTTGCATTCAGCGGACAAACCTAGAAAGCGGGTTTTACGTGCTACATTAGGCTCAACCGCTAATAATTTTCTACATATAAAATACAAACATGCATATGAAAATTATCACACGGATCTTGTCCCCAGTCGATATTACGCTTCAGCATATCAAGGATTATATTCGTCAGGGGAGGCCGAGTGCCATTTTGGCTGTAGCTCAATTGTAGCAACCAGAAAGCTAGCCAAACCCATATACTGTAAAAGCGACAATTTTTCATATTCGATGACCCACCATTTCGCCATGTTGCCCAAATAATGTTGCTCATATCAATGGCCGCACTTTTGAACGAGCCAGTGGCCTGTCAGTTTACGAAACGGCGTTTTTGCCTGGCGGCTGCATCCTGGGAATTGTCTCTGACTAACGCGTGGGGGTCAATCTCATAAAACATAATAGGACTTTAGGAGACTCTGTAAAAGACGGCGGTGTGGTAAAGTTTATTAAAACATATTTTTTATATAGTTTCCAATTTTTTGCGGGGGCATCGGTCAAGCATTTCAGTTTGCGTTGAATCTGCCCAACTCGCCGATTTGGTTGCACCTGTCGACGGGAGCTGCGTGCTAAATATTGAATTATATGTGTTATAATTGCCTTAATTAGCTGTAAATCTAGTTTCTTTAAAAATCCAACATAAAGCTGTCCCATCCTACTATCTGCCGGGCATTTGAAAGCCTTATGGAAGGAGCTGAGCAGAGATAGCGGGGCATTTGTCCGGAGGTAACCTAGCGAGTGAGTTTCGAGCCTGAAAATGCTTGCAATATATTCGTTTCCCTAAAAGTTATATCTTATGTAGACAAGAATCCAAAAACTTACGGATTGCTCCCCGAGCTACGTCCCGGAGCAGCTTCACAATAGCTGGCAGCGTGCGTGTAGAAGAATAGTTGATCGCGTGTTATTTTCGGTAGATCGGCATATGGGATTTCCTGTTTTTGTGGCTATGTAGTTAGGTAATTGTGCTCACGTCTAGCCCTCCAGTTTTTTCGAAAAGTTGATAAGCGGCTTGTAGCCCTTCATAGTCGGGCAAATCCTCTTGCATTGTTATCGGCCCAGAGTGTACGTAGGTATCGTTCTAAAGAACGTAATAAACTGCCAGTCACTGCACCTCTTCTCCTTTGTATTGATCCTGGACTCGCAGCATATGCTGGATATAGCATTCTCGGTTGGCCTTCACCCGCTCGTCAATAATTCCCAATTCTGGAGGATTTGTCAAAAGGGAATGATAGATCTCATGACCAGCGGTAGCAATGACGGCGCCGAACTATAGAAAAGAGGAAATCATTAGCTGCTAACAAGGAGTCGCTTTTAGGTGCTTTTGGAGTTTCGGGACGGGACCTAGATAGTTCGATAGAGAAAAATTCTGAGCAACATCCCGTTTTCAAAAAGTGCTGATCGATAAAGCTGTTTTAGAAAATTTAATTTAATTAAAAATGTTCCCTGTGTCCGGACCCTTGTGGTGATTTGAGGTGATTTGCGGCGGTCGATCGCCCCGCGACATGAGGACTTCACGCGCCTTGGATCTCGTCCTAGGCATGGCCAAGTGGCTAGTGCGATGGCCTACGAAGTTTTTTGACCTATTGCAACAAGTTCGATTCTTATTTACCATTAACTCTTTGCTTTTTTGCTAATTAAAATTTTATGCACTGATAACGGGTTCAAGAACCAAAAAGCAAAGGGTTAGCCAGCGCGAAGATTCGAACCCGAGGCAAAAAATGTTAAAAAGTTGGTAGGCAAGCGCGCTACCAGTACGCCAGTGCAACCTGTGATGGAGGCATTGGCGGAGGGTTACGAATGGCACCCTGCCCCGCTCCGAAAACGACGTGAACCGAGGAAATGGACCCGAAAACTAGAAAAAACCGCGAACTTTAAATTAAATTTTCTAGAACAGCTTTATCGATCAGCACTTTTTGAAAACAGGATGTTGCTCAGAATTTCTTTCTCTATCGAACTAGCTAGGTTCCATCCCGAAACTCCAAAAGCACCTAAAAGCGACTCCTTGTAAGGCCCTAAACAGAAGCTTTACATTTATGGCCCTATCGACACGCAGTCCGTGGATGAGCTGCGTCACGTACAACATCTGCGTGTTGTGATCGTACGCGGAATTGACCGACAATCCGCCCGAGAAGATTGTAAATAGATTGGGGTCTAGTTTGTTAAAAGCAACCATAAATTGTTTAAGGATAAAGTCGGCATCTTCGAGACACCTACTAGAGGAAGAAATCTGGATGTAACATAGATTTCAGATTTTGACTAACGTCTTTTCCATGATTCGGCAGTATGCCTCGTCAAATCGTTTGTAGGCATCTTGAATTTGGTCTAGTTGTTCAGGTTTGATAATAGCTGTTTGGATAGTTCGAACTCGATCGCGCATGATTTGCAAGCTCGTTTCGTTCATCAGGCGGCCCGATTTCTACGATCGTCTGTGATACGAAGTTCAGGAAAACCGCACCTCTACTTGGCCCACGATCACGCGAATCAAATCTTCCACAACGGGAGCGTAGCTGGAGATATTATGTAGCTCCTCCGGTGTTAATTCAAGACGTAGATACTCCAGCATTCCTGCATGCAGACGCAGGCCGTTCACGAAAGCCGCAGCGTCTAAATTTAAGAGCTATTGTTAGGAGTTATTGAATAATATTTGAGTGGACATTTAAAACACCCTAAAAAGGAAAACTTTCCGTGGAGCAAACAATTTTTCGTGAATTTAAAAAGCAATGAAACTCACCCCGCAGGTCAGAAAAATCCGTTTCGTCAGATCTTGGGTTCTCCACCATTCGTATTAGAGCAGCCTAAAATAATATAATAAATAATAATATAAGCAGTACCTCGGCGGGGCTAACCTTCGTCGACTCCTCGATGTAGTTTATAACGTCTGGTGGTAGCGAATATGACAAGGCGAATGGTCCCGTTGAGTTTAAAGGGCATACCTGTAAAATGGGATGGGTGCTTCTTCTCCACGAACGCAGGTCACTCACATGTTGATAGAAGTTGTCGCAGGGATTCCTATTCCAGTCAATGTTCCTCTTCAATAGATCGAGTATCAAGTTTGTGAATGGAGGTCGAGTGTGGTTTTGACCGAAACATAGTCGCAGAAACAAGCAGACAAACCAGGCCGCGGTACTGTGGTTGAAATTTTTTTTAAAACTTACAAAACTCACCAGGGCTGCATTCTGGCCGAATGGGTACAGCTAGTCACCGCTGGCCTTTTAACGCTGGTATTTTTTGAAATATTGAAAAGAATTAAGACGGGCATGGGGTGACTGTAGTTCTATTGATACTCGGTTTACTTGGTTTCAGGCTTTTCAATTCCCGTGAACCGAAGGCATTATTACCAAAAACTATAGAAATGTCGAGAGTGAGAATTACCAATATTTTCAGGGTTGGATGACGTGTCTTGAAGGTTATTTTTATCCAGCCATCACCATCGGCGTGAAAATTTATTCTCTTAGACTTTGTCATGCGCTCGATGAAGCTCTATTCTTCCTTTTAAAGCCCTCGGAGTTGAAGCGCTCCTTGGGAGTTGAAACGTCCAAAAAGTAAAAAATCATTTGCAAAACAAATTATATTTTCATTCTTCATATATCCTGCCCCATTTCTATGGCAGCCAATCAAGGTAAACAAATAAGCAAACAAATAATCTTCATTTCTTTATTTTTAATTAATTACGTCCCCGATCAGTTCCGGTCAACGGCTTCGCTTAAAACTGAAGCGTCCAACAGCGCCAATCTGATTACATTTGTCAGCAGGTGCCGCATGCTGAAAAAACGTTTTTTTACCAAACTCTGCTTCCGGAAGGCGGCCAGGATCCAACCCACATAGAGTTGACCCATGCGACTCGTCGCGGGGCAGTTGAACGCCTTGTGGAACGATCTCAGCAGCGACAGGGGCGCATTTGTCCTTAGGTACCCGAACGAGTGTATCTCACTTCTAAATCCCAAACGGTTGAAAGGGTTTTAAGAGGTTACCCTGTCCCCGTAATGCGGTCCCCTAAGCCCCGACACCAGAACGCGGCCCAGCTATAGAAAAATAATCGGCTCCGTGTGATCGTTGGCAGATCGGGATACGGTGTTTCCTGAAGGGTAAGCGTTGCGTAATTTATTTCCCGATACCTCCAAGCCTCCGGTTGTTTCAAACAATTTATAGGCAGCTTGCAGCCCCTCGTAGTCGGGCAGATCTTCGCCCGTGGTGCCCTTGCCGGATTTCAGAATTGTATCGTTCTGATGGGAGCATATTTGCGCAATAAACGGTGTGGCACCTTCATGACCAGGTTTTGAAGGCTCTATTCATTTAATTAACGGCTACTACCAATCGTTTAACTTGGAAAAACGTGGCTAGCTAGCTCTTATGCGGCCCGGAAAACCGAGAAAATTCTACCAAAATAGGCTCTAAAATGTTGCTTTCCAGTGAAAACCTGGTTATTAAGGTGGTTGAAAAATAGCCGTTTCACGGGCTTTCGAATGGTATAATTGGCATCCAAATCCGATACTTCCGTTTTTTTTGGGATACCGTACCTCATCTTCGCTGTAGCGCTCCTGAGCCCTTAGCATATGATCAATATAACATTCTCGATTGGTTTTCACCCGCGTGTCGTCGATGCCCACCCTTTTCTCCGTGCTCGTCAAAATCGAATGATAGATTTCGTGCCCAGCGATGGCCCAGGTGGTCCCAAACTGAATGGTCGATCATTAAGGTAAAATCCGTGGTGCGATAATACCCGTATCGCGCGATCACAACGGAGACCAAGAAGAATTGCGGTCGTATAGAGCATCTGAGCATTAGCCTCGTCATCGTATCCAGAGTTCACCGTGAGCCCCGCACCAAAAATGTAGAACGATTTGGAACTTAGCTTGAAGAAGGCGTGCAAGAAGTTTTTGACGACCGTATCGATGTTTCGTTGATCCCTACAAGTAACAAATTGAAGGCGGGTTATCTTTTTAATCACATATTGCTCGCAACCATCAGCTTGTATGCCCCATCAAGCATTTCATAGCTTTTCTGCAATTCCGCCTGCTGCCCGGGTTTCAATATCGATGTCTGGATCGTCCGCACCCTATCCGCCATCGCTTGTACACTCTTCTCGTCCATCAACCGCCCGGATTCCTGCAGAAGCCTGTGCAAAATACATTCTAATTAATAAGACCGACCTCCACTTGGTTCACAACCACTCGAACCAACTTCTCGATCTCCACGTCCGAATTGGAAATGTTTTTCAGCTCTTCAGGGCTCAGTTCAGCGTTCAGGTATTCCATCAGACCAGCATGAAGTCGGAGACCCGGCACAAATTTTGCAATATCTAGACGTTCAAGTTAAAATTCAGACCCAAGTTCCGAGATGAGTAGCAGAACAAAAACGAAATATCTGCAGGGTGTCCCATAAACCCCCTCGGCATTCGGCCGTCTTCTATCGGCTCGGGACCAAATTTTTGCCGGCGATCCGGGCCCATAAAAACCCCTTGTCGCCGAATTTTCTAAGCAAAATATTGTTAAACAAAAAAGTTATCGCACAAAAACGAATTTTTTAGAAACGCTTGGCTGATTTTTCGTATGTTCTCGCAATTAGCATCCCCGATTTTGAGTAATTTGCCGACAGATAGGCATTTTCGGGTCAGTGTCTGCCAATTCTGATAACAAAACTGCCCAAAGATTCCAGTTTAGACGTCAATTTTGTAAATCAAAAGATTTTGCGGGCGAAAAAAGCGCCCTCTTCATTTTTGCTAAACATTTCAAGGTCGAGATCCATCAAAATCCTAGTGAAATTTGCAAAAGAAACCTTAATTTCGATGTAGCTTTTTTTCTACAAGATTTTGCTTGGAAAATTCGGCTGCACATAGTTTTTATGCGTCCCCATCGTTGGTAAAACTCTGGTCCCGATCCGATAGAAGACGGCAAAATGCCGAGGGCGAGTTTTTTTGGGGCACCCTGTATATCACCAACGTCGCATATCCTCTCGATCGGATGTGGCAGCTTCGCGGTACATACGCTTTAGAAGTGTCTGGAACTCCGTGTACCAAAGGAATAGGAAGATTTGGTACCTCTAGCTCACTTTCTTCTCCCTTGCCTTCAATAAAACCGGCGACGTCCTCGGAAAATGGAGTGGAAGCAAAAGGGCCGGTCGCATCGAGTGGACATACCTAACAATCAGATTTTTGGCGTATAAGCTCACTTTCTTGATTTTATTAGCTCATGCTTTACCGACATGTTGGAAAAAATTGTCACATGGATCCTTGTTCCAGTCAATGTTGCGTTTTAGCAGATCGAGGATTACATTTGTGAAGGGAGGTCGGGAAAGGTATTCCCCGCTACAGATGTTAACGAGCACCAAGCCGGTCAGCCAGCGGGTACTGTAACCACATAACCAATCAACTCACTAAACTAACCAGGGCCCCATTTTGTCCGAAAATATGGATCCTGGGAAAAGGTTGCTAACTTATATAGCGATCGGAATCCATTGAATGTATTCTATTCAGCGGGGTCTTCTGCTATTAAATTTGGGCTGACGAATCGGCGCCAAATACAACACGCTATACAAAAATTACTTCCCGGCGACAAAAGTGCATAGCAACAAAAAAGGCTAGGACAAAAAAAAATTGTTCAATGCTTTTCCCAGCTTTTTCTCGGTATTCTGAGTATTTCTAAAAACAGTAAATAATTTTATCTTTTACAAAACAGCTGAAAACAACTAATGCGCTAAATTCCTTTTTAATCCGATCCATTCCGCCTACTCTTTCCACCTCTTACGGCCAAAATCCAAATTGGGTCTGCAACCCTTGGGCAGCCCGCAAATTGGCGGTCATAAGCTAAAATTTGCACTTCGTAAAAACGTGACCTTTTTGCGGCTACGAGCCATGTTTTTCGTTTCATTAAATGTACCGTTCACTCTAAAACCAATGTCCGAACAGCTTCCGGTTGTAATTAACTGGACGGTGATTTACAAGGATATAATCCTTATCGTACTCACTATTCCAACGGGTTATTTGACTATATTAACGATTTTATACTATGGAAAATCCAAATATAGGAATCCTTTTGCAAAAATATGTTTGTTAGCTGTTGTTAATGTAGGCGTCGTTTTGGAAACGTTAATAATTAAGGGTTCAGGATTTTATGTCGATTTACGTTGATTTAATTGCCTGGGATTTTGCAAGTTGCGGTTTATTTTCATATTATCGATATATTGAAGTGGGCATTGCGCATTTGCAAAAAATCAAACAGCTTAAACGTGGCAACTAGCAGTCCAAAAGCCTGTTTTCCATATTAAAAGATATTACAATTTTAGTATGGTTTCGTACCGTTTTTTCTCACCTTGGTCCAAGCCTGGAATCGTCACGTTCAACTTTATTGTACACTTTTGGTGGCGATCAACCGCTATACGACACTCTACTGGTCCCATGGAGCAAGTCAAAATGTAAACAATAGCTAGTTACTGAACTTCCCACATTCAATTAATTTTTTTTTGTTTTTGTTTTTTAGATGTTCTTTTTCAAAATCTTTTTCAGTTTTGGGATAAATATTGTAATTGTCTGTTGGTTATCGCTGGCTTAATAGCTGCAGCCTTAAATGGTGGCGTCACGATTCTTGGCACCTGTTACCGAAAGGTTGCGGCCACCACGTGGTATTTAGCATCGGGATATGGGCTTATTGTGGGTGTTTTAGGATGCAATTTGTATATGCTTTAGTTTGGTATCGGCAGCGGGTTACTTCTAGTATTCTATCAAATATTTATCACCATTATTGCAATGATATTCAACGGGTTTGTCCTGGCGAAGTTGGTCCAGTTGAAGCAAGCCAGGCATACCGGGACCGGGCAGATCCTTTCAAAGGTAATGACGGTCCATAGCGTTGAATTACTGTATTTAGGCCGAGCACCGTCTCTGCTTGGTTAGCCTATACACATTCGGCTTTGTTTTGGCTAACCTGGGAGCGCAGGCAATTCTTGGAATGTTTGGCAAAGCATAAACGTTTTACAGGGATTCATCCTGGTGCTTCCGAAGGACCATTTTCTGCAGGAGAGCATGCATGTAAGTTTTCAACATAATTTGTTTTTTTTTGCGCCTTTCCAATCATAACATTTCCAAGTTCGGGTCTAGACCCCGCGATTTTCCACAACCACTAGCATAAAATTTGCGAAAACTAGCATTTTGGGGCCAGAGCTGGGCTAATCCACGTTCAAAGTTCAACGTTTCGAGGATGGTATTTAAACTTAAAGACGTATGTTTCGACATTTCTGCAGCTAGCTTTAGACGATCCTCCCAATGAGCACCACACTACTTTCCCTAGCAACAGTCTGGATCTGGGCGTGGCTATCCTCGGAACTTCGATCCATGCTGCGGGCCAAAGCACCACCTTTTCTCCAAAATGCCTTTAGCCGAAGTGGGGTAGAAGTGATCAACCCGCCACAACGACGCTAAGATTATCCCGCCGATTGGCGCTTTTCGTATTGCTCAATAAAAATGTATTCAAAACAAAGCACATCGCAGATGTTTGCACGTGTGTGTGTGTCAAACATCTCGATTCAAGACATTTTTCACGACCTCCATACGACACCAAAAAACCATTGCAATAAATTGAAATCCGTCCACAATTTTATGGGTTTGAAGGAATTGTTGATGAGCTGCAACGAATCTCGTGCTCGGGTGGTTCAGAATGGCTTGAGGATTTCAAGATCATGGAAAGTAGCGCAGCTTCTAGGTATTCCACCGAGAAAGTTTACCCCAAACCGTGGATACACCATAATGCTTTCAAGGGCCTGCGCTTCCTCCGTTGTCTAGTTAGTGCTAGCTGGTGCTGCCCATGGTTTGTCGGTAAACATCTGTGACAGCGTCATCACCCCAGTATGATCCCTGATATATGGGTAAGGGTAATTTGATGTGTAACCCTTCATTAAAGATTATTGCTACCAAAATACCGTCGAAACGGCCGAAAGGAGCGCTTTTGCGAGCCATTAATGAATGGATCAATTTCACCGAGTTTTCCAATTGCGCCAACATAAACGGCCAGTAATTCCCTGAAATACGGGTGTGCGGCCAGACGGTCTTGGTAAGGCATTTTCATTCTTTGCCTCGGCGCTGATTTTCCAGCCCAAACATATTTTTCTTTAACGAGGGACTGGAGATTGAATTGCACCGGACGTAAAGGTTACGGGTCCCGAAAAGAGATTTTTGCGAGAATCGGGCGGATTCGTTTTGCGCAGTTTTCTGGCCGCCCGGTAGGGCCGCGCACAGCTTTCTAGGCGGCCAAAAATCGGATCCGAAAAACCGCGGGTAATTCGCCTAGCTTGGGCAATTTTGGCCGAAATCACTTCTTTTTTTTATTTTTTGGGGTACAGGCTTCAAAAACCTTTATTAGAATGCCGATAAAGGACCCCCGTTAGCCAATAGAAGCTGGACCGCCTTGTGTTGACCCTGCCTGGGATACGGTAACCACCGTAATCCGCGTCTGCTTGCTACTTTCCATCGCTGTGCTGATCGCCGCTTTTTGTTCTTTCTTCGGCCGCATAAAGAAGATGATGATCAGTCTACGGTACGGTATAAACGAGTGCAGTTTCGAAAACTTACGGGGATCCAACTTGTTTCAATTGCTGCAAACATACGGTAAGCACTTGTAAAGAAATGTTCATCATGGAGAGGCCAAGTAGATGTCGGGTGCAAATCATATACAACATTGCAATGTCGTTGGTAAAAAGGTGATCGAAGGTTGAGATGAATAACTAAAAGTGGTTCTCGATAGGGCTTTCTCAAGGGTCCTGGGGATGCAGCTACACCGCAAAAAAAAACGATTTCTTCTCATTACGTACCGCCCAAAGTAGCACCTTATCGCTGTTGCTCTTAATTGACGTTTTTCGCTGAAAAATTAAAGTATAGCAGCGATCTAACTAGCTGACCTTTCGAAACTTGTAAACAACCAATATCTCAAAGGCCGCAACGAAATTCAGGACAACAAATCGCATAAATATCATTTCGAAAAATGTCGGTATCGATGAGTCGACGTAAGGTGAACCCAGCTTCATACCGTAGACAACAATAAACGGTAGTATAATTTGAGCCCACGGCCATTTGAGTGTGTATTTGAAATAGTTGCTATCGAAGGAGAGCGCCAGGAATCGGCTGAAATAAAGGCGTTTCACAAAAAGGTGTTAGGCCACAATTATTTCAATTTGGCGACCCACCAAAAAATCATCCAGTCGTGCTGAAAATAACTAACATATTCCAGGTAAGAAAAATAATAGGCGATCTCGAGAATATTGAGATAGATGGAAGAGAATTCCACGCTGTTGTCCATCCATTGGAAACATGGAGGGCTGAAAGGAGAGCAGCATGGCATCGTTTTGACCGTTTTTAATGCCACGGAAAAGTGTCACGAATTTTCCCGATTGGGCCAAGACACTAGAGCCGAAAAGCTAGGCCCTCCAACTGCCTTTTCGATGCAACCTACCAAAACTGCAGAGAGTAGATTGGTAGAGAGACGATAAGATGCGCACTTGATAGCACCACGGTTATCAGGAATTCGCTTAGCCACAGTAGCCTAAAGCAATATTATGCTTAGTTTTTTAGCCTGAAGGTCAAACAGCAGTCGGCGGGAGTCTAATCGCCTACCGTACTGGCAGGACCAAGCCAGTAATCCGGATAATGATCAACGCCGCCCAGGCGTTAGCGAACAAGCAAATGATCTTCAGCTGAAAACGAAAATACTTGACCGTAAGAGCCACAAATTAACCGAGCGTAGACAAAATTTGCCGATCTGAAGGCTCAAAACCAATTTTTGCAATTCCTCCCAAAAACCCACAACCATCAGCGGATGCATGGTTATCGCTTGAAGGGTCTGCTCTTCGGCACTAGTCGTGTTCTGGACCCATGGTTCGCCCCAAGGGTTCGATTGGAGGACTTTTGTGACGGCGTCGGCTCCCCAGTATAGTCCCAAATATACTACTGAAACAAGTACTGATTCTAAGTTGATCCGAAGTCTAAGCCTAATCCTCGGCTTACGCCTAAACCTAAGCCAAAGTCGAAGCCTATGCCGAAGCTTCAGCGTCTGTCTAAGCCTAAACCTACGCCTAAGCCTAAAGATAAACATAAATATAGTTTAAATTCGGTTGTAATTTACCAAATTTTCCGGCAGCTACAGCAACAACCGCCAAAATCTCGATCAGATACGGATGCCCAGCCAGCAGATTACGGTAGCTTGGTTTCATTTGGGGTGCGCACTGGCTCGGATCCCAGAAAAAAATCCTTATTTATTTTGACGCCGGAAATTGAATTCCCCGCGAAGGCCATGCCGTGTAGGCCACGAATTCAGCCAAAAACCATTTAGCGCCACAATTTTTGCGTGAGTCGGTCCGGGTTTTCTGGGCCCGTAGGTGACTTTCCGGCGCACATGAAATCTCATCAGCATCGTTTTCCTTTCCTGGCACCTAGAAGCAAATTAACAAGTTGCGCTGCCACCAACGCCTTTCAGGGGCTATTTTTGCGAACGATGATGGGTAAACCGGCAGCAAATTGTGTGAGGCAATATTAGCGCCTAAAGTGTAGCGTCCCATTGACGTAAAGAATCACAAAGCTTATTTACGTGGGAATCGTTCATAGCAAACTCTAAAAAGTTGTAAGGAGGAGTGTTTTTGCATGTATAGTGTTAAGGTATTTCTTATTTAATTCTCTTCCATACATCAACAAGTCATTTTTACATCCGACCACTTCTAAAAAACGCCCACTCTCCTTATGAATAAGGTCAAACAACATGGAAAAATTATCGCAATTCGGGTGGCTTCGTTTTGGTGCTAATTTTATTTGGGCGCGCGGATTCGAGCGGTTCGAGCGCAATAGTGTTGATTGAATCTGATGTATTTTCAAGGCAAATGCGTTGGGATATGAGTTTTTGTCACTAGTGGAAATACACGTCATTTCGCGTGTTGGTTCAGTAAATTCCAAACATAATAATTTTGCTTCTGTATTATAATTTCTATAACTGGCTTGGTGGCTCTTGAAGCCCTTAAACGCCTGGAAAAGCTTGAAAACTTGCTCAAATTGTTTATATGCGCCTTTTTTATTGCTCGCACCTTGACCCGGAAATTCAAAATAATTTACTTATCAATTTGATTAGCTCACTGCTGGTAGGTCGCTTTTCACAGTCCGAGCCTGGGATACTGTAGTTAACTGCGTCCTTTTGCTATTGTCCATAATCGAGCTCGTCGTCGATTTTTCTTCTTCCTTCGTTCGCATCAAAAAGACAATAACGAGCCTAGGATCATCTTCGAATCTTGCCAGCATAACCTCACGCGGAACCAGACGTCTTCAGTTGTTGTAGAAACGCGGTGAGCAGCCCCAAAGAAATGCTCATCATGGAAACGCCAAGAATGTGCCGAGTACAAATCATATATAGCATTGTTATCTCGTTAGTAAACAAATGGTCAAGCGTAGAGAGAAACAGCTGAAAGAGCAGCTTTGTTAAATTCGAAGATATTGCTCATATACCGTAAAGAGCAACACTTTTTCGGTTTTACTGTTGTTGGAGGTCTTGCACTAAAAAAGTATCAACAACATCTGAAAATCTAAAGATGCCTGATGATACCTTGTGAAATTTGTATACGACAAGAATCTCGAAGGCCGCCACAAAGTTCAGGACAACGAATCGCATGAAGATCCACTCAAAAAATATCAGGATCGACGAGTTGACATATGGAGCAGAGAACTTCATCCCGTAGACAACGATATAAGGAATGATAAATTGCACCCATGGCCATTTGAGGGTGTAGCTGAAGTAGATACCATCGAAGGAGAGGGCCAGGAACCGGCTGAAAACGAAAACCAGACCTTTGCCCGAAGCACTACCATGCCCTCCAAGGGCTTCCGCCTGCCTACCAAAAAATCATCCAATCGTGCTGGAAATAAATGACATATTCGACATACGACAGGTAATAGATGATATCACCGATGTTCATGTAAAACATCCCGAACTCGATGCTGTCTAGATATTCAATGCAACCAGGGCTAAAATCAGGGGACTGTTTTTCTCTCTCTCTCTCGCTCTCTCTCTCTCTCGCTCGCTCTCCCTCTCTCTCTTTCCCTCTTTATGCCCTACCATAAATTCGAAAAATATATTGGCACAGTTATGGCCAGAAGCACTGCTGAACGCACGGTAGAGGCTACGAATTCGTTCAGCCATAGCAGCCTAAGGAAAATGTGCTAAAAATCTATAACCAGATCAATCTAAACAAATAATAAATAAATCTAATAATCAAGAAAATCCTTTCGTTCGGTTCCCCTGAAACGCTCAACCGGAATGGTAGAGTGCACCAAATTTCCTATCACATACCGGACGGGCAACACCAGACCCGGCTTCCGGGGGATGATCAGCGCCGCCCACACGTTGGCAAAAAATCCGATCAGTTTAAACTAAAAATAATAATAAATTTCTAGCTCCGTCTGGCTCTAGCTCTGTGCAAAACTCTAAAAAATTTCCCCGAACTGTATACCTGTAAACTTACAACGATCATTGGGTGCACCAAAATGATTTGAAGGGTCAATTCGTCTTCGGTAGTCGCGTTCTGCACCGTCACTTCGCCCCAAGGGTTCAGCGGAAACACTTTCGCAACAGCCTCCGCCGTCCAGAATAACCCCAGATAGATGCCTAAACTGAAAGACCGTGCAAAACATGGATTCATTGAAAAAGAGATCGCCTAGCAATTACCAAATTTCCCTGTGGCAATAGCAAGAACGGCAAGAATCTCGACCAAGTACGGGTGCTGGGCGAGAGGGTTACGGCAGTACAGTTTCATTTTTTGCCGTTTTTGAAGTGGACTGACCTGTCGACCCAAACCATTCCTATATGTTTGCAAGCCGTAGATTGAATTCACGCGGAGCCAAAGGTTACCGGCAACTCACAAGTCAACCTCCAGGGTCCGCAAAAACCCATTTAGCGCCTACTATTTTCTTTTTGCGAGTACAGGGTGTCCCAAAAAAAAGCACCCCCTCTAGCGGCGCGCAGTCGTGTCCGATTTTCATCGTTTAGATATCTAGCGCACGCTCTTGAAAAGGCGAGAAAACAAGGAGAGTTCATTTCCTGTATTATGTATTTTTATTAGCAAATTTTACGTCCAAAAACCATCATAACGGCAGATTTACGCGAGATCTGCATGATAATCGCGCAATTCCTATTGAAAATCTACCTGTTTTTTAGAAAAACGTTGAATATCCAGCGCATAAAAATAAATCGCAGAAAATCAATCCCTCTTGTTTTCTCGCCTTTCCGAGAGCTTTCGAATGGTATAAAAATTAACCCGATCTGAGCTTCTACTGGGATTCTTGTGCGTATTTTATAATTAAGTGAAACCGGGCGCGCACCCACGTCTCATATTTTTGCACCGGACTCCCGGATAGCATAATCCGAAGAATAGGCTTGTAGTGTCGTTGAAGTCTCCGCCAGGCCTATCCGGTGCAGAATTCTGCGGTGATCCCGAATATGTGTACCAAGTACGCCTACCAATCTGTATTTTCCCCAAGGTTATGGAGTATGGACACTTTGAGTTGTGGAAAACCATAGAACGTTGCTCGCTTTTTGGGCGCTCCTAAGTCTTTGTTTGTCCATAACTTCTGGAAAATCGGGATCGGCATATTTGGTAAGCATATCCGGAATCAGCGCAAAATTCGGCATCAGATGCTTGATAGTTGAAAATCGAAAGTTGGGTTTTTTGCTTTTATTGTCGCTATTTCTATTTTAACAAGGTAGGTTTGGGCGCGGCTTTAAAGTTGGACGACCATTTGTTTGGGTTCAAAAGATCCCGATTCAAGACATTTTTGCGACTACCACCACATAACCCAAAAAATTCATAGAAATGAATTCAAATCGGTCAAAAATTGTATGGGTTTGTAGAGATTTTTGATGACGAAACTTTGGCGACTGGGAAATCTTTTGATCATCGAAAACAGAGTCTAATGATACTGCAAACTTTGGCTGTAAACAGATGATTTTGCAAGCGATGGAAAACTTTAGTTGTCCGGTTTTCTATAATTTCATGCTCCGGAGAGAACTGTAACGTGTCGATGCCAGAAAGTCGGAGCTTTATCCAAATCTGCACATATTTCGAGTAAAATATCGAATAAACACACCGGGAAAGACAAAATGGTTTGCTATTTTTCAGACAAATTACTACATCTATCCGAGATCAATCATTAATGGCTATACAGTAGTTTCAGGCGTGGCCGCTAAGCGATATCGTCTAAATGAGAGTGTAACCCTGCCCTCCTCGCTGTCATCATCATTCTTGCCGTTCTTCCTTGGCTGGATGGCTTCTCTACCATGATAGCTTTTGCTCATTTGATCCCCAGCATTTAGCTTTCGTTTCTCGTAGCAGCTCTTGCTCATTTGGGCAGGGAGAGGGATGTCGGCGCTGAGGTCTTCGGCACCTGGAATCGCGGGCAAATTGATCTTGATTCTTCTGGACTTACTTTTTGTCATAGCATTCGCAAATCTTATCGTCTTCTTGTGATCCACCGAATGCGTACGAAAATTGTGAGAAGCCTTGAAAATATACGCATTTTTTAAAGCAAGCCGGAGGTACCTTTATCAAGTTTGGAACACTGGCCCTCCCATTAGCATACCCAGAGCTTTTTCCGGGACCGCCACCTTCTTCCTAAAATCGTGATTTTAGCGAAAATCACTTTCTGGAATACCTTTCCCTTTCCATTCCGATTGAATGGCCACTTTTTTTTCTTGTCCGGATCCTTCAATGGTGGAGGCGGTTTTGTATAGGTTTCTTCACTTTGTGTTGGCCGCCTGAGCCGCACAGGTTCCATCGTCTTTTCGACAGGTTCACTCTGGCAAGTCGACGGGACAGAGGTATCCCGGATTGCTGGAAATGGTTATATAATTTATTACTCGCTTAAAAATAGACACTGTAAGTGTTATTTTTGTCATTCAACCTACCATTCAACCTCTTACACTCCTGTGACATATATTCGGCCCAACTCGTACTCGCTTCCAGAAGCTCATCCAACGTCACGTTATCATAATTCGGACTCTCATACCCGAATCTCCAATCCGTCACATGCGAGGGCAGATGCACCCTCGGGATTTTTGGGGGATCAGGGATCGTGAGGTCTGTCTGAAAATTTATTCCAATATTTTCAAAAACCAGCTTTTTGGATACCTTGATGTTTTCCGGCTTTTTGAAGGTTTTGAGAACTGGTGGTGATGGGAGCGGTTCGGAAAGATCTATCATTTCGGCTCGAGTATTGTCTTCAGAAGTCGATGGTTCCCAAATGTCTTCAGGAGGATCAACCTGAACCGGGTTTTATTACGGTGGAAATAAAAGCACTCTAGCTAAAGTTCCGTTCCTTACGTCAACAACTTTTGGCTTCCTTGTCGCTGAGCTTCTTCGGACGGGTGGTGTGGGCGGTGGTGGCTTCTTCGTATCTCCATTCGCCTTTGAACCCGGGCAAAAGGGGTGATGCTCTACTTTGATGGGTGCTGGGTAGTCTTTTCTAAACGAAGTATAAATTAATTTTTTAACATTAAAGACAGCGGTTCTATAGTTTGTTAAACATACTTCGGAATTTGAGGTGACTTGCGGCTCAATGGGCATTGTGGTAGATGTTCTTTACTTCCTTCCATTGGGCTTGGACGCATCGTATCACTAAAAGATTAATAATGCAAATGCATTAATAACAATTTTAATGTTACCGTACCTCCTATGAGCATCAGACCCCGGAGAAAACTTCCGGCTGTCCCGCTCCGAGTCGCTTAAATTGCTATCAGATGTGGAATTGACTTGGACTTCTGTTAACATCGTCGTCGAGCCGCCATGTACCCTAAAAATCAGCCGATTTTGCAAGAAACAGCAAGTAATACCTACCGATTAACGACGATCTGCTGCGAAGAAGCTTGTTGTACTTGGTAAAAGGCGCATCCTGGCTTGTGATTGCTTAAAAATTGTAAAAGTATATTATTTTAAAGACTTACAAAGGCTGCGTATACAAATTATGCTCTACGATATATTCTACCACGTCGTCGCTCGTGCAATATTTTATCGATTCGCCGCGTCGAAGAGCCAGGCTAAGAATATGGATCATTTGATCAATTCCCCAATATTTGGTATTTTTAATAACGTACCGTAATCGCGTCGAGCTCGCGTCGTTTGGATAGGTTTCATCTTCGATCAAGTGAAAGTTTTTCTGATTTCTTGTGTGAAAAACTCAATAAAACATATACCTCATGTTTTCTAATAGCATCTAGCAAATAAGCAGTTCTCGCAGGATTCGTGTGTGGCCTAGCAATAACCACAACCCCGAATTCCCCAAGTATTTGGTCCATCTAAAGAAATTGGCGTGAATGGTGCTAGCTTCTGACTTCTTTTTGATTCCACAACACTTCGGAACTCCGTTTGGACTCTATTAGCGCGTCGATAACGTCACCGCCACACAATAAAATCGGTTCTATGGATTCGCCAAACTTTGAGGAGTATTTCTGAAACGTAATGCTGATTTTAAAAGTATCATAATTACAAGGAAAGATCAGAAAAATATCCAACCTTCCGGAAATGCTTGAGCAAATCGATGCAACTGGGCTGGGATTTCTGGGTGGCCTCCCAATCGGAGAGCCTGCAAAATTGGATTTGCGCTATTTTCGCATAAACTTGTTGTGGGTGTGATAGTCGTTCCCCAGAGAGATTTACGATTAATCCAAACACCAAAAATATTTTTTAAAGCTTTACCGTATCCAGGTGCTTTTCCTTATCGCGGCTTCCACCATCCTCAGGCGATGCCTCAAAGGTGTCAACTCGGTTGTTTTGGCCTGGTCACCGCAAGGGCTAAAGCTTACAATTTAGTTGTCATTATAGAAGAAATTATACCTTATAACCCCTTCAACTACTTTGAAACCATGCGTCTTCTCCATGTAGTCTTTTGCACGTTCTAAAATTTGGATTAAAGTAAGTTTAGCAATTTGCATGACGTACCAAACATTCTAAAATGTGCATAGCTGGGTGGATCGTATGCGCCGCAGCATATGAGGACTACTTTTTGGCCCGGAGCCACGGTCTCAGCCGAACCGGAAGTCCCGGGCTGTGAGGAATGGCGCGTCATAACCGCATTCTCTGGAAAAGGCATAATAATTAGGTATAATTAATCTAGAAAAGCATTAATTAAGAAAAATTATCAAGTGAATTTTCTTGAATTGCGCTGCAAAGTTTATTAATTCGCAGGTTTACGTAATGAGAAGCATGTTAAAGGCACTGACAAATCCCAGGAATCCTAAAAAAAATCGTAAAATTTTTCGAAAGGTCCAAAACCTGTGAAAAATACTATCATAATCATAAATTTCCCAACTCCCACCAAGCAGGAAATCCCATTTGGCACTAGAATATTTTTTGCACGCGCGCAATAGCCGGATTGAGAAGAATAGCGCCCCACTCCCCCCCACACGCGAACCCCTTAGGGCCCAATTTCATGGCCCTAAGTGTGGGCTCTATTATTGGGCTCAGCCGAAAAAAGCCGCGTGTGTCGCCCCCCTTGAAAGTTGCAAAAACGAGGAGGGCGAGGAGGAAGGGGAGGAGAAGAAGGGCCCTGGACGATTTTCCAATATGCTATACTGGCCGGCCCATCCAATATTTATCGCACCACACACACACATACGCACATGTTCAGCGATTGAGGTGAAAAAAAGAGAAAAGAGTCTGAAGGGGTGGTGGAGCGAAAATAGAAAGTTCAGCGAAGAGTTCGAAGATTAACTATATTCGGGCACGTATAAAAGAATACATTTGAGGTCTTTAAGGTATCAAAATCCCAGATTTTCTTAGGTTTCGCCAGGTATGGTTGAGTTAAAAATAAACCGTTCCGGTCAAAGCGATCATAAACGATATTTGCGGCGGTGGGCGGCATTTTTGTCGGCTGTGCAAACGGGCTAAAAATTCCATCCTCTGATGATGGCTTTAACTTTTAAAAGTCGATAAATTTCATTAGGAAACGTTAAAAAGCCTTTAAAACTCTCGTTTTAGGATATCGGGTGATCGCCAGCTTATCGCGATCAAACAGGGTATACCTTAAAGCGTGTCCAATTGTTACCTTAATAAATTTGAATCGCATTCTGAACCCAAAAGTGGAGGTTACAATAAGGATTTTTAGATTTTCCGTACCAGCTCGTACCTCCACTAAATCCACAGCCCATATTTTGCATTCAAAAAAGCGTGGGCAGGTTTTTGGGGGCTATAGCCGTTGACATTAATTGAGCATACCGAGTTCGAGCCTAATATTGACTCAACTGACTATAGCACGACCCCCCGATGACCCCCGGGATATAAGGGAGGAGAGGATTTTCGAAGTGGTCAGTGAGCAGCCAGCCATGGGCAGGATTCTTTTTTTAGCTTTTAATTTGATTGCGGTAAGTCGAGTCCACCGACTATTCTTGATAAGATCTGAAATTGATTTACCGTATTCCTCTATCAATCATCTAATAACTTTTTATTTAAGGTCCTGTATGCGTACGGGGATGATATCTGCTCAAATGCTGTGGATGCCAGTGAAAGGTATGAGAATTCGTTTGCATCAAATCGTGATTTAGCTGCCCTCTATTTATCGCTAACGGCTTCTGCAACTCGACCCTATACACGGAGGACCAGAAGAAACAGTTTTGTCTAAAAAGTTGTTTCTGCCAAGATCCGTCACCCGTTACGTGTGAGGATCTTGATAAGAGGTAATCAATCACTTCCTTGATAAAGCGCTACAATCCTTTAGTTGCGAGTTCTACGCGTCGGGTGGCTACTGTGAATCCAATGTCTTATCGGATGATGTCAAAGCACACTACTGCTTGAAGACGTGCTTCAATTGCACGGCTCCAGGAGGAGTCACCACAACTACCGGAACAACGACCGACGCTCCATGGAATCCGGTGACGACAACTGGGACTGGACGGCCCTCTGTGAATCCATCAAACACTCCTATCCCTTACACGGTACCTTGGGATTTCGCAACCACAACGACAAATCCTGATGATAACACCGAGACGCCGTGTGGGTCAACTAGCGCTACCAACGAGCCCTTCACTGGAACCTACGGGCCCTGGGATCCAAGCAGCACTGAGAAGCCTTTTACAGCGACGTACGGGCCCTGGGATCCAAGCAGCACTGAGAAGCCTTTTACAGCGACGTACGGGCCCTGGGATCCAAGCAGCACTGAGAAGCCCTTCACTGCAACGTACGGGCCCTGGGATCCAAGCAGCACTGAGAAGCCCTTCACTGCGACGTACGGGCCCTGGGATCCAAGCAGCACTGAGAAGCCTTTTACAGCGACGTACGGGCCCTGGGATCCAAGCAGCACTGAGAAGCCTTTTACAGCGACGTACGGGCCCTGGGATCCAAGCAGCACTGAGAATCCCGTCACTGGAACATACGGACCCTGGGATCCAAGCAGCACTGAGAAGCCCTTCAGTGGACGTACGGGACCCTGGGATCCAACAGCACTGAGAATCCGTCACTGGAACATACGGACCCTGGGATCCAAGAGCACTGAGAACCCTCACTGGTACATACGGACCCTGGGATCCAAGCAGCACTGAGAAGCCCTTTACGCGACGTACGGGCCCTGGGATCCAGAGAACCGTCACTGGCATACGGACCCTGGGACCAAGAGCACTGAGAACCCGTCACTGGTACATACGGACCCTGGGATCCACAGCACTGAGACCCGTCACTGGAACCTACGGACCCTGGGATCCAAGAGCACTGAGAACCCGTCACTGGAACATACGGACCCTGGGATCCAGAGCACTGAGAACCCGTCACTGGAACTACGGACCCTGGGATCCAAGCAGCACTGAGAAGCCCTTCACTGCAACGTACGGGCCCTGGGATCCAAGCAGCACTGAGAATCCCGTCACTGGAACCTACGGACCCTGGGATCCAAGCAGCACTGGACCCGTCACTGGAACATACGGACCCTGGGATCCAAGCAGCACTGAGAATCCCGTCACTGGAACATACGGACCCTGGGATCCAAGCAGCACTGAGAAGCCCTTCACTGCAACGTACGGGCCCTGGGATCCAAGCAGCACTGAGAAGCCCTTCACAGCGACGTACGGGCCCTGGGATCCAAGCAGTACTGAGAAGCCTTTTACAGCGACGTACGGGCCCTGGGATCCAAGCAGCACTGAGAAGCCTTTTACAGCGACGTACGGGCCCTGGGATCCAAGCAGCACTGAGAAGCCTTTTACAGCGACGTACGGGCCCTGGGATCCAAGCAGCACTGAGAAGCCCTTCACTGGAACATACGGACCCTGGGATCCAAGCAGCACTGAGAATCCCGTCACTGGAACATACGGACCCTGGGATCCAAGCAGCACGGCCCAGCCGTTCACCGGTACATACGGACCTTGGAACCCGAGCAGCAGTGAAAGGCCATTCACGGCAACTTATGGACCCTGGGATCCTAGTTCTACAGGAAATCCGTTTACTGGAACTTATGGACCTTGGGACCCGAGTAGCACCCAGAGGCCTTTCACCGGAACCTACGGCCCATGGGATCCCAGCAGCACCTGGAACCCCTTCACTGGAACCTATGGACCCTGGGATCCTAGCTCTACCGGAAATCCCTTCACTGGAACGTACGGACCTTGGGATCGTAGCAGCACCGCGCAGCCCTTCACTGAAACGTATGGGCCCTGGAACCCGAGCAGTACGGAGAAGCCGATCACCGGAACCTACGGGCCTTGGAACCCAAGCAGCACCCAAAGGCCGTTCACTGGAACCTATGGCCCTTGGGGGCCAAGCAGTACGGCCAAACCCTTCACTGGGACGTACGGGCCTTGGAATCCTAGCAGCACTGCGAGGCCATTTACTGGAACTTTTGGGCCGAGCAGCCAAACGTGGGACCAACCGACTACCACAAGATTCCCGGATCCAGAACCTAAATCGACTTGGGAATGGGATGAACTGACGACAACCACTTACCCTTGGCCGAAGACTACACAGAGGCAGAGAACAGAATCTCCTTGCACGGTGCCACCGACAACTGCACAGGAACGAACCACGACGACCGCATAGGATAGAATCTCCACAACCAGTACATAAGTTTGGTTGGCGTTAATAAATGTAATAAATGTTTCGATGCCGCGAATAATCTATTTCTAGAGCTACAAAAACACCAGTTAAATTACGTCATAGTGTCGAGAATTGTAAAGATATTTGCAAAAATGGAAGGGATCTGTGCATTGCCAAGCAAGCAAGGCCAAAAAAAAGTGAAAAACCTCGAAACATGCCGGAGGAGAGCATGAGGGTGTTGAGGGCTTGTTGTCAGGGGTTGAGCTGGGCCTTTGAGTGATATGCGATCAGCCATTGATCCAAAGGGGGGAGGAAGAGTTGAAAGGGTGGGGTGGACGAGACCACACGCTCCTTCGAGACATCACCCATCGCTCAACCAATCCCAAAACATGCCAGCAACCAGCTGGTCCTCCGCTGATTGAGTGCCACCGGAAAGGGGATGCATGTAAAGATAAAAAGTGGTAGATTAGTAAGGGAACTCCGTCTTAATAAAAGCTTAAAATAACCTAAAATGAAATTAATGCATTTAGAAAATAAGCGTTTTTTAGCAGCTTGAACATTTTGTGTGCTAAAATTGCAGCGAAATGACGATTATTAGCGCATTTAAACTCAAAATATATCACAAGTCATCCGCGACTAAATAGAAAATCGGAGAAGATGCGAAATGCCCATTGGCAGACCTTCTAGCCAGGGGACAAATCCCCGAAATTCGAGCCGGCCACCCCAAAAAATATCATGCTCCCATTTCCCCCGTCTGTGCCACGCAGCGCTCCCCAAGCAATCGGATTTCTCATCATTTTTCGGGGCGCTAACAAAAAAATGCGTATAATCCAGGGACCAGGCCGAGGTTTTCGAGATTTACGACTGGTAAATAGAGACTTGGGGCTGGAGACTAAAGAACCCGAGCGGGGTGGCTGTCAAGTAGGTGAGTGGAAAACTACTTCCTTGGGGGCGTAATTCGAGCTGTTTGCTTGGCACCTAGGTGAAGGGAACGGGCAGAAGTTGAACGCGTTACTTTGAGGCGAGGGTAAAATTAGTTCAAAGATGAAAGAGCGGTATAGTTGGTCCTTAGAAATTCCCTTAGATGTACCTTATACCTGTATAGTTGCAACGAAAAGGAATCAATGTCTTAAAGCATCCATTATTTAAATTTGAACAATATTAACCATAAAAGCGCGCCGCAAAAAAAGGCAAAATTGCATGAGAAAAACAGCTTTAACTAAGCGGAATTGCATCCTGAAAACATTTAGATAAACGCTAAATGCTTTAAAAATGTCTGCGCTTGAAAATCAAAAATGAATAACTACCGAGACGCAAAGATTTTTCCGGTCCCACTGAAAACAAACTTCGCCACAAGCACAAAAAACGCAACAATTCTCCAAGCGCATCAGTGCTTCCAGAGTGCGCGCCCAACCCTCCGGCATGGAATATTCGTGGTGGGACCCCCTGCCGGGCCCTCCGTTTTACGCATTCTCTCCTTTTTTGCCAGACCTCCGCCGGCTCCTCCAGCCCCTGGCGCCGACACTCGAAAAAAAGCACCCTGGAAACTCTCGACGAAATGAACTTTTATCTATCTGAGAGCTGGGAGTCTGGATGAAGCAGGGAAAGGGTTCGCGTTTAATTTTCAACCCAACAGGGTCGGAGCCTCAAATTCCAGGGTTTTTGGGGCAATCCCTTGACGTGAAATACATAAACAAACGCTTCTGGTGGAGAAATATTGCCGAGAATTTTGCCGGGGATGCACCCGACAAAGGCTGCTGATTAATTTTGAAAGAGGCCAGAGATCCGGGATCCATTTCAATTTTTCACATGCCCGGGGGAGATGAGGAATTGGAAGGTTTTGAAGGGAGTGTCAAATGCATGTGTGAGGGTCTTCAGTTATTCCCTTTTAGTTGTGTGGCTTGGTCTGGGCGTGGAAATGGTGGGGGGAAAAATCGGGAAATATAAGTGTGGTAGAGACTTAGGCTAACGTAGTGGTAGCTTACGCTTGGAAGCAAGTAAGTTCCACGATAGTGGTCGCTTTGAGCTTCGAAGTAGACAAAAACCAGCCAGAGTAGAGGTAATTTTCAGCTTGGAGTAAATAAGAACGAAATCGAAATAGGTAAATTCGGAGATGATTAAAAACGACGTCAACGCATATTTAGCTAAATAAGTAAGATGAAAAAAATTTAGCAAAGCCAAATCTTACAAGCAAAGTACCATATACGAAACCTGAAAGTTATTGAAATCGACAATAGAATTTAGGATATTACATCCTAGAACGCGAAGTATCGTCAAACGCCATAGACATCATTCGATTGCGTAACTGGTGTGAATCAGATGTGCCAAAAGAGCTGGTAGAGGGGGTGGAGAGGAAGTAAAGAGGATGTGGCCAATGGCCCATTTCGTCCCCTTTTCACTGTCGCCTCCAGCCCCGCTATAACCTCATTTCATGCCGAGGGGCTCGCCAGGCCCATCCTCGCCCCCACCAAATCTGCAACGAATGGACGCTTGACCACTAGTCGGCGTCACCCCTGGTCACTAAACGTCTGAAATGAAAAAGATGGAATGATGCCAAACTTGTTCGAACCTCAGGGCATTTATAAATTCAAATAGATGTCAATCCGTTTGCTTGACCCAAAAAAGTTGTAAATACAGAGTTTACTTGAGATTACAAAACTAGCACCCTCTTTTCGATTCTGGCTTAGGGTGGCGCATGGTGGTTGCTCGAATGGAGCCCCTCATAAATAATCTGAGCAGCTAGCTGGGCATAATCGAGTATTGTTGCGTAAGCACAAATTTGTCCAACCTCTCGCGCGGCATGTCCATTCGCACGCGAAAAGGCTAAAGAAAAAGCGAAGAAACGGTGATTGGGCTGTCTGCACTGAAGCAGCAGTTTACCAAGTTTACCATCCAGTCATGACAGCAGCTTATGATGATGATAACGAGCGCCCAAAACCCGCTTCGCGGGCCTTGGGCGCTGGAATGCGGCCTTTGCAAACAATTTGACTTTATGATAGCTCGGGTCCTTCGGACCCTCCTCACCCTATCGACCACACATGCGCGTGCAACTGGGAAGAATGAGGAAAGTTCTTTTTTCACATTATGCAAATTACCCCCAAAAATAAGTAAAACTGGCTTTAACTTTGTAAACTTGTATTTTATCGCAATTTTGAAAACGCCATCGGAAAGAGGAGGGTCGATTCCCGCAATTGGCGAAGAATCATAGCGTTTTATACACGGGAAGGCCCTCAAATCGGGCCTCGAAAGTGACATCCACACACACACACACACACACACACACACACACACACACACACACACACACACACACACACACACACACACACACACACACACCGAGATACAGATGGGTTACTTTTTCTGTTTTCTCAAGTATCACAAGCCTGCTCACCTCGAAGATTTTTATCAAAATAAAACTATTACCGACCGTACTCCTTATCACATCGACCGCCGCAGGTGTTTCTAAAAAAGCACCTCCGGAAAACTATCAGGTTGGAAAGAAAGTAATGGCACAAATTTCTTAATTTGACAATATGATGCTTCTTTCCGGTTTCGAATTTTTCAATGCGATTTTTATTTTTTGCGATTTTGCGACTTCGATGAGACCGATTTTACCGGCACTTGTACATATGATATATCGACAACATGGGAAAATTCTACGGTAATATAATTTTGTGGTTCCTATCAATATAATCTAGTTTTGGGTTTGGAAGTATGTTTTTGCTTATGGACAGCTTCGAGTCGCTGCATACCGATTGATGTGCGCAAAATAAACCGTCGGCTTGCGAGCCTTTCTGTTATTGAGTAAAGTTCGGACATCTGTTTTCAACAAAATAAAAGGCCTAAGGTGATACAGATACCTTTTTCACTATCTGTTGGCCGATCTGGGGGCATGTATGCAAATGTGAAGGGGTCTGCCTTTGTCGTATTCGGATAACCATCTGCTTCCATCCTCCTTCTGATGGACTTTTCATTATAGCCCTAGAGGCGTTTATCTCTCAAATTCAATTTTGTCTTATTGACTTCAAGCTAACTACTTGAAACCATAATCTAATATCACTATTATAACTGTAGCTTTTCTAACAATTGCTGTCGATTTGTTCTCGAGTCAATTCATATTCGTCACGCACGTTCTTCATATTACCTTTATCACTTCTTCAGTACTTTTGTAGGATGGCGGAAGTTCGGGAGCCTATACAAACTAACACTACCTGTCTGGGATGTCATCCTACGATGAGAGTGTCACAGATCGAGAAGTCGCGGGCCAAAAAGGATAGGAAGGTAAGTGAAAAAGTTGCATTTCCCAGAAAACTCGCAGAAATAAAAATAAGTTCCCAGAAAGCTCCAATACATGGAGATTCTAGGTATATCGCATTCCCTTTAGAATCTCGGACAACTCCGTTTGATGACGATGATTTGGGTACTGGCCACCACAAAATACACCATCATTGCCAGCCTCATGGCTTTCATGGATGATGGAACACGGCTGATCGCGGGCGGCTGATTTTTGTAAGTGTTGCAAGTTTGAAAGTGTAAGGAGCTTTAATACGATTTACGGTGCAAATTCTACGGTCGTGCGCCGTAGCTCTCGTCCCGGTTATCCACGGAACCCGTGTCTAGCAAAAAAAATTCCCACTCGCGCGCCACCTGGCCGACTATGCACAAAATCCGGAAGAAGTAATTTTTTACGTCCAAGTTCCAAAATCATTTTTCCCACCGCTTAAATGTCAATTTTGGCGTCTGATTTTAATTATTTTGGCTTATCAGAATTCACATAGAACCGACGAAAACTAAAATATGTTTTGCGGCTTCGGACAGGCAGCACAAAATTCCGATGATTGACTCCAATTTCAGGCAGTTTTGCTCTCTGTCGGCCTTAGCATTGCGACGTTATTGGCGCTGGTTACACTAAGGCAGAAGAAGCCGATCTGGGCGGCGCTCCACCTCGTAGTTATGGTTTGTAAATGTCATGTTCCATCTCTATTTGATACAGAACGCGGTGCCGCTGGGCTTGGCGATGGTGCTGCCTTATCTCATCGAGTTCTCTCCTTTCGAAACCGTACGAATTAATACAACGATTTAGTCTAGCCAAGCACAAGGCTGAAAATCCGGACAACGGATGTCCATACTCGTGGCTATGCCAGGATAATGGAAATCCCAACGCACTAGGAATGCTGGTCAAACTCTTTGATGTTGTGGTCCCCGGTTGCTGTTTGATTTGGTTCAATTGGATCGGCTGGAGTGCGTACATCTACTTACGGTATGCAAACTTCCTAAGTTTATGATATTCCGCTTCAGTGAACGTGAGCGGGAGATGGAGGTAGATGCCGTTCAACCATGCCTAGCCGTGACTAGTTCGTGCATTACGTGCAAATATCTGAATTCTGAGGCTAATGGCAGGGATTCTAATTCTTTTTCTATTTTCTTCCCTCGTTCCACGTATCAGGTGTATAATTGAATCCCCGGGTCCTTTGTTTTGTTATGTGACCTTGTGAGGAATTCTTTTATTTGTAAGGATTCCGTCCGATCTTAGCCTCCACTTCCCGTTGCCGCACAAAGGTGGATATAATTTTTACGATAAAAATTTCTCATAACATCAGCAACATTTGAATGACTTAAAAAACATAATTAACGTGTTTTATAGCTCAAGTTGACTGCACACACAGTCAACTCGCAAAGCGACCCGCAGCATTACGTGCAAATATCTGAATTCTGGAGCTCATGGCTAGGTTTCTAGTGCTTTTTCTGGTTCTCCTCCTTGTTGCTGTGCGTCGCGGGCGTATCACAGAACCCAGGATTTTTTTCTTGTCTTCATCTTACCTGTTCTTCCCGTTGCCCAAAATGTACCTATCCATTACGATAAATACCAACCATGGAAAGTGGCCGCGGTCCGGCCCGGCCGGCCGCGGCCAGCCGCATATGAAAATAGCATAAATCCCGACCACCGCTGCCGTCTCCAATGATAGTCTGGCCGGCCGCAGCCGGCCGCGGCCGTTACCCTGCCCAGAAAAATGACCTATTTTTAAGATCTCGAGTTGCATTTTACTAACTTGCATGATTTCTCATGCAAGTAGAGATGTTACGCATACGAATAGAGATGTTACGCATACGAATACGATGTGCTACTTCCGGCAGATTAGCCCGATATGCATATCTGATTTGAGATAGAATGCCGGTAATTCGAATACGACGATCGTATTCGAACAAGCCTCGGCTGATTCCGACGTGGTGATCTGGCAAGTCGGCTTCACGTCGGGATAAAAAGCTAATTTCAAATTGAAGACGAAATGCTATGCAAATATCAAAATATTGACACATCCACCGGAAATGACCGAGAAATTGGCACCTAAATCTATTCAAATTATGCATATTCTGACTACTTGTTTCCATTTTCCGACCGTTTTCTTCGTAATATTGCTTTGCATCCCAATTAGCTTATTATCCCGATGTGACCCGTTTAAACGAATACGAACGTCGCATTCGCTTGGTTCCGACCCTAATTCGAATACGATGATCGGGTCGGAAATAAGAAATCTTTGATTCCGACGGCCTATTCGAATACGACGCGTAACTCCCATGTCGTATTCGTATTCGTAACATCTCTACATACGAATACGATGTGCTACTTCCGGCAAATTAGCCCGATATGCATATCTGATTTGAGAAAGTGCGCGAGCAATTCGAATACGACGATCGTATTCGAACAAGCCTCGGCTAATTCCGACGCGATGATCTGGCAAGTCGGCTTCACGTCGGGATAAAAAGCTAATTAACAATTCAAGACGAAATGCTATGTAAATATCAAAATATTGGCACATCCACCGGAAATGACCGGGAAATTGGCTCCTAAATTTATTCAAATTATGCATATTCTGACTACTTGTTTCGATTTTCCGACCGTTTTCTTCGTCATATCGCTTTGCATCCAAATTAGCTTATTATCCCGATGTGAACCGGTTTAAACGAATACGATCGTCGCATTTGCCTGGTGCCGACGCTAATTCGAATACGACGATCGGGTCGGAATTAGAACATTTTTGATTCCGACGGCTTATTCGAATACGACGTGTAACTCCTATGTCGTATTCGTATGCGTAACATCTCTACATGCAAGTAGACCATTTCAACATCTTACGTGGATTTTACCAGATCGTTACTGGACCGCATAACTATACTTACGGTTATATGGTTTTTTGTTCGAAAAATTTTGCCAAAATTGTCTCGTTACGATCTCCACCTCATCCCTTCTACCTCACGGAAAATATATGTATTTATTACAATCAAAACGCATGCATAAATATCATTGTATTACTACAATTTCCCCTTGATAAAGTAAAAATCACACGGGGGACACTTGGCAAGGCCGCAACTTCAGCTTTCATTTCCTCCAACTACCTTACCGGAAGCCTCCCCATTTCAAGTCCACATATTTACAGTTTTTCCGCTGCACACGCAGTAAACTCGGAAAGCGACCGGAAAAACACAGCGCAAGATCATCACCCGCGTTACCTCAGCAAAACTCCCTCGGCATGAAATTGAGAAATGAGAGCCCGGCCTTCGGGTGTTGACACTTGTCAAAAAGGGGACGTCGGCATTTCCGGTGGATGATCTCGATCGCGGGAAGGAGTAGGGGATCTTTATCAAATCGTGGCCCCGTCCCCTCACCGGTCTAATATTGGAAAATGGGAGCGAAAAGGGTAGAAATCTACTGGGGGTTGGGGTGACCGAAAAAGAAAACTTATCCCCTGTTTGTCGGGAAGACATCAACCGAATGGGGGTATCCCGGAAATGGGTGAGCTAGCAGTTGCGCTGCTAGATCGGACTTGCCGGGGTTCGTTCAGCTAGTTTCCCGTTCGGAAAAATTGTCCATCCTTTTCTAGATTTTGGTGGGATTTTAAAGGGACGGGCATGCTGTGTTTAGGGAGTTTTTTGCTATGGATTTTCCGCAGCCGCGACACGCGACGCGTACGACGATTTTGATTTGATTACGTAATTGATGGCGGTCATTTGACCGCAGTCTCTCTCTATCTTTCTCTTTCTCTCTCACGCTTTTTCTCCCTCGCGCTCTCTCGCTCTCTATCGCTCTCTTCTTGCTTCCCCTATTCCTCAGATACCGTAATCATAAACTACGACTTTGACCAAAATTTCCAGATTCCCATGAAAATGTTTACTTTCCTTGCCGGTCCAAATCTGATTAACACCCTCCTGACCATTCCCCAAATCCCCAGCGGTCAGCCGGTATGGGTCGGCCAAAAAAGAATGGGACAAGTTGAATCCACAAAAAGACAGAGAATCCCCCTTTCCCCTAAAAGACAGATACAAACAGACAGTCTCCTCTTACCCCATCACATACACACAACCCGGAGAGAGACAATCATTCCATTCACTCACACGCTCTCACCCAGCCTCAACGGAGGTCGCCAATAGAGCATCGACCCCCCTCGCATCAACTCGCGCTCCATTCTCGCGCCGCGCTCATTTGCCTTATCGATCATCATCGGGACTGGCTAATTAGGCAATCCAGGCTTGAAGAAACTTTGTTTCATTTTGTAGGAATGGTCCGGTTTTATGTAGTGGATTTTACATGGAATTTATGGTATTTGGTGGTGTTGATTTTGTATGCTACTTGTTTGTTTTTGAATCTTCCACTTCCTTGAAACCAGAGTTGTTTTCCAAACCTGATTATTGTGTTTACCTCCGTAATTTAGCGTACCAATTTTCGCTTTTATTTGACGTTTTTGGCTTACTTTACTGACCCCTTTTATGGCATGTATTCCACGCGTGGAAATGAAAACTATACCATACAATTTGGATTGAAAATCAACTATGAAAATTTGCTTCCCATATGGCTTTTGCCATTCAATGAGGTTTTTCTGCGAGAAACTGGCAACCTTTTTTTGCAAACGTACACCAGGACCTACGCGTTTTGGCAATGATTAGCCACGACGAAATCCCCCGATGGCATGCCTTGCAAAATGACATAAGAAACTGTCATTATCGATCACAAACACACACATCACTATCCTTGTTGGGGACGAGTGCCGGCCAACGGGGGATGGCGCCTCGTAGACGGTTTTTCTCCATTCGGACCGGTAGAATAGATTCTCTGGCTCCTGCTCCTGCTTCTCCTCTATGTCAGCCGGCCTCCTCAAGGGGGTAAAGCGGACTCGTTTACGTTTCCGCCCAAATGGCGATTGTTATGACAACTTTGATCATCATGGATTTCTGTGGTAACTTGGGTGTGAAAAAGTTTTTCTGATTTACGAATGGGAATGAATTTCAAGGAGCACAAAATTTGCGGACATAGCACGACAATCTCTCGCTCGCCTTCTCTCGCGCATTTTCTCTGTCTCTCTTTTCTATTGTTCTTGATTGATCTCTATCAGATTATCTCTGCCTCTCGCTCTTTCTCTCTCTCCCTCTCCCTCTCTGTCTCTCTCTCCCTTCCAGCTTCCCCGCCCCTTTTGAAATATTAAGTGCACGACGAATCTTCAATTATCAGTAATTATATATTTTATTCCCGATTTCAAACCAGCGGGCTAAACTTTTTTTATAAATTCCCTAGCATTCATTCACCCTGGCGTCTCTACTATGTGAATCAAGCAATCTGATGAGCTCCTGTGTGACGCCAAGGTAGCGAAGAGCTGTTACCTATTTTGTGCTGTATCTCCCTTTCCTGTCATTTTAATTTTCCAGCGCTAACTTTGATACAAAAATAGAAATTAAGAATATTTTGAATTTCTTCCAGAATGCGAGAACGGGTGGACCTAAACGCGGCCGGGGTCAGCATCGAGTCCCCGGCCAAATTGTACAAAGGCGGAAGGGTATGGAATTCTATTCAAAACATACCTTTTCATCTAGTGGACCTCGCGGTACATCCTCTGCAAAAAACAACCCGATCTCCTCCAGCCCATTTTCATGGTCTACAAAAACCAAGCCACCCGGCACCACCATCAGAATTATAAGGCATCATTTTCACTCCAGAATTTTGTAGGATTAGAAACAGGTAAAGGAATTGCGGTTTTATATTAAAGACGTTGATTTAGGCTTTGAATTAAAGAAACAAACGCATACGCTATCAATATTGACCAAAGAAGAAGTGATCGTGCTCGCGTTTTCGTTGCCAGAAAATCTGGTGATATGGGAGAGTTGGCTGAAGGCAAATTGTGGGCAGAGTAAGGACACCCTGTAATTGCTTACAACACGATATAATTAAGGTCAAATGTTCTACGTGCAACTGTTACGGGTGCCAAAATATTCCCTAGCCGATCACCTCGTGAAGAAGGAAGTTCGGCTACATTTGCATGTGAGTTTGGCATTTGAAAACGCGTGGAAAAAAAGATTTATAGATGTCAAAAACCATGTTACAATCCCCAACAGTCAAAAAGCAATGATCCAACTAAAACGCAAAAAGTTGGTGCCTCATGCTGGAATCGAACCAGCGACCTTCTGTTTACTAGACAGACGCTCTGCCACTGAGCCAATGAGGCGCACGGGACGGGGCTCCGAAAGGGGGTAGAAAGGGCAGTGCGATCCGCGGCCCCGGATGTGCGATAAATATCGATCTCGATGGGCTCGGTGTTAGCAGCAAGCAGACGCTGACCTTTTGAGAGTAGCGGAATTTGCGAAAAGCTATACCTCTGTAACGTGAGGTATAAAATGGTTTAATAAACGTTTGTCTATATAATAAGCCCAATTTTTTATAGGATTCCTGTTTCGCGCTCGTCCATGGTCGACCTCAAATAGTCCTCGAATTCGTGCATACTGATGAGGCTCGTGTGGTTGATATGAAGCCGAATATGTTTACCTTTGGGAATAAGGTATTGAAAAAGCTATATAAACGCCTCTATATTGCTCAGGATTGCCAAACCAAAGAAGAGAGCTACACCATCTGCGCGGCTAGATTACCCGTGTTTTACACAATGCTGGAAAAAGCGAGGAGGAATCAGGTAAGTCTGAAAAATTTTGAAGCCATGAAACTATGAAACTACCTAGGATGATCTCCATTCTTATCTCAATTCGAAAACGAGCGACGGGGATTGGATCCCCGAAGTTAGCGCCTTTGTCAGAGCGCATTCTTTGAGGTCAAACCCATCAGGTGACTATGCTTTTTATACAATCTTTCGTTTCTAATTTCCTACACATATAGCAAGCCCCATAGCCCGGTTTGATTTCGAAAACGATAAATATGTAGTTTCCAACATACAGAAACCCTACAGCTGGCCCCAACCGGGCTGTCAGTCGGGGATCCCATTTCGCGTAGTGACCCCCGGGGTATTTCCCCGAGGCCAATCTGGCATTTATTACATCCTCGTGGTTCCCTCGACTCTACCAACTCTTCCAAGTATTCCACGGGACATGGGTTTTATGATTTTTGGTGGGTTAGAGCTAGGAAATGTCTCTAAAAGGCTAGGTCTACTCGATCCTAAAGCCTGGGGCGAAAAATGCCAAAATATATTGAAAATATAAATATATTATCTATGTATTAATTATAAAATAGTCATAATTCCATTTCAGAAAACATTCGAAACCTGATGAGCTATATGAACACCCCAATTCTACCAAGAGCCTCGAATCTGGATAAAGGAAAATCGAAATCCGGGTATTACGCTTTTCCAGATTCCGGAATTCAAGTTTCTTTCTAGAAATCACGTCAGTCTACTACAAGATCGACGTGTAAGAACACTGGATATGAATCGAGCAAATTCATGTAAGAAACTATACTCTAAAAAAACCAAAATTTAGTGGCGAACAACTACTACAACACCTCATCCATCCATTCCCCATATTTTGAGCGGGCCCGCGCCAGCTCCGACGCGCACAACTATGTAAATATTATTGAAGTCGGTGGAACGAGTGACAGGTGATTTTTTTTATTTGGTTTTTAGCGATAAAAGTCGTTTTTTCCGACATTAGCATATTTCTTTATCCTTAGGCCATTTTACTTTTCCTTTAATATTTTCCAAAGTCTTTTTTTCAGGCCCGGGCCCCCAGCTAGACTAGCAGATAGGTTCCAAAAAAACCCGCTTGCTTTTTATCATTTTCGTTGGAATTTGGCCTTAAGCAAAGCTGATGCCTGGCTTTATAATAGCTATATTTTTATTTATAGAAAATTTCTTTTAATTAGCCCTTTTCAGTCGCGACTCCTCCTACCGAAGCCGCATCTACATTGCCGGCAACGGGGACAGCTCGGTTCATTACTGCAATATCTACGATTCTGGCATCGTGCACGACCCGAATAATGCGTCAGGTATGACTATAATTATTTTGTAAGCATTAGAGCATCGAAATCTTATATATTCCCTTTTTAGGAAACATGAGAAGCAACTCCCTACCCGACTATGTAAATATTGAACACGGCATGGTGCTACCTCCAAAATCACCGAATTACCAGAAGAAATATCACAAGATCTGTGCGTCGTACCTTTCAATCGATTACGCCATGTTATAGCACTAGCCGAAAATTTCTACTCGAACGTCGCTAGACCCTCTACCTCAACGGCTCAAGATGATAGGCGACGATCGGACCAATCTGTTTGGATAAACAGGGATAAAAATCGATCTAGGTAAGTAGAAGCTGGGCGGACTAGCAGAGATCATTTGAGATTTTTGCGTGCATCTTAGAACCGTTTAAACGATTATTTAGCTACGGCAAACAGCGCTCCATGGTCGACTTCCCCACGGCGGCGGAACCGCAGGAAAAACAGGAAAATTGGAAACGAGCCAAAAAGTTCATCTCGGCCTTCAAGCCGAAGAGTGAAAACCATCTGGTGGGTGATTGGCAGAGGGTAGCTGTCATCAAAACACATCCCTACAACTTCTCGCTATTTCCAGAGCGGCTCCAAGAAGCGCGAGATGACCAAGTCAAACAGCACGTCAGCGTTGAGTTTTGCATCACCAGCTCGGAAGAAGGTATGTCAATTCGGAAAATATATGACGAAGCATTGCTTTACATACTGTTTTCACCGCAAAATACAGCTTTTGCATTAGTCAATTAGTGAAATTTCTAGCATCACTCCTCGATCTCGTCATTTGCATCCGATCACTCTCACGATGAAGACTCCCCGCCGCCAGCTTTAAATATAGCCATGAATAATCCACTCCTAGGAATGCCGGTAATATTATCAACTTACCCCTAATACACCTTATTCAAGTTCCAAAGAGGTGCTAGACCCCCAGACGGTCTTGTAAAAGTCAACGACCAACAAGCCACCATGATCAAACCAAGAGCGGGTGTTTCTGGAATTTTGGCCAAAAGGTTGCACACGGCTGTTAGGGGATCATTTTCGGTATGTTTTTATGTATACGCACTGCGATTCACTTATAAATACTCACAAACGCTTTAGAAATACGATGGGGAACGTGCCACTCATCATTACAACATGGGAAAAGGCGACGCATTACAACTATCACCAAAGAACAAGGGCGAAAGTTCAGCTGAAGCCAAAACCAACGAAGACCCGCTTAATGGTATACTACCGACTAGTTCGCTGCACCATTTATTTTAGGGATTATGTCGGCAATTAAAAGCGGTCAAGAACGGCTGAAAGAAAGTGATCGGCGAGCTTCTACCGTATCTTTTAAGGTGAGCAACTATCGGTGTATTTTGAAGGTATATTTAAGCAGAACTTGTTACTTCTTCCCAAACGGCTGTCAAAAACCATTAGTCAAAGCGCTCAGCATACGATTCGAAATTCGTCAATGTCGGGAAGCACTAGGTGAGTGGTCTTTGTATTTATCGAAATGTATCCCCATCAGCTGAAAAAGTGTATAAATATTCCGACATCTTAAAAACATCACGATTTAGGAATTCAAACGACTCTCTATCCTCTGATGCACGCTCAAAAATATCTTACAAAAAACGATCAAGCAGCCCGCCAAGGATTGCAGCCCCAGTTTTACCATATCGACCGCCAAGCCAAAGGACTCTAGTGGTAATTCTGGCATTACTAATCCATAACTTATTTCTTCCAGTTCCAAAGTAACCGCGGCTCTTCCATCGATTCCTTCAACTCTCATCAAACAGCAAGATCCTCCTCTCCAGTCCCTTTGCCTCGAAAAACAATACCTTCTGTGGACAGTACACCTAGTATTCGTCAGTTTTTTTTAGCTTAGGGCATACTGGCACAGTTAATTCTTCAAAGTAAATATTTATTCAATTCCAGGAAGCGAGGTATTACGCCAGCATACCCGATTGGATTACTGTAATCTGGCCAATCCAAAGTCGGGCAATGGCTCGACGTCTAGTAATTCGATCGGAAGCCGTTCGGAGTATGTCTCGATATGCCCGACTGGGACAAAAGCTGCACAACAGGTTGGTAGTGGTTTTCAAAGTGTTAAGTAAAATTTCTGTATTAATTATGACATCTTTCAAAAACCAATATTTATCCTTATACCCATTGCATCGAATAGTATGTAGTAAATCACAAGGTATAATTGCACATAGTGAGAAGTAGTAAGTAACTTGAAAATCAATGCGTTTCCTATTCCTTGTCAAACTTTGATCTAGCCGACGCCAGCTTGATGGCCATAAACGTTCCGAGCAGGGAAAACCCGCAGAAAACGAGTAGTGCGATGGACATTGGGGATACGCAGGCTCCATCGCCTCCCAGGGTACGGTAGACGATCTGGTGGCCAGACGGCGCCATTTGACCATCGGCTTCTCGCTTTCGGATGCTCTCTTGGATGTTTTTGGCTTCATCCTGGAAAGTGATCGATAGAAGGGTCTAAGCTACTTTAAACCAACCTCATCCATAATATTAATAGCTGACATCTCAGCCCTGACGTCCATAACATTGCTCTGATCGAATCCAACCTCCCTAGAGAGAAAGTTTCCTTTCCATGATCTTTTTCCCACCTCTTTCCCCTCCTCCTTCGGCTCTCGGGCGTCTCAGCGGCTTCAGGAGCTTCCGGTGCCTCCTCGGCTCCCTGAGCTTCAACTCCATGGGGCGGGTTGGGAGCGCCGGGGGCTACCTCGCCGGAGAGCTACAAAACGATAGCTTTTGTTTTACGCTGGCGCTTACTCGGATAGTGTTAAAGCCTTCGGGTTCGGCACATTCGGGTCTGGCGCACTCAGCGTTTGGCTCCTTGATCGTGATGGCGATCTATAAATTAGTTTTCGATAGACGTTTCCTAGTTTAACTTATACCTGACATTGGTAGAACAAATCCGGTCGATCGGCAAACTTGTAGATGTGAGCTTCTTGACCGGCCGAGAGATCTGTGGGGTATTCAAGGTTGTTGAGGACGAATCTAAAGGATAAGTGATGTATCATCTAATCAATCCTTAGGCTCACTTGTCCAAAGCGCAGCCCTTCTCGTCCAAAATTTTGATCTTCTCTCCCTGGCCGTCATCAACGGTACAGCTGTTGACCACCATGCAATAGGTGTCTTGTGTCTCAGTGTCGCACACCCAGCGGTGGTAGATCTGTCATAGCATGCGTATCGTATCTTTAAGAATCTCTAAAGCCTACCTGCTGACCAACGAATCCGAACTTGATCAGTGGGCCATCGGGACCTCCCTCATGTAGCTCATACCGGCAGATTGGCATCGGGACAATGGTCGTCTCCACCCCCACGGTAGTCAGGTCCGAGACGGACAGCTCGGCAGACACAGTCTTGTCAGCCTCCATGTAGAAGCACTGCAGCTTGTACATGCGATCGACCTTTGTGATGAATTGAGGGTGGAAGGACACGACGACGGTGGTCGTCACGAAAATCCCGCGAGGGTTCAAGCTGCGCGTTCGCTGGACGTTGCAGGTGTCGAAGGGGAGTTCGATGCCGGCTACCTAGAATTAGGAAAATATTAATTCTTTTTGAAGATATTCTTATACCGATCGTCCTCCGGTTTCTTCACGTCGGCATTCTGGATCGGAGAAGAGGCCCTTGACGTAGATATGGCCTTCGAAGGGGTTTCTGGTGTTGAAGTTAACAGTGATCGAAGTTGGGCCACATTCAATTTCGGGGTCTCCTAAAATATTTTAATTTGTAAAAGATTGATCTATTCTAAATGAAATCATACGGATTTTAAGATTGACGAATTCCCATTTTTCCTTTTTTTTTAATTTTTTATTAGTACTTTTTCAAGCTCCACAAACCTTCAACCCCGTTGTCAATTGGAATCGCCGCCACCGTAGCCAAACAAAGCGACCAAACGACAAGCCGCTGCAGGACCATGGTGCTGACTTCAGAATATGAGAACTGGAGAAGTGGATGCCATCCAGCAGCTGCAGCTCCCTTTTATACAAGCCATTTTCATATGGCAATCCCCCGCTTGGGAGGATGGCCAGAAAAACTAGCAGATCCCGTCTATCCAATCAAGCTACAATGCCCTCCTAATCGAAATCGCACCTTGCCCGTTGGGGGGATTGTTGCGGAGTGTTGAGGATTGGCTAGGGATGTTGATTGATCTTGTTTAGAATATGCAGCTCGTCTTTTCGGACCAGAAACCGATTTTGGATGGGTTTTAAACGTTTTTAGAAGCCGATACTGCTATATTCTAAGGTTTCATTCAAATAATTTTTCTGATTATTTTAAACATCCCTTCTTGTTATCGCCACTTTCTAGCCTTTAAATAGAAGCCTTTAAATAACAAGCATGAAATAATATTGTCTAATTATAGTTTTCAGGCCACGAAACTCTCCCACTCCTCAACAGCATCCCAGGGCTCCGGGCTGAACAATTTTTTGAGAAGGAGGTCGGTTTTGGGCGTATGTTTCTCGCTCGCTCGCTCTCTCTCTCTCTCTCTCTCTCTCTCTTTCTCTCTCGTTTTGTTTTAATGATTGTTTACGTTATGTATAATAAGGAAGCTTAACCCAGTGCATGCAAATAATTATCTTACACTTTCGCTTCCCCTCGACCACTTGCCCTACGTGGCCCCCAAATTCCGTGTGGATTCCACCTGGAATTCGGGGAACACATGGAGGTTGGGGGACGGGTGGGAGGGGGCGACCCCAGCGACGCGGCTATTGGGGGGAAACCGAGTGTGATCCCTGGTTCCACTGTTTCCGCGTTTCCACCCGGAACCACTCGATTTCCATGTGGAAGCCCCGCCCGCTGTGGAATTTCCCCCCCCCTCCGGGATTCCGAGCGGATTTCGGGTGGATGCACTGACCTGTGTAGTCGTACTCCACATCAAACATCAGTCATTTGCCACTTTCCGGCGTCTAAGATCCAGGCGCAATTTAATGCCTTTTTGAGACCTCATGCGCCGGGCCAATTTTCCAATTTTAGATCCAAGGGCCAGGGGAGCATGACTGAGACGATGTCGCTCGGCAATCCGAAAAAGGGCTTCTTCCGGAAATACCGACGAACCAGGAGGAAAGACGCCAACGCAAAAGACTTACCCGCCTCCACCGGACAGCTAAACCTTTGAATTAGCCACATTGCTGGGATTACATGACGTGTACGATTGACTTCCGATTCCCTAGTCTAACCTCAGAAATTTTCCACCACTCTTTTAAAACAGCAAACCGAACGCCGGTGAACAAATTCCCAAGTTGCCGAACAATGAGTGCTAGTGTACGCATACGATTTTAGCTTGTATTCTTGTAGCACTATAATTGTTTCCCAGAACACACATACAATCTGGGTAATTGTTATTTGATTCCCGTCCTTTTTCACCATTGAACAAACCTAGCTTGAATGTCTGAAAGACAGACGAATATTAGAATACTCTTGAATGCAAATTCCCGAAAAAAACCAATTTTCAAAAATACGACAATTTCTTGACGAGAAATTCGGAAATTCTAGCCCAACTAATTATTGAACCCAGACTGTGACGTTGAGCCCATTTCTGAGATTTACCTTGGGTTTCCTCAAACCCCAGCGAATTAAATCACCAAGGAAATCTCGCAAATTTTTAATGAATTTTAGGGTTTGTGTCTGGGTTGGGGTGGACCATTATGGAGCACATTTTTATCGGTTTCTTTTGTACTCTCAAAACACGCAATCAAAAACCTACTCCTTGTTAGATTTTTTATAGCTTCATGGGAGTACTTTTTGCGTTTTTCCGATTAATTTAGGTTTAATGTTTTGATTAAAGCCTTTTAAAATTAATAGATTTTTCATATTATGACGATAGCCTTTTTGATGTAGATTTCACATATAGATATTTCTAAAAACGTCAAACAAAAAATATACGAAGACAAAACATCGTTTCGCTTTTAAAACCGTCCCCAAAATAAGGGCATCGCCGCGTCGTATTTTCGTAGGCCATAAATCCGTTCAGCCGACATCCTCATTACCCGAAACCCGGTGTGACCCCTGCCCCCATTGGTCCGAATTGCCCTCCAGGGGCTGTTTGCGTGCGTCTATTTGTCTTTTCACCCAATTTTTCATCCACCCCTCGCATGCAAAACGTGTGAAATATGGTTGAGCGCATTGCCGAACCCTCTAACCCCATATTTCATGAGTCCAAATCGGAAATGAACATTTTCAGGAGAGATCATTGGCCATTTTCGAATCTAGGCGGAAGTTCGAGCCCTTTGTCGTATTTCCTTCTTGGCTCTATCACGGTTATAACTAGCCAGAAGTATTAATTAAACCGAATACCTGACTTTAAATAAATACTTAGGAGTAACAAATTTTAGCTGGAGATATACTTTGTGGTTTACATTATCGGGGGAGCTGGCTTTTCATTTCCCAGCCAATTTTTTCAATGTAAGTAAAAAAAATATTTTAATTTCTATTTTTTAAAATAAATCTACTAAAAACAACATTCAAACTACTTACCTACTCCTTAATAAGGCAAATTGCTAGGCATCCTGTACTAGACAAAAAATTTGTTTCCCCTGATTAAGCGCCAGCCCTGATAATTCGAAAGCACTTCCTTTTTATACAAGCTCATTGCTGGCCCTCCCAATTAGCATTGCCCTTCGTCTAACCAAAAATAGCACCCGACCCACTCCTCCAAAGTGCCATCATAATTCTCGAAAATTCCGACCGACCTTTCCTGTTGCAAGCCCACATTTCCGTCACCAATTTTTCCGGAATCGCCATTCTCTCCCCTAAAAGCCCATCACATTGCCCCCGCGGCCATTTTCATTTGATCTCCGATTCTCATCCGTGTATTTATGTCGTTATTTCTAACATTTGAGTGCTTTGTATAAATTTATTTTCTTTTGAAGTGAACCGACAAATTTGATTGAATGTCGCTGACGTAGAAAGACAGATATAAAATCTACATAGATTTGCTAAAAGCAGCGTAGTCGGTCGTTTAAGATTCATAGAATTTGTTCGTTGGCTGATTTATGTGTATTAAATTAGAGTTAGAATTCTATAAAAGAAACAAAATCCTCCACTCCATCGAGTTGGTCAAAATTAGTTCCTAGTACCTAAATTCTGCTCTTCAAGTAGGATTTCGAAGAAAATGTATTTCCAAGAAGCATGTGGTAGACTCGAGCAGGTCATAATTTGAATGAACTCGCAATACAATGCGCGCAGGCAGAAAATATTTTCCCCGAAATAATTAGTCTGGGGGACCGGAGAAGATTGGCGGAATCCCCTGGACTTCCAACTTCAGTCAAAGTGAAAATATAATCATCTGCCCTTTTGGAATCAGCCGTTTGATTATTAGGTTGGACCGAAAGTTCTTGTAATATTTTTGACTCTTTTATATTTGCTTTCCAAAAAACGGCTCAGAAATAAATGTTTTCGTAGACGTATGTAACAACAATGCTCTATTCGGCCCCTGGGGGACGGAACCGTTCCCTTGAGAATTTTTTCATTTTGATTTACAAGAAATTGACACATTGCCTGGATTCGCTGTTCGCCAACCCGGTCCGATTTACTTTTTTTCCTATTTCGGCATTAGATTAGTAGTTAAAACTTATTATCTTGATAATATCTTTTCCCGCTTGGAAAGATGTCAGGGAAAAACCCAGCCCCAGAAAAAAAAAAAAAAAAACAAAAGCTTGTATTTTCCAGGATACTATTGGAAAAAAAAAAGAGGGGAGGGGCACCAATATTTAGGTGTGATATAAAAAAATCGTCGGAAATATTGTCATTATATTTATTTATAGCAACATTAATGTCAGAATCTTTGCGCGAGATTAATTAATCGAGAAAATTATTTGTACTAAAAAATTTACAGAATTTTCGGAAGCCTGAGACCTCAAATTTCCGCAGTTTTACGTTGTTGTGCCATGGTGCAGAATTCATCTAGCTGTTTTTAGCGCCACTCCTTCCAAAGGAGTAAGCCAATCTCCATCAGGCTACGCCTGGCTACCCAAAAACAATCTAAAAATGATGCAATTTTTCAATTGAAATTAAGGATTTTTAAATGAGGTTTGATCTAATTTAAAATTCCAAAAGGGCCCCGGATCTCCGCGGCTTCTCAAATTACACCGCCATTCGCATGACTCTGTTTGTCTTTTGCCCCTAATTTCCAGTTTATTCCGTTCAATGCCAATAATTTCAGGGTATTCCAGATAAGTAGATATTTTTAAAATGTCTCCCGACGAGATTGACGAGATTCTGATGACGATCCAGGTTGCCGGGAACTTTTTGGGCATTTTCATCAACTCATTGTTGATCTAGTAAGTTCATTTCTAGAGTACGGAAAATCGCATACTTTTTATAGTATTATTCTGACGCGACGACCCCGCGAAATTAGGACCTATTCCATAATATTGCTGTGTAATACGCTGAGCGATTGGGTGAATAACGTGTCGCAGTTGTTTGTGCAAAACAAGTAATTTTTAACGATTTAGTAGCCTAAAAGCCAGACATTTTCTTTGAAATAGCTGTTTGGGCAGAATTGAAGAAGCTCGGAAACCGTTGGCTTAACTAAAAAATCCGCTGAATCGTTTAATAGAGAATTTCCTATTTTTTTAGATAAATTTTGTTTCAGAATTGTCCCCTGTGGCGTCGGGTTGGCTTACGTAAGCTTTGGCCCTTGCAAGCACCTCGGCCCCTATGCCTGTTTCTCGGGTTATATCGTTTTAATGGGTACCTTCAGCTACGGGTTCTACTTGCTGGTTGCTGCCTTTGCATACAGGTAACCCTCGAAAATTCAAATAACTGCGATACCTTAGAAAATATGTCTTGTTCAATAAACCGCCGAATCACTCGTCCACTTGGATCCTATGTGCGGCTTGTATGGTCCCGGCTTTGGTGCAAATGGTATGCACTCGCTGTAAAATGGGTTAATCTGAATTTAATAGTACTGTTACGGT